TCGTCCCTGACATGATGCAAAGCCACGTTGTGCTTTTAGAATGTCTGCGATAAAAGGCAAAAGAACAAAAAAAAAAAGCCCGGCGTCGAGAGTTGTGGCGTCCACCCACCCCCTCTCCACCCCTCCCTCTGCTTCTTGTCATGCGGCTAAGCGGAATGGCTTGATAGGAATGGGGACATGAATGTTGGATTAAGCTTAAGCTCCAAAGGCGCGCCCGACAAGAAAAAGAAGAAGCAGGGAATCAACGATTGCCGGTCTATCCATGTCTCCCGTTTACACTACTGCCTTTTGTCTTGCCATCAGCTTCCTCTTTTGATCTATACTCATCGTACAATATATACGTACACATAACTCAGAAGAGGTCGAGTGTAAATACGCCCCTTGCCGCAAACTCTAACCCTTCTTGTACCGCAAAGAAAAAAAAAAAGGCAAAAACCTAAAAACCTAAAGTGGACTTGGCATCGAGCTTGTTATGTAATGAAGTTACACTCCGATCCTTGGTTCTTTTTTTTTTTCTTTTCTCTTGCCTTTTTGTTGTTGCCAATCGTCAGAGTGTGTGTGCTCGTTGAGAGGGCGAAGGGGGGAATCGGTCGGACGGGCCAGAGAGGGGGGCGATTGCTGCGTCTCCTGAGCGTTTGTGGTTACCTTTTGGGAGGGTGTCTCGGCATGGAACGGTGGGTTTGCTTGTGACTTTTGTTACAGTCGTTTGTCGGATGGCTCGGTCGCAACGTCATATTCTACTATATATGTATACGTGGGTCGTGTTCGAGTGGGAAAAAACGGTAAAATCGGAATAACGAGAGCAAGATCGTCCAAAATAATACCTTGGTTGGGTTACTCTAGAATGGAAGAGTACCACCGTGGGCCCAGAAAGGCCCATCGGTCTTACTTATGTCCACTAACCCCAGGCATCTAAGAATTTAAGAATACTAAGCATGTCCACGGACCACAGCCAAGTCTCTTAGTGCTGCTTTTTCCGCTCTGAGGCGTGGATGGTATCTTTTTTTTGTGCCGTTTTGTATCTTTAGAGTCCTTGACATGCGGATCAATGCATGAGCCACGATGTTATTCTCCGCTGTCTGCTGCGATCAATATGTTTTACAAAAAAAAAAAAAAAATAAACCTCCCAGGCGGAAAAAAAAAAGATGATGAATATATTACAGGGTCGAACTCTGGGCAAGTTGGGCAGGTTTAGCAAGCTACCCTTGGCGTATCATACATACGAATACAGCAATAATATAAACTGCCAAGTTTATAAGCGAATCCGTGGGTCCACTGGCGGAACCTTAATTATGCTTACGAAGGTTAAATTCTATCTTCTCTGGCCTTTTTGTGGGGTTGGCTTCCGCTATGCGCCCAGAAAGAGGATATTATTCCAATTCGGATGTTGGACGCCTTCATTTACCTACAAAAAAAAGGGATATCAAGCAAAGATTGGCGGTCTTAATGTTCTTAGATGATGAGTGTGACACCAATACTCCGGTAAATCTAACCGATTCACAAAGACATACAGGTCGGTAGTATTGCTTGCGGAAGGCGTTGTATATCTTGAATGTAGATGTACTGAGTCAGCGTCCTGGTTATTTTTATTCAAATGATTCATAAATTCCCCATAACTGTACCGCGAACGGATAAACGGGCGAAGGAGGATACGGGAACAGCGTGGTCTAACCAGCCACATTGGCAAGGGATCCTTTAATGACCCCGTTCTTGCATCCTTTCAGGATCCTCCATAAATACATGTACATTGTTGTACATCATTGTATTCTGTAACTGTCTGGAGAAGCAACTATGATGTCCATGAGCCAAGACAGCCAAGAGAACATAATCACGGTTGCTTTTCTTCTTGTGGGGGGTGTTGTGGCGTTACAGACTGTTGATTCGTTATACAATGATTCTGACACAAGAAAACAATTCGATTCTTATTTCGTCTGGAATGTTAGCCAAAATATCAAGCGAGAAGGTGCTAACCGAGACTCTGGCACGCTTCATTCGCGCCTTAAGAAGTGTGTGCGGAGAAAGGAAAAAGGTGAAAGTAAGGAGAGTTTAATAATAATAATAATATTATTAAATTCCCCCCGTTGGACTCGGATGGTGTTTGTTATATTGGTCGTTTGGCGCAGACGGAGTACTGGTGAATTAAACCATCTCAGCGCAGCCCAGCCGAGTTTTCCGGATTATCACTGTTTATTTTTTTTTTTTTTTAAATGAGCATTTATCCGTGCGTGGACATATTATTTATGCCCCTTCCTGTTTACCCCTGTATGCCACCGTGATACCTGTAGAAGCAATGTTATCCTCCGCCCGAATCCATTCTCCCTTTTTATTAATTGGAAGTTGCTTCCTTCATCACTTCGCACTATTGAACTTAGCTCACACATGGAGGCCGGCTGGGGTGCGAGCACATTCGCATGGCAGGGCCTCGGATGTACAAAAAAGAATACAATGTCACCCTTCTTATCCTAGCTAAATTCTCCCAGAGCTAGTGGCTTTTTAGACATACTCTGTATCGATGTATAATAAGCTGCTCTGTTCTCCTTATATTCTTACCAGAGGCGACGAACTATAGGCATGAGGAATGTGGATAAGCTCTGCTTAGCTTGTGATGCTGATCATAGTTCGTCGTACATATATCACTCACCATCACAAACAATCAGTCTGCGTTTGGGCATCGTCCCTTATCACCGAGCCTTCCCCTGGCACTACACTGAGGACCAAGCACCTACATATATATTGACTTGCTGTAAGTTCTACCATATTCACCTGTCTGTTGCTTTGATGCGCTTTTTTTTTTTTTTTTTTTTTTGAACCACGAAGACCAAAACGGGAAACATTCCCTTTCTCAGGAGGCCAAAGGTGCGTGCAACTGGAACCGAAAATGAGATAATGGTTACTCTAGTCTAGGTTTTGCCTACATAAAGCTTGTTGTAGCTGCTCTACATGTCTCGACCACGGTTTAGACTCAATAAAGACCAAGCTATGAAGTGCAAATAATCGAACTGGCTCTTGAATCCAAAAGGAAGCAAGTGTTCTTACAGTATGTCGGGGTTTAGCCAGCCACTTCTTCCCCGACAAACAAGTTTCCAAACTCCTCACTCGCTAGATGCTAAATAGTCTGTCTGAGTGGGAATAACATGGTGCGAACGAGTTATTTATTGTAAAACAGCAGCAAGAAAAAGGAAGGAGGGCCAACTCCTAAACAAGAGGGCAACATTACTAGCGGTTATTTTTCATGGCGTTTATTGGCGAAGAATGTGGGGACAAACTGACATTTTTAAGGTTATTATTAGGTTTTTAGTTATGCATAATTTCAAGCGGTATCCACAGCGAACCAGAAAAAAGTAAATATACACTTCAATATATAACACAGCTCCCAACAAGAGAGCGTCTGGTGTTGGAGAGAACATGGAGGCCTTGCTGTTATAGTCATAGCAATGTGCGCATCGCGCTCATCCCGGTAGGCCATACTCCGCAGGCTAGCCTGGGGCAGCTGTAGCAGGCATTATCTTCCATGTTTGCGCTGGAATCCATAGTAACAAACAATACATAGGTAAAGAAAGCTGTTCTGTGCCGGATGTTATCTCCGATCACAACAAGTTTGCCTATCTTACGACACCAACCTTGGCAATCCACAACTTTAAAAACGTGTCATTTTCGCAAGTAGTAACTAAAATATTTATCCTCCACCCCATGACATGATACGGGGCTCAATACACTGTGGACGATAACATTTCAGTGCTTGTGATCGCAAGGTTAATCGCCAAGTAAGCAAGCTACAGTAAGCTCAAACAGAAAATAGGCTCGCGCATCCAACTCTCGCCAATACATATGCACCTAGAGAATACAACAGGAGGGAAATGGCTTTTACGGAGAACGTCTTAACTGGGCCACGGATAGATACATTAACCTCGCCGTACATAATAAGGCTTAAAAAATTATTGGCGAAAAGGAACCGTGATGATGGCTTTTTTTTTCCCTCGTGTTCGGACATTTTCTTCGAGTAATATAATAATACCTCACGCAGACATTGCTAGGTATATGATGCGCTCCCGCCCCCACTTCCGCTAACTACGTAAATCAGATATTATTCATTAATAAATAACAGAAGTATGACAATATCTGTCGGCGTTCTGGGCTGTGCTCCAGTTAATATTAACCCAAGGATGAGCTAGGTACTGAACGGATCGACCTTGGGATTCGTCGAGATCGCCTGAGCCAGTTATATACTACTATGTATGTAAAACAGGCCAGGCAGCCTGCAGCTGGAGCACAGGCAGACAGGGCTCAGGCATGTTCTCGAATACGCCACCTTTCTGACTAAAGTGGCACACATACTATGTATACTATATGTAATTGATGCCTGTCTGCATGGGCGGATAATATCTATATAGGCGATTTTCGGTATCTACCCAAATCCCGACGCTGGGGTGGTTTTTAGCTTATGGGATAGCGCAAATGCTCCCTGGGCTCTCTCCAAATGGTCGGGTCGTAAAAGCTGAGCCAAGAGCCCGTTTGAACTAATGTGACCTTCCAGAAATGCCAAACGACAAACGCCTCCCCTTTTTTTTCTTTTTAAATCGGTGCCATGCAGCGTGGCGTCGTTTTCGCTAATTAGCGGAATAAAGAGCCGCGAATGAGACAACAAACATACATACTGGTTAACTGTTGCCCGTCGCATTGGTTACTGGGAACAATCTTTTCCTGTCTGCCTCCCTTGCGCATTTTTAACACGGGGTTGGACGGTAGGTGATTGTTATAGTGTTGACGAATTTAATTCAGGCGGACGGAAGCTAAAAAGGGCGGGCCGTCATATGCCACTTGGCTGCCAGCTTCACGGGCGCCATGGATTCCGTCGTTGGCTGAGCCAAAAAAGATTTGTATCGTGCTGATCCAGCTGCTGTCACCTCCATTACATAGTAAGGCGCCGCCGGAGTGGTTGACCGCACACCCGCTGAGCTTGATTGGCATCCCGCTGCCGTGCGAGAAAGGATGGATGAAAAGGTACAACATTTGATTGAACCTTGCATTGCATCGCAAGTAAAAAAAAAAAGCATGTCTGTGATAATCTCGCATAAAGTGTATGCATTAAAGAAAGCGTTTCCCCCCCCAGAAGCAAGGCTGCAATATCCAATTTGACGTATATAGTTATCGCAGGATGTGTATATTGCTCGCATGACTTGATTGCGAAGACTTTCTAATAATAAATATATAGTTATCCCATGCAAACGGAAGATGTTGTAGTCTTTTTTCCTTTTCTTATCCCTAGAATAGCCACGATGGGGAGTCGGACCATACTATTGACCCGGCATCCTTGCCTTTGGATGCAGCTGTGAGAGATCTGATACGAGTATAATTCTTGGTTCTTAGTTCTTTATACTGTCCTTTTTGGATGCCTTGCGGGGTAAGATTTTTATTTCTTTGGTATCACCTTGGCCATGGCGATGGGTCGTTGTTATCTTGCTGTGAATACTGTGGAAGGTTGATACGTATATGGCGCCTGACATCCATCCTTTACGCCAAATCCAAGTTCGCCCATACTTCCGGCTTCTGCAGGATAATTCTCGCCTCGGGTTGCCCGCGGAGGGCAAAGACGAGCGGGAAGGCTGTTGTCCTGCGTTTCTTTTTGGAGGAATGTGTAAAAAAGAAGGTTCTCTGGGTGGTTGGAATAGGAACACAGCCGTGGGGGGTGAGTCAGCTCTGGATGGCAAGGAGGTGTATACCAATCAGCGATTGATCGATATATGTATGGGAATCCTTGAGAACAGATAATCAATCGCCCCCTAGTTTCATATTGTCCTCTCATAAGGCGCCAAGGTTCCAAGATCTTGTCATTTTCTTATTCCTTCTCAAAAGCAAAGCCGTTTGAGGTGCGGGTGAGATATACTTATCTAAGGAGTGAGGGCTTTTTGCTTATTCATGTCCATCTCACAACCACACCCTGTACATTGTCGTCCAAGGCACTTAAGCTTAATTCCGGCCTATCATATATAACCAGTATTAGAGGCAAAGATAGGAGGCCGAAGAACCAACGTTTTGTTTTGCCCCGAATCAAAAGAAACATGATTTGTTGGTCATAGCAGGTTAGCATGTTGCATGTATCCAGGACCTCCAAGGAGAGAAACACAGCTGGTAAGCTGATAAAAATGCGGGTCAACCAAGAAAAAAGTCGTGGCTCTATTGTGTACAATCCGTCATCTCTCTATATATATCGTACAAGTGTGTATGTCAGTGGAGAATACCAAGACATGCAGCCGTTTAGCAATCCGCCCTTCCAAAATGCCTGGGGAATGGCACAAGGTCTCTGAGACTGGATACACCAGCCAAATACCCGATAAAGCGATCAAAGCCAAGTCCAAACCCGCCATGTGGTACAGTCCCCCACCTTCGTAGGTCTGCGTACCACTGGATAGAGCCCAATTCTTCGTTAGCGAGAAGATAGGGATAGGGCGCCTTGGCGTCAACAGCAAAGGTAGGATCAGGCGTTGAATTTCGCAGCTTTAACAAGCCGTGCTCACGCATATTTTGGATGAGCGGTGAAAGCCTATGTTCACGTAGTGACCCGCCAACGACTTCACATATCTCCGGGAGAAGGAGGTCAAAACATGCAACCGTCTCTCCATTTTCGTTAGGCGGCTCGCCAGAAGGCAGCATATAGAAAGGCTTGACAGCCTTAGGGTAGTCAGTAACAAAAATAGGCAAGCCTTTGCCAATCGTATCAACAAGGAACTTTTCATGTTCGAGCTGCAAGCCCCCTGACCAGGATGGAGAGAAGTCAAATTTTGCTCGGCCTGTACTGACAGCGTTCTGAAGATGTTTAATTGCGTGGGAATAGGTGATGCGTGGCCAACTAGTACCTTCTATCAAAGCCGTCCACCTTTTTTCAAGGTCCACCTGGATGGTATCTTTTGTAAGGTCATCTGTTTCTCTAAGGCCAAAAAGCTCTTGTGCCACAGGAGTTTGATAAACTCTCCGGGTTATGTTTCGAATAAGAGTCTCGACGAAGCTAGTGAGCGGCTCGAGGGAATCTAAATAGCTCATTTCCACCTCTAGCATGTAGAATTCGCTCAAGTGGCGTGGTGTATCACTCTTCTCAGCCCTGAAGGTAGGGGAGAGAGTCCACACATTACCCAACTCCGCGGGCATATGCCTCGAGATGTAATTGTGACGAGACGGTAAGATATTTAGGCGACCTGAAAAACTCAATCACTTTACCCTCTTCAGTGATAGCATCACGCGGCTTGAGGCTGAACACTTCCCCTGCGCCCTCGCAATCTGAGGACGTAATTAGCGGTGGCTGAACTTGAACAAAATTTTGGTTACGATGGGAACGGAATTCTTCAGTCAATTGATATATGAACTCCGATCTAAGTCGAGAGAGAAGAGAATTGAACGGTGTACGTAAGCGTAGATGTGGTAGCTGGCGGAGGAAATCTGGTGTATGGAATTTCTTCTGAATGGGGTACGTCTGCATTGAAAATGGAGCTTAGTTGATGAACACATATAAAACAGGGATATGACTGGAACTGACTGCAGGATCTGCCTCTCCTAATATTTTGACCTTTGTTGTCTGAAGCTCGTGGGATTGTAGTTTACCTGGAGGAGTTGGCTGCCATATCCCTGAAATTTCAACTGCTGCACCCTGAGTTAAGCTACCCAACAGTCAATCATTTTCACAAATTCACACCAAGGCCTAACAGTCCGCGTCTGACGGATACTTTGTGCATTTGAGGTTCGAAACGTACTTGGTTGCTTGTTCTGGCGTCAAGACTGCCTGGATCGGTTGAAGGGACGTTCCGTCCGAAATTTGCGCAAATGCAAAGCGCTTTTGCTTCCTTAGGAACCTGATATGGCCCTGTACACGCACCTCCTTGTTATCCAGGGAACCAGGCCCTGCATTCGACCTCGACTGCTCAAATATCTGCGCGCATCGGAGCGTGATGGGGCTTGCTGTCTGGGCATGGAGTCGTGCTGAAGCCGTGTAGAAATATCTTCGGTACGGGCCAATGGTCTGTTTCCTCGCCGACCTCACCCAAACGGGCTTTATCCTGCCAGAAATCGGGCCCATCAGGGTTCTGTTATAGTGCGTGGGGAGCTTGAGAGCTCAAAAACAGCAGCGAAGAAGATATTGAAGATAAAGTCTTGGCACATATAACCACGTGACAGTATATTTCAGCCTCATAATTCGACCAAGACGAAGCAAGGAGAACATAAGGAATAATAATTAAGATATAAGAAGAAATATGGGTGAGATGGGAATCTTTTTTCACGGATATTAATAACAACAGTACGTTGAAACAAAATTAAAAAAAAGTTATGGGCCCGAGCCGCGATTCGAACGCGGGACCTCTCGCATACAAAGTACTTAGGGTTAAGGCCCTAAGCGAGAATCATAGCCAACTAGACCACCCGGGCAGATTTGTTAAGGAGGGAAAAGCTAATATTAATCATAATCTTTGAAGATACAAACGTCAGTACCGTGATTGATAGATCCTCACATCCATGGAGACCTTGACTTATAGAAACTCAAGTTAATAAAATAATAGATCAAACAATGATAATTATTAGCATTTCATCTCTAAAGAAGCTATAAAGAGTAAAACACCAGAGCTAATAGGCCTCTCCATGCGCCAGAAACTTCTAGTTTGGTAACAAACGCAAGCAAACAATTTAAAAATGTCAAATGTAGATAGCCAAAAAAAAAAAAAAAACAAGGGAAACCTCGGAAAAAGATAGCAAGGATGATAGTAGCAGAGCATAAGCCAGGTGCTCTATTAGCAGTAGGGTATGGTACATCCTATTATCCGCTCTGTTATGTTGGTTGGTAGGGCCTATTGAAATATTGCTGACAGCTCCGAATTACCCTACCCGAATTACCCTACGGTGATGTTGATGGTAATCCAAACTGGCTGCGCGACGGCTCCTCGCTGATCCGTCCAGCCCACAGTAGCAAGGGTCTGTTTGACACGACGCTTCATATTATCGTCGCTGCCACGGTGACCTCCGACCCAGAAATCAGAGCCTTTCAGCCATGAGCCGTCGCCAACCTCAAGACACTCGGTGATCCCACGAGCTGTGGCCTCACGGCCGTCTGGAGCTTTGGTGGGGCAGAGCTGCTCTATTAGTTCAGAAACGGTCATCGTAGAAGGCACACGGTAGGAGCGCCACTGAAAGGTGTCACCTGGATTATCCCAGGGGGCAGTGTAGGCTTCGATGATGTGTATAGTTGTATGTTTCTGGGGGAAGATATACCCCTGTCCGTTTGGAAGAACCAAGGCCCGGTCACTATTTGGGGGGTATGCACCGGTAGGCAGGCGACTGGCTTGAGACTGTGCGGCAGGAGGTGGCCTTGATGGCGGAGATGTAGGCTGAGCGGCGGGTGGGCTAGGGGTAGGGGCTGTAGCTTGAGCAGGAGCCATGGCTGGGGCTGCTGCTGCTGGGATATTAGTCGTAAATATTTGTTGTAAAATGACCTGATTCGTTAGCGCTTAACGATGATCCTGTGAACCGGGATGTATGGAAGCACTAACTTGTCCCATAGGACTAGGTGTAGGGGATGTACTGGTAGCTGGAGCCGGAGTGGACGGCTGTTCCCGGACAGCAAAAGAGTATCCAGCGAAAAGTGGCATATGGAACGCTTGTAGAAATGCAAACTCCTGAGGTGGTATGCCCCCAAGGGGTGGGCCGTCAAGGCTGATGTACCTCATTTCTGCCATAGTATTGAAAAGAGATATGTTTGTGTTTTGACAGCCGCTTGGAGTTGTTTGGAAGGATGTATTGGGAATAGAGAGGACCGTAGTGTAGAAAGAAATCCAGGTTTATACAGTTAGGGAATCATACTCGGTAAGGAAATAAACATGCAAGAAAGAATAACAGAAAGAAACCATCTTAGGAACTGTGGGAATCGATTCCTAGATTTATAGCCCCCTCTTTTATGACATTCTATCAACTGGGCTTCACCTGTATCATATACAGTAACCATGGAGATTGCCTGTGAATAAAATCATGAGACGACAGAGCAAATCAAACATGTCACTACAAAGCTATCACATAGGGTGTGTGACAAACTCCACACAGGTGGAAGGAGGGTGCCAAAGGCAAATAGATAAATGACAGGAGGGAAACTTGATAACAGTGAAGACGAGGCCATTAAAGAGGTGGATATGTGCCATAATCACTGCGATAGGGGTGACGGGAACCAAAGAAGCTAGACTTGGAAACATGGCTTCTAGTTTCACGGGTATAGCCGATCTCTTGTAGCTGAGCTCAAGCGGACTCAAAGCGGTATGGTGATTCAACCACTATGCCCAGAAACAACTGCGAGGCTCTCGTATATCTTCTGTTTTACAGCAAGGAAGCTTCCGGTACTTTGTTTTAAAGTGGTTGGGTTGCTCGGTGACGGCCGGGCTGCGCCTTCAACCTCTATCTTGCCTGCACCGGCCTTTCTCACTGCAACAAAGCCATCAACAAGCAGCGTGCCTTCACCTCTGAACTCTGCGGAATGCCCAGAAGACTGCATAAGCTTGCGGAGATCAGATAAACGGAGATCGCCAACATGCAGCGGCTTTGTCACTGACCTTGTCGCAGCAACAAGGCTGGCAGGTAGGATATCAAGGACTGGGATCTTTTCATTTTTGATAAGAGACTGGTTGGCTTGACTCTCAACAGGACCGGTTGCTTTCCATGCCTCTCCTTTGCCTTTGCTTTTAGACTGCTCCAAAACCTCCTCCTGCAATGATATAGCTTGCGAAGATTGCAAATTCCCCACGAGCGCGACAACGCCCAGGTTACTGACATTCTGCCACTTTAACCGTCGCACCAACGGTCGGCTTAATCTAACCATCCAAGCATTCGTGTCAACGCTGGCATCAATCGAGTCTCCTATCGAAGGAGTAAATACGTCAACACCAAGCTTTGTTGTTGACGTAGTACTGGCTCCCCGATTCGCAGCTAACAAGTTCCTGCATTCCGCGGCAAGTGCCATAGTCTCGTTCTTTGTGCCGCCTATCAAAATGAGGTTGCGGGGCTGAATAAGGGGAATTAGCATCTCCAAGCTCCGTTTATCGTGCAAACCAGCGAAATCCACAAATGCCAGTCGTGCATTCAATGAGAGAGACGAATACACAATGGTTGCTTTTGATGGCCCTTCAGCAAGAGCCTGGCCCTCGGTATCTTCCTCCGAAGCCTCAGCATTCTCATTCTCAGCATCGCTGTTAACCAGGTCACCAGGTGGAGATGGCTCGTCGCTGGCTATGTAGTTATTATCTGAAGGTTGCGAGATTTGACGTCTCTTATTGGAGCCATGAGTGGCCGCAGAGTTAGCCTTGTCCCAGCGCCGCTTTTGGCCAGGAGTCGTTTGGATGTTTCCAGGGGAACCACGCTGGTCTTGCATTTGGGCTTCTTCTCGCTCTTCTGCCCTTAGATATTCTTCAGGTCGAATGAATTCTCCATATTGATCGCCTCTTTTCTTTGATGCCACATAGGGGAACATTCTTTCTCGCCCCTTTTTCCCACGAACATCATAGTCGTGCACTCCCCTTTTGCGTAGAAGAATGTTCACCCCCAAGTCAGCGTCGCTGAGGCCCATCTTGCGTTTGTTGGAGTGAGGGAGGGAAACAGAGAAGTTTAGCACTTTCCCCTGTTGCTCGGATTCTGAATCTTCGGATTCAGATGAACTGGACGCGTCGTCCATGGCATCGGCGGAATTCTCTAGATTTGTATTGCCTCTCGCTTGGGCCGTGTTTTGAAGTTGATTCTGCGTTGCCAAGTACTGTTGGTATATGAGTAGCTCATCTGAGTCTAACGAGGATCTCTGCACGTCAGTGAGGGTAAACTCCTTTCCTCCGCTATGAACCTGTTCAAGGAGCTCTCCACTCGTAGACTTTTCGAGCGCAACACCATCTTTTCTTTCCTCATAGAGCTTCCAAATCTTAGAGCCCAAGATATTTTCGTATGCACTATTAGAATCTTGTTGTTCTTCAGCAGGGAAGTTTAGAGGTTCTGTCATGATAATTAAATTATCAGATCCTGCTGCAATTTGCCTGAGGACATGCCTGGAAAGGCCCCATTCTAGAGAGGCGTCTGGCGAAAGAATCACCTTTGGTCCTTTCGAATCGAGAATGCTGTCAAGCTTAGCTTTATGCTCCACGAGGTTCAGATGTTTAAATGTAAACGGCCCAAGGCTTTTCTGGCCCTGCGCACTTTTTGACGGTTGATTTGCAGCTCCACCACCTGATTTACCAGCACCAACCTCGACGCCGTCGTTGCCCTCGAATTCCCGGACAATATTCTCGTCCATCCATTCAAGCATGCTTCGCGCTAGTCTCATGGTACCATGTGCCTTTTTCCCGGCTAGGTATAAAGGTGCGTTTTTAAGGACTTCGTTCGAATCCCCAGAGTCAGCGGCCTCTCGCCATGCATGCTCTAGAACATACGCAATTTCTAGAACTCGCGCGCTACTGTCAGTTGGCAGAAGTACGGTACCTCCTTTTGCAACACAGCTCCGAATCATGTCAAGAAGTAACCCATCTCGCTTCTTTCTCCCACCGGGAAGAGCAAACTTATCTCCTCCGCTTGCGCTACATATAAGGGCTGTAGGCTTTCGAAGCTGTTCGATGACTTCTGTCCCGCTTCCGCCGGAGCTTCCGAACCAGGCTGCACCGGCAATAACATTTTCTCTTGCTTGGCTCCAGTCAACTGCATAAACAATCGACTCCATGCCATGTTGGATGTGCCATATAGTTCCACCCACAGTGTGACCAGCATTATAGGCAGTTATAGTAAGACCGTTCAAGGGCGGAGAAAAGGGCGATGGTAAAGGCTGAAGAGGCTGTGAATACTTTAAAGGATGTATAAGGGAGAAGTAGCGGGCAATATCTTCATTCGAGGGAGGTGGTAAAAGAATGCGCCCTGATCCAGTATTATCGGGCCCTGAAAGGCCTTGAGATGTAGGAGTAGTTGACGGGATCGCAAGGCCGGAGCTCCCATCAGACGCTGTAACGGACGTGCTGGGTAAAAACGTAGCAGCTAACGGAGCTGAGGCATAAAGATTTTGGAGGTACGTTCTACCAAATGCTATAACCGGTATGGTTGCGTAAATAGGTATTTGTGTAAACAGAGGATATGCCCTACAGCAGTGCACAAAGGCTCCAAGGTGAGATGGGGTTGCATGAGTTAGGAGAATAAGGGAGAGTGTAGGAATATGCCTAGGTTAAAGTATAGCAGCGTTAGATTTAAACAACAACACATCTAGCTGAGGAATAGACAGACCTCTCTAGCTCTTTAAGCGCAGACGTATCAAATGATTCATCCCATCCGACATCAACTAATATCTTGACACCGCCATCGAGCTCAAGGATGGACTGTGAGGCCCTGGAGCCCGAGGATTGCGCCCCAAGCAAGGGTGTAAAAGTGAACATAGCGAGACGGTTGACGATATGGCAAGACGAGAAATAGTCTTCCCTATATGATCAAGATATGGATGAACTGACGGGCAAGTTCTGTGAGGAGCCAGAAGTTCCGTCGCGTTGTTTGTTGAGCTTGCCTAGAGCAAGACGAAGTTCAAGACAAGTGGAAGAAAAGTTCCCCTTAGCATGCTGATGGTAAGCATACCTAGGTAGAGCTCTAAGTTCGACCACGTATCTTATAATTCAGATCAATGCCTTCGATCTGGCTGGTGAATGTCTCTTTATTGATGATCTTCATTTTTTTTCTATGTTTTTGATAACAAAAAGCTTTGAAAGCTAAAAAGCCATGTTTGTCTTGTTTGCACTATTGATATTTAACAGTTGATGGACTAATTGTCACTTTTATCGATTGATCAAATCTATAAATGCATTCATGATATTATATAACAGTTAATCATACAGGGTATCCAGTGCTCAATATGCATATCCCAAAAAAAAAAAAAAGAGAACAAGTAAAAAGAACTAAAACTTTAGGTTCATGGATTCGTGGATTATTTTAGCCGGAGACGGACGTCGGTCTGACCTTAGGACGACTGACTTCACCTGGTTCGTCTTGACTATCGTAACCCAGTCCTTTGCCACGGTGGACTGGCTGAGGATGTCTATGCACGCCTCGATCTCTTGCTTAGATGCGGGGGTTCTCATTGAATCCTCGATCCGCTGGATGATTAGGTCCATGGTATACGACTTTCGTGAGGGAGATGTGCCCATTGTGTCATCGATCTTGGAGCCCAGTGGTGACAGCAAAAGAAGGACGTTAATAACTTCTGATATTCGGCCCACGGCGGTCTGCTTGAGAACAATTTCCTTCGAAGGCGGGGGAGAAAGCTTTGATTGGTGTAGTGCTTTCATCTTCATACGCTCCAAAAGACCGTTTCGGCGATTACTGGTTGTGACTGAATCCTTCATTGGGCCAGGCTTCTTTGTATAGGGCTCACGGGTCAACATTGGCTTTGATTTGAGAGCCCCGAACAGCTGGTCGATAGTCCTTTGGCCTCCCTTATCAAGAGGCTTGACGGGCCCCTTTGATGGGTAAATTGTCGCAAGTGGGATATTTCGAAGTATATCTTGACTCGATGCCCTATTATTGTCTTCTTTGATGTTTTCTTCCCAGTAGTATTCCAGGTTCGCCAAAAATTCCGCCTTGAGTGCCAAGTCGTTCAAGGGCAATGTATTGCTTGATTTACTTGAAGCAGGGCGTTCTGACCTCTCCAAAAATGTATTCGTTCCATAGCTGGTAAGTTTAAATTCGTTCTGAGATGTCAATCCTGGATTTGAGGAGACTGATGACGGGCAAAGTCCCTGGATGTAGAGCACTCTCTGAATATCCTGAACGGCTACTTTTCTTTTATTCCAAATCCGTTCAGTGCTGCTGAGAATTTCACGAAGATTTGCAGGGGCAGTGGGCCCATTGTGGGCAAAATGAAGCGAGAGAGCGCTGAGGAAGGCAGAATTGAGATCAACAAGGTCAAGGAACTCAATAGGTTGTTTGGAGGAGGGTTCACCGTGGTTGGGCGGTGTAGACGGTGTCCCAACTGAAGGCTCAGAAGTGTCTTCAGCCAGAAATATTGCAGGGTTTTCGTGCTTCCGTGTCTGTTTCTCGGTCTTGCTTCTCTTTGTGGGCGTTTCGTCGAAAGGGCATATCTGCAATACCGGTTCGCTATCTCCCTGAGTTGACTCTTCGAGCTTCCGTTTTCGAAAAATAGTATCCTTTGTGGAAGCTACCTGTGCCCCAGCTTTGCCTACTCGTGTGAAGGCTGTGATCCCAGGCTGTTTCGTAGGAAGGCGAGCTGTAGTCGAGCGAGTCGCCGTCGCCGTGCGAGTCTTTATGGCCATATTGCTCCTGTCTATACTGTTTTCCTTCTGGTGATATAAATATGCTGAAGAGTAATCCTTATATATAGAGGTCTGTGATATGTAGTCAACAATATATGCAGCGAAGAAATTCTTCCTTTTAAAAGGCAGAAAAGAAAAAGATAGCGAAACATTTGAATTAACGCGAAATCAATTAAACGCGAAAAAAGCGCGTCGGCGCATAACTAACATTAGTTACATAATCACATATGAAAAAGCTTCGAAATGCGAAACATTTCATCAAGACATCAAAGGCTATTGCAATCTACATACATTTGAAATGCGAAGTAGCCATAGGCATAAGGACTAATTATTAACGTCAATTTTTCTTTTTCCCTGTTCTGGGTAATCGAAAAAAAACAGCCCAGGAAGCAGCAAGGCCTTTGCATACAGATATTAAAAGCTCTCAACTATTATCATAGGTAGTATGGCATTTAATACATCAACGATAAGAAGACGTCACGATGAAAACAAGTTCAGGGAGCCTCTCCTCATTTTGGACAATGGACGCTTGTTATTCAACACACTAGATGACCTTTTCATCTATTTTTTGCTGCCACCGAGCCACGATGAAAGTCCGCTCTTAGCCTCGGCCGCCTTCTGCTCAACCGACTTGTCAAAACTCTCTATCTTGCTAGAGAGGTCCTTTGCAGTCTCATGGGAGACCTTGTCAAGCTTGTCCATACCCTGCTTCGCCCGCTCGACGGCTCCCTCATCAAACTTCCTTGCTGTATCCCGTACACTGTCATACTAGTGGCACGGTCATGTCAATCTCCGGAAAGTAACAAGATATATGTTCACTAGGCCAATAATTGACGATGATAAGGCTGTATGGGATCGAGGATACTTACAGCATCGTCTAGCTTAGCGCCAGCCTGTGCAGCAGTCTTCTCAGCGCCCATGCTGCCTGTTTTCTGCTTGCCATGAAGTGCTCTGGAAGCATCGCCTGTTCGTATGTAATTAGCGCCGCTATTCGAGGCCGCTCATGGCTGGTAACCGAGGAACTAAGACTTACTCTCGAACTTCTGGGTTGCTTTCTTTGGGTCTCCTCCGGCAGAGTACAGGTAATAACCGCCGGCGCCTAAAACAGCCAAACCGAGCCACATCGGCATACGAGATTTAGGGACATTTGGCGGCCGATCCATGATTATAATGAGGCTCTCGAAGTACCAGGATGGATTGATAAGAATGGAAGCTTGGTTTTTTCTTGAGTGAATGAAGGTACTGTCTTTTTTTCCTCGGTTTTTCACACCACGCCAGGCTTCTTCCGTACTCTTTAAATACTCCTCCAGCAGAAGAGGGGGTCTTATAATCCAGGGTTTAGCTGCCTATATCCAGGCCTTCAAGCTGCCAAAGCAGTATGACGTATTTTTTTCGCCTGCCCAGGTGAAGCCAGGGTCACGTGAGTGGGCCTTTTGCATGGGCTGTAGCCACAAGAACCAAGTTTATCACAAAGCTACATAATGCAAGTCGAGAGGGAGGTCATATCCTGGGCCATCGTGGAGATGTTCTCTTCAAGTGAGAGACCTTTACAACTTGTCTCAGTGGGAAGGGTTTCATCTGGCACCCTTGAGATCTGGCCGAGTGAAAGGTGAAAGGAAGGAAGAATGTATTAGCATATTACATATCTGCATAAGATATAGAACAAGGATCAAAGCCCTGACAGCTGAGTGGGAAAGGTTTAATATTCGTTGGACAAAGGAGAGGGCCCTTCCTAGTTATAGTATCGAGGCTCGTCAAACACATGATATCTGTGGCCGCGAACTCCTTCTCCTCGGAACATGGCAGGGAATCTCATGCCTGCCGGTACCTGCTCCTCCGATATGCGTTCTCCCTTGCCTTCTGGCTGGCCGATAACAAACTTACCAACCTAACAGTGACATCATTTGGTTAGCATTTAAAAATATTTAAGCTAGGCTGGAGACGGATGATTCCTTACCTGTAGTTCAGTGTCTGTAATGGTTCCTCTGCTAACACGAGCATATCCGATCTTACGGATGTTCTTGTATAGAATATATTCACACCAACGGTCCCAGTCGGTGGGGTCAATGTCTTTCATTCCGCTCTGTTCGCTAACGTATGTGTTGTAGTTGCCTTCAAGTGGCTTGGTGACGAGATAACTGAGCAGAATCATGGGCCTGTTCGAGGATCCCATTAATTTGGATAGGTATTCCGATTGGAGTCTTCTGTCTTCAGGGTCTTCTTCCTGTCCGGAGTGGAAGACAACTACATCGACATGTTCACCATACATGTCAATTGTCGCATGGATGGCGGGTGCAAGCTCACCGACAGGCGATGGAAGGAGATGGTGGGTGGAATTCAAAATAGGGAACTTGGAGAGCAGAGCGCATCCCCATGTGTGTTTGTTTGGGCCAGGGCCGTAGTCAACATACATGCCGAGATCCTCGGCGAGGAATTGGGTGGTGTCCCGGTTGCCCATTATGATTCTCTGGAGGTCAGACTCGAGCAGTCCCACGACATCCAGCTCTAGGTCCTTGATCGCATCGCGCATACGCCTCTCAGACGACCACATGTCGTTGTCCAGTGAGAAATGCACAGTCCAGATACCGGCGGTTAACACTTTTTCGTCTTTATGGTACGGAGTATAGTCGTTGACAGGGAATCGCAGGAACCCAATGGCGAAAGACACGATTTGAAGAGCGCCTAGAACATAGAAGTAGTATGTGCGTTGCTTGCGGGCGTTTACAACCGGCTTTCTGTATTTGGCTGATGGCGATGTTTGAGAGACAGATGAGGAAAACACACCGGCCCCGATCAAAATCATCATAGAGGCCATGACCCAATCGGTACGTTCACGTACAAGCGGGCCACCAGGTACGAAGGCGTAGGCGACAACCCAAGTACTGAAGAGGACCATGAAATTGTAGACGAAGAAGCCTAGTCCGAAGACCGTTGCGGGGGAGTGTTTTACAGCAGAACCTATGAGCACGGGAGCAACGGCCATGATATAGATTGCAAGCATGAGGCCGCCGTAGAATCCGAGCCAGTGGCTGTTCCCCGTCAAGAGTGCAGCACCAACAGATCCCAAGCCAAACGCTGTCCAGCTTCCAGCCAGACGAGGATATGTTACACCCAGGAAAACACCAACAGCCATGGCTAGAAGGGTGAGAGATCCATGAGGCACAGCAATCGGACCACGGATGGGGAACCCTTCCCATACCCAGAGAATCATTGTGCTAGAATCTGAAAGAAGGGAGTGCATGGCAAACGCAAGCCCACCGAATCCAAAGGCTGAGAGAATCGAGGAACCCTTGCGGCCATTGGGAGCCATGTAGTCTCCCGACACGTAGTTTCTGCGAGATGAGCGAAGCATGGCAACCAAAGCCAGAGCGATAGCAGTCTTGTTCCATCCACCATTCTCCGGGTGAAGAATGGGCCAGATGGGGTTGTTACTGTAAAACGAATACTTCATTAGACTGGAAGCGAGAAGACCAATAGTCCATGCAATCACTCTCGTTTCAAGGCGTGCAGGTTGGCCACGCTCTCCGTACCAGGTAGCAGCCCAGGTCAAGCATCCCATCGCAACAGAGAAACCGACTATAAAAAGTCGGTAAGGCGGGTACCGAACAAGGTAGGCAAGAAGTCCGGACATTGACAGCAGATGAAAAAGCCGGACATTTCGGACGGCAAAAGAACGGAATCCAGGCATGGCTAGGAGCAGAGGCGAGACGGTGACCATGACGATAGCCTCATAGCCAGAGATTCCCATGTTCCATAGGGGGAAATCTAGATAATATGTCAGAAGGCGACGTTTGTCGGTAGAAGAATGGATAGTCCACACTTACACCAAACGACCAGCCCAAGAGAGGTCAAAATGGACCAGAAAACAAACTATGTCGACGTTAGATATGAACATGCAAAACGAATTCAGTGAGCAGCTTACTCCATTGTAGATGTCCGCGGCGGCATCGAATACCTCGAGGAGGAAAAAGCGTTCGCCTAGAGCGATGCCATGTCCACTATTGGGGATGAATTAGCATCTTGAGAATATGCGGAGAAAGGATAAGATTAAAAAGGTTTGATCGTACTCTTTTTCCACAGCAGCGTCCGATTTACTCGTTCTGTTCATATTTTGTCCTTAGAAAACAATATTCAAATGACCTGGACATAACATTTGTACAATTAAATCTACTTTGGAAGCCGCCTGACGTACCCTCTGCTAATACCTTTAACGTCTTTCACTGTAATCTCAAAGCCTTCAAAATCAAGAGCAGTCACAGCATCAAAAGCAACATCGAACAGAATCAGGGCCCATTCAAAAAAGGCGTATGTGGTGTAAGCTAGAGAACCAATCAGCAACTGGTAACAGACTAGTTACAGTTTGATATTAAATGAACTCACCACCAGGAACCTTGTGCACTTTATGCTGAATAAAAAAGTACACAAGGGGAATAAGGGTTGCGAAGAACAAGCCCGCAAACATCCTTCTATACTTGAGTGCGCGGGGGTTATGCGGACTCAAGGCAAGACAGCCGACCGTCCACGGAAGAGTAGCCACCAGATAGGCGATCATGAAGATATCATGCCATCCATGGTCGTCCGTCGAGGTCACGTATGTCCATCCTCCGCAAGTCAGGGTCCTAAAGATGCCCACACCCAGCACAGCCTTGGGCAGAACCGAGTTCGGCCTCGCGGTAAGGATATACCAGAGGAAGACAAGAGCAAATCGAGGGCCAGAAGTGATGGCAATGAAGACCTGGAAGACCGAACGCTCGGGGTACCTGTCACCAATAGTCGCGGAGACGGATGGAAACCATTCGTCCGGGTAGCCGTAGTGCTCGTTCTGGACAATCTTATGATAGTGCAGTCGTACTCCTACGACCAGAGCACCGAGAAAGGCAGCATAAGCCACTGCGGTATGTGTCCATGATATCCATTTCCCATTAAACTGGCGTGAGAAAAGTCGTTAGTCCGAGGCAAAAAAAACGATGGTGGAGAGCAGAACGTACAGTAAAGACCGTGTCCCCGTCCTTGAATTTGGGGGCCATGGTTAAAAAGCGATAAACGAGCGACGCAAGGGAGAGAAAAACATCAACGAGAAAGAAATTATTAAATTAAAAAGAAGCTAAAATGAAGGGAAGAAGCGAAGACTCTTTGCGTGTTCCGACTTATCTTGAACCCCCTGAGGAGTTTCTTTTCTCACTTCACGAGCCAAAAGCGAAGCTCGGCGCTTATTAACTTTGATCCGCTTTGGAGGAAAATGCGGAAGATAGAAAAAGAAAAAGAAAAAAAAAAAGATAAAAAATAACTTGAGCTTCAAAGTTGGTGAAGAGAAGGTCTTTTGCTAGAGAGGTGGAATAACAGTTATACTGCGATGGCTTCGAGTGATAAGGCTCGCTTCTACCTGGAGCAGCTCGTCCCTGAGCTCCGCGAGTTTGAGAAGAAGAAGATATTCACCAAGGCATGTTATCACCAATAATAGATATACAGACGGCAGTGGGCTAATTGACAATGATAGAGTGAGATAAGTTCTATAACGAAGAAGAGATCCGAGTTTGAACACAGGGTAAATTCACGGGGTCCGTCGCCGTCAGACTATGCCCGATATGCAGAGTACGAGATGAACCTGGATACACTGCGCAAGAAGAGGATCAAGAGACTCGGCGTAAAGGCACCTATGCACACCGGTCAACGGCGAGTGTTTTTCATTCTCGACCGCGCGACGAGGAAGTTCCATGGAGACGCCGGTCTGTGGCAGCAATATATCGAGTACGCCCGCAAGCAGAAAGCCTACAAGAAGCTCGCTCAGATCTTCACAAACGCTCTACGTCTACACCCGAGAGAGGTCGATTTATGGATATATGCTGCGCAACACTCGCTACAGGACCATGGAGATATAACTCAGGCCAGAGGGTATATGCAGCGGGGCTTACGGTTCTGCAAGAGTTCCCGGGAATTGTGGCTTCAGTATGCAAAGCTGGAGATGATATATATAGCGAGGATATCTGCACGACAGAGGATTCTTGGATTGGACAAGGCAGATGAGGAGCAGCCGGCTGTCGACAATAGTAAGGATGACCCGGACGCGGATATGATGATGCTGCCTCGCTTGACGGAGGAAGATATCAACCCCACCCTTGAAGGCGATGTGCCGGACAAGGCCTCGCTGGAGACCCTCAATGCCACGCCTGCGCTGTCAGGTGCCATCCCCATTGCCGTCTTTGACGCAGCAATGGGCCAGTTTGAGAACGATGCCGGCCTCGCGTACGACTTTTACAACATGCTTGCTGAGTTTGAAGAGTGTCCGTGTCTGCGGCGTGTGCTGGGCCATGTCGTCGACTCACTCATCACAAGCCATCCAACCAATGCCAAAGCACAAGAGTGTGACATCAAGTACCCGGTTGCAGGTATAAGCCCTTGCTCGCCCGAGTTCCCACGCGCGTTCCATACATCTCTCAGTCGGCTGAGGGAACACATGAGGGACGAGAACCCCATTCTAGCACAACTGGCACCGCAGGTTGCCGCCTGGCTGCAGGGCCTGATGGAGACGGAGAATCTCGATCCAGCGTTGCAGAAGGTGATGCAAGTGACGTTGAAAAGCGCAACCCGGCAGGTAGAGAGTTGCAGGACGTAGTAGCACGAGTTGATTAGAATCAAAGATACCACTTTTCTTTCATAATGCTCCCCCCTTTTTTTTACTCGTCTGATCTTCCTCTCCTGCTACTCTTCTTGTTGCTGTGAGCCTTTTTCATCCGTATCCTAGCTTCGTTTGCGGATTTCTGCCTACCGTAATCAGTCAGCATAGACCTCTTTTGTATATATGTATATATATAATGCCGGCATACAATTTCTCAACCTTTCTCTTCTGCTCTGGTGAGGTTTCTCCTGGTATAACGGCCCTTCCAACCTCTGCTATCATGCCGGTAAGCTTGTCGAAACAGGCATTGAGGTTCTGAGACTGCTTTCGACTGTCATTCGACTGTATGACCAAAGCCTGGGAGTTTTCTGCGTAATACCTCGACAACCGAATGGATGGATGTAGTATCTTTGGTATGAGAGGCAACAGGGAGCTCATCGGCACCTTTATCGTAGCCTTGGAGTTGACTCTACCTCCTGTTAGCCACCTGCCTACCGTTGTGTTCGAGAAGCACTTACTTGTTCACATTCTGACCTCCTGGCCCGCTTGACCGGCTAAAGGAGACGGCACATATATTCCTGGGAATTGTCTCTGGAGAGAACTGGGCAAGCCATCTTCTCGCCGCTCTGAGTTCGTCGTCGCTGGCCGTGTGCGCAGTCCGCAGAGCCACCACAGGCAGTCGACCTCGCCAGACGCTCTTCCACATCTTCCACATCTTCATCAGCTCCAACTTGACCTTCGTCGGCTTCGACTTCGACTTGTTTCAACTTCTAGACCCAGCTTAGTCAGTCTGTTAGCTTTCTCTCAAGCTTCGTCCAGTCTTCATTGGTCGCAGGCAGGGAAGAAGCTCAAAGCACGAGAAAGAAACATCGGCTTTCTCCCCCCTTGACCTTCTCGCGCGCACACAACACACACTCACACACAGAGCACAACTCGAACATAATAATAGCATACATAACAGTCATGTCTGCTGGAGGCCGCATGCTTGGGGTCCCATCTGTTCCTCTCGCCCAAACGTACATCCTCGATGGTTTATAGGCGTCGTTTCTGAGAAAGCTTTCGCTCTTCTTCGGAGACAGCCACAGTGCCAGGCTGAGAGAAGAACGCTGAAAAAAATCAACAGATAAATATAGATGAAAGGCACAGAGAACTACATCAGATGGCCTCAGAACCGCCAGAAGAGGCGCTGCACTTCCGGGGCAAGACGTTGACGCCGGAGAGCCCGCGTCCGCTGCACATCGCAGAGCCATCGAATATACCCCTCCTACAGAACCAGATGGACGCCGCCTACCATGACACTTCGTCCCTGGAGAGCATCCCGGACGTCAAGGAACCCACGCTGAATCCGGCGCTGGTGGGACAGGGTGTACAGCCGGCAGATGGCCAGTTGGCGAACCATGCGTACTCGCTGTTGCAGAGCGAACTGGGGCAGATGAGCTCGACCGGTGCTGATATCACAGGTAGTTTCCCTGGATCTAATACTAAGACGGGGGGCATATTATCAGAGAATGAATCGATCTTCACTTCTGCTACTAGTCGTGACGAGGTTTTAACAAGTTCACTTTCATCTTCAGTGCCTGATCCTGATCCTGACCCCAACCCGGACCTTAATCCTGATACCGCTCCTCCCCTTGCCCGTATCGCCGCCACGGAGGAAGATAATACAACCGCCCAACCTGTATCCAACCATCTTCTAGGACGTCCTGATGCCCTCGACGTATACCAAGCTGCTCCTGGCCCTTCACTTGCTTCGTATGATTACCAGCAGCCAGAAGCATGCGCACAGCCGGCAACTGCTGGCTACTCTATAGCTACAGCTGCTCATAACTCAGGTGATATAAACTCTGATATCTCTCAATCTTCACTTCTCAATGCGGCTGTCAGCTATCAGAGCCTTCTTGATAGCAATGTGCCCTCATCATATATTACTACCAGCACCGCTGCCACTACCTCCAGTGCGGCCCATCCAGCAGCAGAGCCCATAAACCAGCCCACTCAAAATACCCTTGGTGACGTTCCCATGTCTAACTTACCCGTATCTTACCTGTCTGCACTTCCCCCTCGCCCACCGGCCCATGAAAGTGAGACCATCCAACCAAGTCAAGAAAAAGGCCACGATGCCTCATCTAAAGAAATCTCACAAAATGATAAGAGTAATAGCAAGCCCCAAAGCGGATATCCGCCAGCAGTGGACCCCGATATACCAGCTCCCCCTTCAAACCCTGAAACGCTTCAGCAAACGCCATTAAAGTCTCATTCTAGGAAAGTATCTGGCAGTTCACGAAAGAGAGATAGCTATGATGAGTACATTGAAAAGAATGACCTGCAGGACGATACCCCATGGGGTCCAGAAATTCAGAAGAAGTATGATGACTTCCTCCGTGATGAACGTATATATGTCACAGAGGCGCATTGGGACCGATTTCCTGCTGGATCACGTTTATTCATAGGTAGGTTACCAGAACCACCACCAATAAATGAAAAAAAAAATTTTCTAACAAGATGTAGGCAACCTACCCACGGAGCGAGTAACCAAACGGGATCTGTTCCATATATTTCATATGCATGGAAAACTAGCCCAGATATCGATAAAGCAAGCCTATGGTTTCATCCAATTCTTAGAACCAGACTCCTGCCGGAAAGCATTAGAGGCTCAGCAGGGAGCTACTCTAAGGGGCCGAAAAATTCGTGAGTTCTCATAATCCTTTTTACCGTATATATTCTACTTATTAACCTTTAGTCAGACCTTGAAATATCAAAGCCGCAAAGAGGTCCTCGCAACTCTGGCCCTACGGAGCCTAGCGGACGTAACCAGAGAAGGTCGAGGTCACCAGAATACGAGAGAAATAGAGAGCCACTCCGTGGAGGTCGTTCAGCCGCTGATCGATATGACAGAGGCCAGGGTAGGCTCTCGATCAGTGATTTCAGAGAAAAGGACCAACACCGATACCGTGACAGAACTTCACCATCCCCTTCCCCGAGAGGTCCCCGTCGAGACTCTTATCACTCTAGGGAACGCAGCTTTGACAGATATGATCGTCGAGAGAGACGACGGTCGAGGTCACGTTCACCCCGACCCCGAAACGCACGCTACCGTAGCCCCAGCCCAAGAGACAAAGGGTATGACAGTGAATCTGACCTGCCAATCCCAAGAAGAGACCCGCGTAATGTCCCTGAAGTCCAGGTTATTATTCTAGAAAACGCAGACAAGTGAGGTTTCCTGTCCAAAGGTTTCAAACTCAGCATACTAATGTTGAAATAGTGAGTTTGTGTACCGGGTTGAGAATGCTTTCCGAGATCGTGGTCTCAGGTGTGACGTATTAATTCTAAGCCCACGAATCCGGCTCTCCGCCGTCGTTCGCCGTCAGGTAATGGAAGGTGTCCTCGCCATTGTCCGCATTTCAAAAGTAAACCAGTACTCTGGAAAGATACCATTGCAGATATTTGACCGGACTGGCGGAATGGGCAACGTACGGTTCAACGGTAAAGATACGCTTACTCTCCATATGTTCACTTTTTATCGGTATTAATCATTGTATAGAATACTCTGAACTCGACCTCAGCTTAGCAGCCGAAGTCGTCGTTCATGCCCGTAACTCCCAGAAACCAAACCTGATGCAGCTGCAACCACAATTATTACCTGTTGCCTTGCCTCCTCAACCTATCCAACAACCACTGCCAGCCCAATCAGAACAGGCCGCAATTGCCAACCTTCTATCAACCCTTGACAGTTCCACGCTCCATTCGCTGCTCAATTCCTTGAACCAACAGCAACAATTGCAAGCACAACAGCAGCAGCAGACCCGTCAGTTTCAATCACAACCGCTGCCTACGACTGCACCACCGTTAAATTCAACTAATCTCGCGGCACTTTTGGGTAACTTGACACGTCCAAGTAATGCCAATCCACCGCCTATTCCAACCACGACTCAAAGCGCCCAATTTGCACCTCCTCCAAATCCAATCCCACACCCCAGTACGAACTTAGCTTCACTCCTATCAAAAGGCCCAGGGAATGACGCGCAGCTCCCCCAACCACAGGCCAATATGCAAGTGCAGCAAATTATGGAACAATTGATGAAATGGAAACAATAACGAATTTATTTATATATTCTACTCATCTGCCTTGTGATTCATTGTTTTGTTTCCATTTTACGTGCTATCCACATTTGAGCATTCATTTTCACGACAGACACATGAGCGAAATCTGATTTTATTTACGAGTTCAGACTCTGAGTTTTTGTATCTCTCTCTCTTGCATTTCTAGCGTGAGGTGATGGAGAAATGGTTGAATTTGGGTGACATATATTTTTCATTTAAATACTATCCTCCGTTAATAATATGTTCTAATTTAGTTTCCTCGAGATATTAAACTAATGTTACAGATCTATCCTACATTCCGCTCCCATAGCATGTCCACACTATGACATCGTCCACGGGAGAACCAACATGTCTGGAGCTAGAAGAACCTCCATAGAGTGGGGAGTCCAGCATCCTCAAACAAAGCTTCTCGTAAGCAGCATGGAAAGATACACCAGAGCCATTCAGCATCCAGAGCCAGCTGTAAAAAGGGCCCCTTCATCATCACACGCCGTCAATATAATAATATCCCATTGGCAATATGTAAACTGCACGCACCATATATATCCCTATTTGGCAGTTTTCTGTGCCGCCGCAGACTCAAGATCTTCTCGTTTTATTCTTTGAATAGTCTGATCTCTCCTGTGTTCCATTACTCGCTTATCCTTGAAATATTTGACCTGTAAACATCTGTTAGTAAACCGACATACAACTAAGGCCGCTTGCCAGACAAGCACATACCCAAGTAGCCGAGCAGGCGCTTTCAAATTCCTTTATCTCCTTAGAGCACTTTGACCGTGCGGGGCCGTCTTCCTTTACAGCATCTATAATATTATTTGCATCTAGACAGGCGAAGAATTTGTCTCTTCCTATCCAGCACTGTTGGCGAGATGATCGGTCAGGTGCGATTGAGCCGCCGTCAGAGGACTTCTTGGGAGCGGATTCGGAAGCTGACGAGAACCACCCCATTTTCAAGAGTTATAGAGACAGAACAGAAGCCTGAGAAGTAGAAAATTGAGGTTGTTGCGAAGATTGGGCTTGGTGGAAGTAATTAGCTCGACATAATCAAAAAAGCTACTGGATATTTAAATATCACGTGATAGCATATCCCTTTGGCCTTTTTTTTGTCTGAAGGAAGAACAAATTCGCGAGCTTCAAGGGAAGAAGTCATCCTCCCTGATGCATAATCGTCTTAGACGGACGAAGCGTTGTTTCTGTATATCAAGAAATGCAGCCTCTTAATCTTATACCATAATACCTGTGTCGTTCGAGTTCTACGCATGCGACGCCGTCGACTCCCAAGGGCTGGTGCTCTGGCAGACCTCCCTCCGTCGAAGATCATACGCAAGATCCTTGCGATACAACTAGCTTACTATGTCTGCGCTACGGTCCTTATCTTATTTACCGCCCTGGTGGCTGGCACTGCATTCTCTCCTGACCTTATACTGAGCTGGCGGACGGTTCGGGGGGATACAACCGTCGGATGGACCCTTGGATTCGTCTGGTTGCTGAACAGCTCCCTGGGGTATGTTTTATAGCCTATCGGTTGAAGTGAAGGAGTTACATGTTCTAACTTGTTTGTACCAGAGCTATATTCCTCCTTCTGTTCGTTTCCCGATCAAAACTCATACCTGACTTCGCCTTCACGCTCCATTTCATTCATTTTACGATCACATCCTTTTACACACATTCTGTTCCTACGAACATGCTCTGGTGGGGCCTCCAAACAGCCAGTGCTACTTTAATGACCTTTTTGGGCATATGGGCATGTCAGTGGAGAGAGTTACGGCCTATTGCCTTTGGGGGTCAGCCTAATTCCAGTGCCAGGCAACCGCAAAGCCAAGCCACAGACGCCGACATCGAGAGCGGTATCGACCTCGAGAACATGTCGAGGGGGAGAGGCAGAGGGCGAGGCCGAGACGGTGGTGGAGATTACGCCGAGATTGATAGCAAAGATGTTAAATCTGCCGAGTAATTTGGGGGCATATTTATATAAGTTGGATACAGGTTTATGGCTCCGGTTAATTGTTGCATATACCCCCTTTTTTTCTTCATTCTCGGATGGGAGTTTTTGGAGACTGCATGGTGTTGGACATTCGTTATTCTACCATCTTTATTTTTTTTCCCTTTTCTCTTCCTTTTCCCTCTTAATACCGCCTTATGAAGTGTATGAACAAGGATATTATAATGCATTGCATCCAATACCCTCCTCAGTCCTGTCAAACCTCGCCTCAAAGGAGCCCATCCTGCTTCGACCGCAACGTCTCAAGACGCCTTTTATATCCATCGTCCATGTCAATCATTCCTTCGAGTGCCTCCATCACGTCAAACACGAAATCCTGACAGTTCCAGCTCGGAATATCATTGCGTATGGGCACGTTTGCTGCGATATCAGCGACTCCTGGTGCCTTGGACTCGTCTATTTCGCAGATGTAGTAGAGCTCGAGCAGGGTTCCGTCTTCCCGGACGTTGGCTGTGCGTTGTTCGTATCTGAAACGGCCTGAAGAGCCCATCGCGTTGAGGATCAGTTTGGTTGGGCCGTCGACGAAGAGAGCCCAATGCTTGAAGAAGCAGCCATCGTCGAATATCGCTGCGTAGACACCAGGCATGTTTATGTCTATATCCTCTGCGTCTTTCTATCTTGGTTATATCTCCATCTTCATGATGGCTTTCCTTCTCCCCGCAAGAAGCAATATGTCATGTGATATTCTCACCTCCCAAAGCCTTCGACTTTTGCGGCTTCGCAAGTCCGAATGGAAGAAAACAACTTGAATATAAGAAACATCACCTTCAGGCTGGGTTTTCTAACAGGAGAGAGATAGCAGACAGAGCATCTCTGTAGACAAAGCATGCTGATGCTGTCTCTGCTCTGCCTCTTTGGCTCCCTCTCGTTGCTGCTGTGACCATTGTCGTCATAAGTAGAGAGAGAGAGAGAATATACAAGTACAGTGATACCAAACCCCTTTGCCAAAAGAGCTATTATTCCATACCATTCTAACGGTCTCCAGCAGATTTACGAGTCTACATTGTTGCCATCATGACCTCTTCTCCGTCGTATATCGACTACGAGACCTTCCTAGACCCGTCCTTCTCACCCACCTCGTTTGCCCAGACGCTGGTGGCAACCACCAACAACCCGTCTGATACTCCTCTCGACCTATCCACCCCCCTCTCTCGTGTGCTGTTCGACATCCAAGAAGTCGACAGCCACGTCCACACGCTCACAACCAAGTCTGCCTTACCATTACTACGGTACACGACCGATACCACAGCCTCAGGCCAGCGTGTACTTCTAGCCCTTGAGGCGCAGGTTCTCGCGCTCACGGAAGGGTACCAGCGGCTTGAGAAAGATGTCGTGCGTCGATGGGAAGGGGCCGAGGAAGTGCGCGGGGCGGCAGAGCGGTCCTGGGCGACTGTCAAGCTCGCCAGGGCGGTGTCGAGGTGTCTAATGCTGGGCAGGCAGTTGGAAGGGCAGCTGGTGGAGATCAGCGGGAGGGAGCGAGAGGACCACCGGGCGCTGGTAAGGGCGTCCCAGACGCTGCTGATGCTCCGACGGATGTTTGCCGACAATGACGACGGAGAAGGAGAAGGGTACGGTGTCGGTCTAGACCGGGTGAGAGTTGTGAGGACGTTGAGGACGGACCTGGTGAATCCGGCGGAGAATAGTGTCAAGGCACGCGCCCAGCAGATCGTCAGTCGGTTCTCACTGCCGACGGACGAGCAAGGGCGGCAGAGCAGCGGCACTGGATCATCAACGTCGTCATCAACATATGCACAGCAGGAAGAGGCCCGGGCACGGCTGATATCAGCCATGACGGCCCTCTACCTGCTCTCCCCTACACCCCAAATACAAGCACACGTCTCAATGTCGGCCACGGCTAATTTCCAACCAGAGCTGCTCCTCGTGACACTAAAGTCGTTCATCCACTCGTCCCTGACCGCCTCTCTCCAGGCACTGATGCGAGGGCTCTCTCAGCTCCCATCCCTGGAACGCGCACTACTGGAGGTATCCAACCGATGCCAGGCCCTGGTTGTGCTGGAGAGGATACTGCAGGGTACCAGGCAACCTGTGCATCCGTTCTACAACCACGCCACCAGTGACTACTCTTCTTCTGCGACCTTGAAAGAAAAAGAGAAGAATGCAAAGAACAACCTACTGTACCCGCTCCTCCAGTACCTGGACACGTCGTCTCTGCCAAGCTACTTCTGGCGCTGTCTTGCGTCCGCCCTGTCGCCGCGAGTGGGAGAGCTGCTGAACCGTGGCGGGGCGGCCGCTCGGGCCCTGCGCGGGAACCGAGAGAGGCTGCGAGATGAGATCCGGCAGTGTGTGTTACGCGGGAGCAGCAGCACTTCCAGCAGCAGCAGGGACAGAGACAGAGACGGAGACGGAGGCCTGGTGGTGGGCAACTGGGAGCGGGAGGCGGCCGTCATGGTTGGCGCCGTGCTGGGAAATCGGTAGTTATTATCATTATTATATATCAATTTTTATTTTTTTCTTCTCAACCCAGGCGTTGGTTCTATCATATTTCCCCCACTCCCTCTCGTCTGTCGTGTTCTCCTAGGTGTATGCATGGCGTTGTTTCATGGATTATATCTGTCTACTATGTATGTCTGTCATACTAATGGTTATATGTTGTGTGTCTTTGCATATGCAAGCCCTGTCATAATATCTGTCAAAGTCAACCAGTACACGCAGCTTAATGCCAACCACTGCCACAAACCCGTAACTAATAATATCAAGTCAAAAGCATCCGGCAACCTGGTTCAAGCCTGGTCAGGTCCTGAATATGACGTCTCTCTTCCGGCATCCTTCACCTTCTTATCGCGTCGTACACACAGACAGACAGGAAGAAGCAAAGGGAGTCGACATCAACATCAGCATCAAGCAGGTTAACCAGAAGCACAACAGCATCCATGGATCGATCGCAGAGGAGAAGAAAAAAGAGAAGAAGAGGCAACTTTTCTCTCTTCTTCCCTGGTCATGTAGAACTGGACTGGACCGGATGGTGAGACTTACATGCAGGTACAGCTTCTTGTTACTTTCTTCTCGTCTCCTTACTTTCCGCTTACCTGCTTTTTCATCCTAGGTCTAAAAGAAGATGGTTCAAGGCCTTGCAGGTACCTGTACTCCGGTATAACAAAGCTGGGTATACTTATAAATAACCAGTCGAGGGATGCAAGAGTGGCGGGAGGGGGTGGGAAGATGATGAAAAAAGGGTGCCTGGATCGATCGATCGGCTCACGGCATAAGAAGCAAAAACATAAAATGACAGCGAAGAAGGTATCGGCCAGGACATTTTTCGTATCCAGGGCCTTGCAAGGACTCGCCTCTTCACATGCTTCGTGCTACGTGCGGTTGATGGGTGGTTACAGGCCAGGTCCCGGTCAGGGCAACGCAGCCTGGTTCCTGGATAAGAGGCAAAGGGTGAAAGAAGAAGACGAGGACTACGAGAAAAGGGACCATCCAGAAATATGGGCTGTGTACAAGGGTCTGCCAGACAGCGAGACAGGGCAGACTACTTGCTATGTATGAGAGAGAAGAGAGAGACAGCGAGACGACGGGGATATGCAAGGTACCTGTACCTGGGCAGGGCTAAGGCAAGGCACCAACCGGAGGTACCTCGACGCCCACTTAGTGCAGGCCAGGTACCTTTCGCTAGCGCCACCTACCTTCTTCTCCAGTTAAAGGCCTTTAACTAAAGGCGCAGTCACCAGTTAAGACCTCAGTTAAGGCTCCAGTTAAGGACTAGGGGGGCCCCTAGTTAAGAGGCTAGTTAAGAGGCTAGCTAAAGGCTTTTACTCCTTGGAAGTACCGGTACCTTTCCTTTCTGCTCGCCTGGGTGGCCCGCTCAGCCGCCTTTCCTGGTCCAAAGAGGAAGAGGAAGAAGAAGAAAGAGAAGAAGAAAAAAAAGAAGAGCCAGCCAGGCTTTTTCTTCTTAGGGCTTTTTCATTCTTCCTTTTTTTTTCGTTCCCCTCTCCGAGAGATGCCATGACTTGCATCCTCCTGGCTCTGACGTAGCCCTTCGCTTCTTTAGCCTCATCTTCTTCTCTCATCTTCTCCTCGATCTCTCTCTCTCTCTTTTCTTCTTCTTCTTCTTTTCTTCTTCTCCTTCACCTTTTGGAAATTCACTTTCTCTTCTACCCGGAGTACTTCGACCGCTTCGGCTACTCGACTCCGACTACTCCATCCTACATCTCGACTATCAACTTCTCCAGCTTCTACTACTCCACGGCTGAAACAGACAACAGGAGAGCATCCATGTAGAACAACTGCATGACCTTCCAGCCTTCAACATCGTCTACCAGGCCGACACTACCCAGAAACATCTTCTCGTCTCTGTTCTGGCCTTCTCCTGCGCCTGCAGTGTCACAGGGGCCTGGTTCGTACCTGAACGCCCTTTCAGAGCATCAGACGAATATCAACATCGCCATCTTTCCGTCACCCTCGCCACTTTTGGGGACGGCCAAACGTCACTCTTCCAACAATCCAGAACCCACAAACACATAAACACACAACTCACAGCATTCCAACAGTCGAATGTTTCGGTCCTTTCTGCGTTGATCCATTTCTTTACCTTCCCATTAGAACGACCCACTTGCCGCCGCCGTCGTGGTCGTCGGCGAGGTAACGCTAAAGGAACTGCGACAAGAGAGCAACTTTGGGAAATAATATAAGCATAGATGACACCCTCGCCTTTATCTAGCTGAGATTCCCCTCCCCTCCCAGCTCGACTCTCTCTCTCTCCTCTATCTTTTTTCTCTTTTCTTTTGTTATCTCTTATTATTATTCTCTGGCCAGGCTATCTTCAGGTCGCAGGACGGCAGTGGAAGAAGAAGTGAAACAGACGGGGGAAGACAGAAGAAACCAGGGGGGGAAGAGACGAACAGGAAAGGACATCAAGTGAGGGAGAAGGAGAAAAAAAAAAAAGAAAAAGGCCAGCAAGATGGTGTCGACTGCGATGCCCTCGTTCCTCCCGGTGAACAACTCTCTGTCTATGCCTCTGGCGGACCAGCAGAAGAAGGAGCGCTCGCCCGCAACACCTACGCCTTCGTCCGCGCCGGGGATCAAGAGACAGTCGAACGGACAGGCACTCGCTAGCCAGACTCATTCTCCCACCGTCACATCAAACGGTATATCAAAAACAGACCTCAGCTCGAACCGTGGAACGAACAATGTAACCGTTACCGAACAACATCAACAGCCACCACACTCTCATACAGCGTACACGCAATCACATACCATGTCGGGATCCTCGTCAACACCTAATCGCGGCGCTGCCGTCAGTCGCGAGGGCTCCTCGACCCATTCCTCCGCCTTCGATGAGCTACAGCACCCCGACTCGGACGGAGAGCACTATCCGTCCGACAACGAGGTAGAGATGGGTGGCACCGGAAATGCCGGACCTTCAGGCACTGGCCCTGCAGGTACTTCAGGGGCCGGGGGGGCCGCAACAACAACCTCGACTGCTCCCGCTGGGCCACCGTCAAAGAAGAAGAAAGGCCAGCGTTTCTACTGTACAGACTTTCCGCCCTGCAACCTCAACTTTACTAGAAGTGAGCATCTAGCCAGGCATATTAGGTAAAAGACGAGCCCCATCCATATACATAATTGTCCCGGTGTAAAAAGTGCTAACGATGATATTAGAAAACACACCGGGGAACGCCCGTTTCAGTGTCATTGTTCACGCCGGTTCTCCCGTCTCGACAATCTACGCCAGCATGCTCAGACTGTACATGTTAATGAAAACATACCCGGTGATTCCCTCGCGGCCACCGGAACCCGCTTCCAGCGCCAGATACGGACCGATCGGGTACGTCCTACCGGTCGAGCCCGCGCGGGAACAGGAGGAAGCCATTCACACAGCCACAGCCGCAATCTATCAACCTCCAGCATCTCATCGAACTTGTCTAGCTTTCCTCCTACGCATCAAGAGTTACGGCGCAGACCGCCACCGTTGATGATGGCTGGATCCGGCCCTGATCCCGCCCGCGGCCGGCTATCACTCTCTCTGGAGACGATGGGTGAACCTCCCAAGACACCCCCAAATCAGTCTGTTTCCGGACCCATCTTTACTCCTTCATCAGCTACATACGACCAATCGAGTCCATACTATGCCTCCCCTAGCTCAGCATACGGTTCGTCATATTGGCCAGACCGCACCTTTGGTCGTCGTCTGTCAGTCCCAACAGGTACCCGACCGTTTGACTCGCATTCGAATTACCCCAGCCAGTCACCGTTTATTCGTATGACCCATCCGCCACACCCAGGCCCGTCAATAGCACCTGCTCCGGCTCCCGTATTGGCCCCCGCACCAACAGAAGGCCCCCCATATGCATCCGTAACACCAACCAGCTCCATTGATTCGGGGTTTGAAGCCGATCCCCGGCGAAGAACTTGGCATCCTTCATCATATACTGGATTTGCACGCCCTGCCCCGGCTACCAGTAGCCTATGGTTCCAGCAATCTGCTGATCCACCAAGCGTAACCGCGGGTGTGAATGTACCACCAATATCTTCGCCTTCTCAGCAGACAACCACTCGTCTACCAGGCATCGAGTCTTTCGACCAAGTTCCGCCACGCCGGGACCTTGACCGTGATCGAGACACCAGCCCTATGACCCTCGACCGCCGCCACTACCAACCCCAGCCATACTCGCAGCCGCCACCGCCGCCGTCACACATAATAAGTAGCTCGTCCTTCGCGCCTACATTCAACGCCACGCCGCGGCCAGCTCCGCCATTCTCCGGTGCTGAACATCGGCGCGGCCAGCTATCACTCGACACTACTTTACAGCGAACGTTAACCAGGCTAGACTTACATGGCAATGGAAGCTCCAGTGGCAGTGCCAAAGACGCAGCAAGCTGGAGCCAAGCTACTCTTGGTGAATTACAAAGTATTGGCTCACGACCGTCAACAGGAGCAGGTACAGGCCCTCTAAGAGAAGAGGCTGAGCATGAAGAGGATATGGCGGGAGATGACGGGCCGGGACCAGATGTTCCTACCGAAATGCCAACCACACAGTCGCAGCCAGCGCAGTATGAGACGAGTGCAACAGAACAGCAGCGAATGGCTGGAGGCAGTGGCGGCAGTAGCAGTGATGGACTAGGCCGTCTCGAAGCATTGGTTGCTGTCGCTACAAGTGAGAATAAGAAAACCAACTTGTAACTTGCAGCGTACATGCTCACGGATCACGGCAATGATTTGCATTCGACTATTGATATGGAGGAACAGTATGAATATGATAGGAGCGCTTGGGTCTACTGCTTATATCTCCTTTCCCCCCTCTTTATCCCTCTCTCCCGTCTTTTTTCTCCTTCCTTCTCTTGGCTTTCCCATCTTATACATACACTCATACCCATACATACAACGCCCGCCACATTTTCGTCTCTTTAGGTTGTTTTTTATCTCCCTCATTTTTGTATCTTTTTTCCTCATATCTCCTTTTTGTTGGTCTCATCCTGGCACAATGGATCATTGATTACCATTGTGGTTGTGGCATTTTGTCTCTTTGTCCCTGACCTTGTCCGTCTTGTTTATATACTTCCAGTGCTTTATATTCCGGTTTACCTGGTCGCCTTATCCGATGCGATGCGATGCGTGGTGTGGTATGAATCATTTATTTACTTAGGCTATTTCTTCTCTATTATTATGCAGGTCGAAGTTGAGACAAAAAAGAAGGATGAACTGTGGATGAAGACGCTGAAATGAATTGAAACGAATTAATGACTCTCTTTTTTTGTTATCTACCCTCTCGTTATCCTTCATCTTGTTCGCTATTTTTTTTCGCTTCTTGGTCTGTTTTATGAATATCTTTGCCTTGGAAAGGGGGCTATGTTGCTTATTGCCATCCGCTGCATTCATGGCATACAACCTGCTTGTTTTCAACATTATTTCCTACCTACTTCGACTCTTACCTCAATTCCACCGATGACTTCCTATCCATTCGTCCATTTATCTACTCACTCGTCTTTCCCTTCATACACCCCGGTTGAAAGCATGGGGCTGGCTACGGATGAAGTATGAACTAGATCCACATTACCTACCTCCCTGTCTACTTATACCAGCATACGGACAAGGCCGTACGGGGGCCAACACAGTTGGAAAGGATACTTTTTGACTTTTCTATATGATTATGATATTGGGCACTGATGACGATTCACTTCAGGATATATATTCTTGCCTTTGATGATAGCTATGGATAATCGGTTGGTGGACTGACGATATTCGGTTTCGTGTATCTACTGGTTTTGGTATAATGAATTTTTAATATGCATATGAATGGAATGGGTTTGAGATATGGGTATTCCCTTACGGTATCGGTTACTTCCTCTCCTTTGAGCAATGGGTTGGTAGATATGTTGATTTATAGAAGTAGAAGTAGACAATAAGGATTCATTCACGTATATCTCATTGTACAGACCTATGCTGCAATTGAATAACTCTCATCACCAGTCCTTTCTTCAAATGCTTTCTGCTTTGTATACTGTTTCCTTGTTCCCTTTAATTCTATTATATAGATTTCCTGGCTCATCCAGCATTCTACATCTCTTTCCTATCTTTCTTCTGGCACATTTTCCCTTGCGGAGGAACTCTCAGCATAGATCCCACAATTACTGGCTAAGAGGACGCAGTCGAACCGCCACAGAAGTCAAACTAACACAAGGGACCCCAGGACAGCATGGGCTTAGGGCGCCAACGGCCCGTCTCGGGTCAACCTGGAGACGGCACAGGGGACAATCCAACCCCGTCGGAGAGAGGAGCAGGAAGGATGACCCAGGAAGTGGGAGAAGAGGGATCAACCGAACAAGGAAAAGACGTACACGAGGATAATGGCTCAGACCGGCACAGGGATAAGAGGCAGAAGCGAGACAGCAATGCTCGCCTTGGACCTGGGCCTGTGCGCCAGTCAAGATTGGGGACAGAGCAGAGAACATACCTGGAACTTCAAACTGAGCGAAGTGAACCTTCAGCTGGACTGCCAATGCATAACCCAGAACTGTATGAGCAGATACAGAGAGATGGAGAGGCAGGGGTATATATCGGCCCAGGAGCTCATATCGTAGGTCGATATGCGCCACAACGACGGAGTGACCATACTGCAGGCAGCACCCTGACCCCTGTTGGAGATGGGAGAGCAGGGGATGCAGCTGAAACGGTTATTTCGGCTTCGGCTACAGGAACATCAAGTGATGGTGATGAGCTCCCTGCCATAAACAAGAAAAGACCTCATGCGGAAGGGAGCTCGGGGTTAGGGGGTAATGGCAACGGCAGGCCTGTTGAAGGACAGGAACCCAGGGACGGGACTTCGGGAGAGAATCGCTCGCACTCGTTTGATCCCAAAGAATGGCAGCTTCCTCAAGCTGCAAATCAACGGAAAACAAGGGATATTGGCCCTGAATTCAGTAAGTCCGCGTATTCCCCCTGTGCGGAGCTAGCTTATGAGGGACTAAACATTCAATGAGCAGGGCAAAGAATTGTCATCTCAAGCGATGACAGCCATACGAGCGAGTTTGTTCGGAATGGAGCCAGAATTAAGGAGCGTGCGCATCCTCCTTCATCACCGCAATTCTCATCCTCACCGGATCGGGGCAAGAGGAACCCTCCAAGGGTCACTTACACTGAGTTTTATCAGGAGAGGCTGGTCAAAGAGCTACGTCGGGAATTCAAACGCATGGGCCGAAGGCGGTTGTTTCGCGCCTTTCCTCCCCAATCGTTCTCGACTCGACGAATCAGGACTTGGAGTACATCGAGGATAAGTGTCTTGGGTAACTTTGGCCGGACTTTGGCTAGCGCCTTGCCGCCTCGCCCGCAGCTGACTAGACCTGGAAGGAGAGTCGATCTCTTTTGCGATATAAAGCAAGAAGATTCGCCCATTGAGAGTGACCCAAGACAATTCCCTCTTCCGTCTATTGAAGAGGAGCCGGAAAACGAACCTAGCCCTTCGGCATGGGGGAGATCGGGACATCCGCCTTCTGAGCCAGAGCCTGAAAAGCCTCAGGCTAGCACTCGTTCTGAAGCTGCAGCCGAGGAACCGCCAAAGAGGGGGAGAAGACAGGCAGCCGTCGCAGGCAGACAAAAGATGCTAGAGCGCACTGCATCACCAGCAAGACGCCCGACTCGCGAACCTGCAGCAAGAAAGACAAGTGTTGCGTCTCCCAGCCAGCCACAATCATCTGTCGCAAGAGAAGGTGGAAGAGTAGCAGTCCCCGAAACCATTCATGAAGAAGTCGAGGATACTGAGGAAGAGGAAGCAGAAAGTAGCCGCCAACCAAAGCAAGCTACGAAGGGCAAGGCTAGAGGCAGAGCACCAAACAAGGCTCCAGCAAAGGCTAAAGCAAGCAAAGCACCTCCAAAAAAGCCGGCTTCAAAGCCCAAGCCCCAGCCCAGGAAGAAAGCTGCCCCTAAATCGAAAGCCGTCAGTAAACCAGCTAAAGGGGGTGCCACCAAAAAGAAGAAATGACGTAGTTTTGTCAACTTCTCACCGTATGTTATATGTTATTTACATGGAATATATTCCCTAGAGTTTGGTTTTCTGTATCATATATGGCTGGAATTGATCTTTTTTTGTTTCCTTTTCATCTTCTTCAACTTCTCATCTTCTTCATCTTCGTTTCTTGAAGGAACAAAAAATAACTTTTTGTGTCGTCATGAAAAAAGCGCGAAACGCGTTATCACGTGACATTAAATAGGTTAAACTCGTTTACGCGTTAAAAAAAGGCGACGTGAACGTTGATAATAATGATAAATTGTATGATTGTCGAGATAGCTGGAAGTTATCTTCCGTTCCCCCATCTTTCAAGTCACGAGGAGGAATATTGACAGTTAAAGCTATGGCATCCAGGCCAGAGTTGAAGGTGAGTTCTTTGCGCCGCATTCGCATAGCTTGGTGGATCTAACAGTACGTCTGTAGGTTGACGATGAAGTCGGGTTTATTCGATTTTTTCGCTCATTAGATCCAGAAGACGACGCTACGGTCCGTGTGTTTGACCGTGGTGACTGGTATACTGCCCATGGCGCAGATGCAGAATACATTGCCCGTACAGTCTATAAGACCACGTCTGTCATACGAACACTGGGCCGAAGTGACAGCGGCCTCCCCTCGGTGACCCTTTCTGTCACCGTGTTTCGATCCTTTTTACGTGAAGCCCTTTTCCGCCTGAATAAACGGGTTCAGATATGGTCATCGCAAGGAGGTGCTTCGGGGAGAGGCTGGAAGCTCTCAAAACAAGCCAGTCCAGGAAATTTACAAGATGTAGAGGAGGAACTAGGTGGAGCGTCTGGGGGGAATGCAATGGACACCGCCCCGATTATTCTCGCCGTCAAGGTCGTTGCTAAGGCCAAAGAGATGAGACACGTTGGCGTATGCTTTGCAGATGCCAGTGTACGGGAGCTTGGCGTCAGCGAATTTGTCGACAACGACCTATACTCCAATTTTGAGTCATTACTTATTCAGCTCGGAGTCAAAGAGTGTTTGATACCGGCCGAAGGGCAGAAAAAGGATGTTGAACTATCAAAGTTGAGGCAAATTGCTGACAGCTGCGGAGTAGCCATCACACAACGGCCAGTTAGCGATTTTGGAACCAAGGATATCGAGCAGGATCTATCTAGGCTCTTGAAGGATGAGACAGGACCAGCGATGTTACCCCAAACGGACCTTAAGTTGGCAATGGGCTCAGCTGCAGCATTGATCGGTTACCTCAATGCAATGTCCGATCCATCAAATTTCGGCCAATATCAACTCTACAAACATGATCTTGCACAGTACATGAAACTTGATGCATCCGCTCTCAGGGCGCTGAATCTCATGCCTGGGCCCCGGGATGGCGTGAAAAGTATGAGTCTTTATGGGCTGCTAAACCACTGCAAGACGCCTGTCGGAGGCCGTTTACTGGCTCAATGGCTAAAACAGCCACTTATGAACCATACGGATATTGAGAAACGTCAGCAGTTAGTTGAGGCGTTCGTTACGGACACGGAATTGAGGCAGACTATGCAAGAGGACCACCTCCGGGCCATACCGGACCTATTCAGGCTGGCCAAACGTTTTCAGAGGGGATTGGCCAACTTAGAAGATGTCGTCCGTGTTTATCAAGTGGTGATTCGCATACCTGGCTTTATAAACTCTTTCGAAGGCGTCATGGATGAGAAGTACCAAGCACCTCTGGATGCAGAATACACAACCAAGCTTCGCAAACTTTCAAATGATTTGGGGAAGTTAGCAGAAATGGTCGAGACAACAGTCGACCTTGAAGCTTTAGACAACCATGAATTCATCATTAAACCAGAGTTTGACGATAGTTTGCGGATAATTAGAAAGAAACTTGACAAACTAAGAAACGATATGGACTCGGAGCATAGGAGAGTCGGTCGTGATCTCGGTCAAGACACTGAGAAGAAGCTTTTTCTCGAAAACCACCGAGTTCACGGGTGGTGCTTTAGGTTAACCAGAAATGTAAGTCGAATTAAATACATTTCTTTTGTTTGATACTTTAACTAATGTATTGTAGGAAGCGGGCTGTATTCGCAACAAAAGAGAGTACCAGGAATGCTCGACGCAGAAAAATGGCGTATACTTCACTACATCTACTATGCAATCTTTACGAAGAGAGCACGACCAGCTCTCAATGAACTATAACCGAACACAGAGCGGGCTCGTGAATGAGGTTGTCAACGTTGCAGCTTCATACTGCCCACTACTAGAGCAGCTAGCTGGCATCCTAGCACATCTCGATGTAATAGTGAGCTTTGCTCATGTATCTGCACATGCCCCGACTGCGTATGTGAGACCAAAAATCCATCCACGAGGAACGGGCAATACCATCCTCAAGGAAGCGCGTCACCCTTGCATGGAAATGCAAGACGACATAACTTTCATTACCAATGATGTTTCTCTGATCAGAGATAAGTCCTCCTTTTTGATCATTACAGGCCCTAATATGGGTGGTAAATCTACATATATCAGACAGATAGGGGTCATAGCACTCATGGCGCAGACAGGATGCTTTGTCCCTTGCTCAGAGGCAGAGCTTACTATATTTGACTGTATCCTGGCTCGTGTGGGAGCCAGTGACTCTCAGCTAAAGGGGGTCTCGACGTTCATGGCCGAGATGCTCGAGACCGCGAATATCCTGAAATCGGCAACGTCCGAGTCTTTGATCATAATTGACGAACTAGGCCGGGGGACAAGCACCTATGACGGATTTGGTCTTGCATGGGCAATATCGGAACACATTATCACTGAAATCAAATGCTTTAGCTTATTCGCTACACATTTCCACGAGCTGACGGCACTGGAAGAACGGTACCCCAAGTCCGTGAGCAACCTGCATGTGGTGGCCTTCATCGGAGACGGTCCTGCGTCTGGAGATAAGAAACCAGAAAAAGGGAAAAAGCAAGAAGTCACACTCCTATACCGTGTTGAACCGGGTGTCTGCGATCAATCCTTTGGCATCCATGTCGCCGAGCTGGTCAGATTCCCGGACAAAGTGGTGAACATGGCTCGACAGAAGGCTGAGGAGCTCGAAGACTTCACCACCTCTTCGGCTGATGGGAAGCAGAAGGCCGCGGCCGTCGACAAGTTCACTGCCGAAGAGCTTGCGGAGGGTAACTCCTTGCTCAAAGCCATGCTGGTCAAGTGGAAGGCCGAGGTCGAAGCGCCTGGAAACGAGAACATGAGCGTGGAAGAGAAGAAACAGCGGCTCCGGGATCTTGTTGCAGCAGACGAAAAGCTGCAGGCCAACAAGGTGTTTTTGGATATCAAGGCCTTATAATGAGTGGCTATTTAGATGTTTGATAACTACTGTCTGGTATGGCATTTAGCGATTAGAGGGCACCAAAGTTACCAAAATATCATTCTTCCAATCCCCAGACAACTAGCTAATGTAGGCAACATGTAGATACTGTCAAGTCCATACTCAATAGTAATATAATACACTATGTTGGGCTGCTTTGCTGGCTTCTTAGGCACATCCTCGAGCTTAGTTATCGATAAAAATTGGCTGAAGTTGCCCTTTCTCTCCCACCAAAAAAAAAAAAAAACACATCCATAATATCGACAGCTCGAAGGCGGCACGATAGGAAGACAAGATATCCATGAGTCTACGATCCTTTGATATTGTCAATTGCAGCTCGTAATAATAATAACTCGGACATGCGCGGCAGGCTTTGATTCATGCACCCTTTCTCCGTCTTCGCGTTCAGCATCTTCGTCGCTGGCTACATCACCGCACGCTGGGACTTGGTTACCAGGCTATACGAGCTAGCCATCTTTGCCTGGGATCACGGCGTTGTAGTAGGTTCTATGTGTTGTCTTTTCAACCTGCGTGAGAATAACATGCTGACATCTTTCATGGTAGACTCGCGCCGCCAGAGGGTTCCTCGTTCTCTCGATATTCTTCGCTGCCTTGCTTGTACCGCTAAATCACATCGTGACGAGGGAGCTTAAAGTGGTAAATATACCTGCGCTGGGAGGAGGAAGAAGAAGAAGAGGGAGCAGTTGCAATTGCGCTGGGCAGCTGATGATCGATATGTGTTATATTTTCTAGCATCCTCGCTCTGTGCACCACGGCATATCGGCGCGCGAGCAATTGAGACGCCGCGGATCGTTCTGAAAAAGGAGGAGGAGAGGGACGGAGAGAGGGAGAGAATGTCAGCATGGTTATGAATGATGGCCTGTTGCGGGTGTTTTGGCCATATGAAGTTGCGCTGTCGGATGCTCCGGGGGTGATTGTTGGATGGAGGAATTCAGAATTCGACCTGTTTGTGGTCTCGGTGCTAGAGCATGTTGAGGTGAGATATTGAAGGAATGATTGGTATACTGGGACGTATATATGTGCTAAAAGGCATGAGCAGGCACGAAATGTTGAAAATGCCCTTCGGACGGGTATACTATATCGAAACAGCCCTCATCCGATATCTCGAATATTTGGGCTCTGTGGGAAGCCGGTGATGCATGTACTGGGCTCGACGAACGCAGCAGAGGTGCCGACTGCGTTTACTACGTCTCACATCCATGTGACAACGAGTCCGTCTACGGGGGTTCCCTTGATATACTGTCCTCCCAATGTGAAGCTACCGCTGCAGGTGATCATGTTCAACCGGCCTCATCCAACCAGGATGCAGTACATGTCCCTACGGCCGATTCCTCTGGCTCTGGGTGACAAGCACACGACGTTTGACAAGGGTGGCGAGACGCTGGATGAAGTCGAGGTTGCTGAGGGAGAAGCCAGAGCGCAATCGTCGAGGCTTATAGCAAAGCGAAGACTGGTAACGGTGGTAAAGCATGTACCTTCGTCGAAGGAGCAGGCTCTCGCCGTGCTTATCAACCAGATCAACTGTTCGTTTGAGATGGACAGGCTGCTGCAGAGCAACATCGGGCTGATTGGGACAAGGCCTAAACGGGCTCTGAGTGTCAGCCAGCGGGTGGTCGAATCGGCAACGACAGCATGGGGGGTTATTCTCTGGGGGATAACGTATGTTGTGATGGCCTGGATATACCCTATTATCACCAAAGGGTTTATTGCATGCCTCATCGGCCACCGACTGATAGCTGAGGTGGTGCTGAGGATCCTGGAATGGCGAGCGGCGCCAGATGCAGCAGCGCTGAAGGACATATCCGCCACGGCCCAGCAGATTGATATCAGACTGCAGCAGTTCTGCTACTGGCCTATACAGTACATGACGCTGCGCAAACGCAAGGACGACTGGGAGAGCGTGACGAACAGCCATCCGGACTATATCAGGTTCTACAACAGTCTCTGGCTGGTGGCCAACGATGTGATTATAGGCATTGCCCTGGGCTCCTATATCGTCGACAACGCGGATGCGGTGGCCTCTCAGATCAACTCGGTGCTGAGCGACTGGACGGTCGACGGCCTGCAGCAGACGATATCGTGGCTCATGGGCTGGCCGGCCGGCTTGAAGCTCAATAACGAGCTGGCTGTCTTTCTGGGAGATCTCTTCCTCTGGGTTATCGCCCACTGGGCCAGTAAGTCTATATCTACGCATCTACATGTATAAACATGATACTAACAGGATAGGCGCCCTGGCGAGCCTTCGACCGTTTCTCTCGCACGTCGTCTACATCATCGGCTGCGCGAGCTTTGCAGGAGCCAGCATGGCGATAGCCATGTTCTCTGACCTGCTGTCCATCTTCACAGTCCACATCTACTCCTTCTACATCGCGTCTGCGCGCATCTTCAACTGGCAGCTGACGATAATCATCTCTCTCTTCCACCTCTTCCGCGGCCGCAAGAGGAACGTCCTTCGCAACCGTATAGACTCTTGCGACTACGACCTGGACCAGCTCCTGCTCGGGACTATTCTTTTTACCCTCCTCTTCTTCCTGCTGCCTACTATCCTGGTATTCTACATCACCTTTGCCTCTGCACGGATGGCCATCATCTCGTTGAAGGCAGCCCTGGACACCTGCCTGGCCTTTCTCAACCACTTCCCCCTGTTTGCCCTGATGCTGCGTCTAAAGGACTCTCGACGTCTTCCAGGTATGTCTCTCTCTCTCTCCCTTGCTTCTCCCGGCTGATGATGTGCAGGAGGGACACGCTTCGAGCTCCGCAAACCAGCACTCCCCAAGCCACCAAACGACAAGCTCGAGTACACTGAGACCTCCTACATCCACCTAAAGGTGAGTTCTTCCCTCTGCACACGTACATGCTCCTGGTCTAACATCTACAGTCCGTACCCCTTTCACTGAGAGAGATGTTCGACCAGTACTTCCGGCTGGGCCACCGTATCCGCCAGCACTACCTCTCTCCCCGGGTGATCTTCTGTCTTGCAACCGGCCAGTTCGTGCCTCCCATCCACCGACGCAACCTGTACAGCCTGCAGTACAGCATGCTGCCGGCCCAGCGCGTAGGCATCGTCGACGTCTGGTCTCGACTGACCGCAAAGAGCACGACGGGCAGCAGCATCCACGGCAGCAGCAGCTCGGGAGGCAGCACTCACTATCGAACTCCCCCTTTTCCTCTCCAGGACCGCCGGCGTCGATGACCGTATATAGACATAATGAATCTTTCAGTCACTGCAGTCACCGTCACCACCGTAACCTGGACTCTCTTCACTGTAGCCCTACCTAGCTGTAGTCCTTCTGTAGTCTTACTGTAGTCTTCACTCTGTCTATCCTGACTTCACCTTCCTGTCCTCTTACTGTTCCTTTCATGCTGCCTTCACCATCACCACCGCCTTCACTCCCTCTACACCAGTGAACAGGACAAAGAGAACCTGCCGGAAGCCTCACCTCGCCCTTCACTGCCTGCTTACTTGCTGTCCTCACTTGCCGCCCTCACTTCACTGCCTCACATCGCATCGCCAGACTATAAAACGTCCTCATCCCCCCAGCGTCGACGTCTTCTTCTTCTTCTTCTTTCTCTCAGCATCCGCCGAGCCAGCTGCAGGGTGCAGAGAGGCTCGGCGGGTGCTCTATATAAAGAAGGGCTCTGCCTCCCTTTCCAGAGCTCCTCTTGTCCAGTTCAACACGGTTCAAGGTCTTGAGACTTCTCTTCCCTCGTCGCCGACTTACATCCAGAAATTAGGTCAAGCCAATTCACCCACCTTTTTTTCGTTTCTATTTCGGCTTCGAGCCCACCAAGACCTTGCCTCGCTCGCAGGACGTTATCGCCCGCACTTTTCCCGTTGCCCGGAGTAGTTGTTTTCTTTTCAAACGACGCCAGCCCGCGCCTAGGACGCCAGGCCGCCGATATCAGAAAAGAAACCATCGCCAGAAAAACTACTCCCACCGACCGACCAAAGATGCACGGAAAGTGGACCGAGGCTGAGGACGTCGCCATCGTGGCCTTTCGTCTGGGGACGAACCTGGGTTGGGAGGGCATCAAAGCCAGGTTCGATGCGTCCTTCCCACAAGCCAGCTGCAAGGACCTCGAGTCCCGCTGGAACAAGTCACTCAGGCCGACACCGTCCCCAGGCGATCGCAAGAGTATTGCCGACGCTTTCGACGACTTTCGGCATTACCGACCGAGCCACATCGCAGATGGCAGAGAGAGGAGACTGGTGCTCGCGGTTCTGCGAGTGTTGGCGGACCATCCAGACGAACGGATCGTCCCGCCACACCCAGGTATGTCTTTTTTTTTTTTGGATCTGCTTTGTTTTTTGTTTTTGCTTTGGTATATGGATGCTGATGATGATAGAACTCGAGTCTTCTGGAGATCAAGGACTCCAGCCAGAGGACGCTGTTCCAAGCTCGCAGCCATCGGGCTTGCAGAGCGCCCTGCCGACTGACCCTCCCCAGCCGCCAACTGTTCCTGAGCCACCGCAGCCGGCTGTGTTGCCCGACCAGGCCGACCTTGGGGCCTGGTTGACACAGCCCGATGCACCTTGGGACACTGGGGTTGGCCACCAGCAGGGTTTCGGGAATGCCGACCCAGAGCAACTCCTGAGGAACAGCGAACTGACAACAGCGCCACTCGAGAACCCGTTGTTCGTTCAGCAGGATGACCAGCTTCCCGCGCAGACATATTCGCCGTACTCGCAGCTACAGCAGCTACAGCAGCTACAGCCAGCCCAGCCAGCCCAGCAGCAGCAGTCACAACCGGAGCACGGGCTATTCGATCCCAATATCGATCCCCTGCTCTACGAATATCCGTGAAGACAGCAATATGGAATCAACAGCCAAGATACTCATTTCATTTGTTCTTCTTCGATAAAAATTCTGCGTCCTGTTCCCTGTTCGAACTCCGAGCTTCCTCTAGCATCACGTCAATCCCCCTCTCCTTCAGCGTTTTCTGAGAGTGTCAAGTCAGTCTTTCACTTCTCCATCATCCAGTCAAAAAGTCGTTGTCTTCTTTTGGAACCAGCTCCCGGAGGTTTCAAAACTCACAAATAGACACTTCTTGTACTGCTGAAAGACCTCTTCGCATTCGTTCGTCGACGTGTTTCCCCGAAGGAACTCTACATCATCCGTTCTTTCAGCTTCTTCCTCTCTTCTTCTCGTGTCTCGTGGTCTCTATCTCGCGTTGATGCAACTTACTCTCGCTATACCACTTGAGAAAGCACGAGTCGTACTTCCTATCCAGCAGCAACATCAATCGTCAGCACAGCACAGCACAGCCTCCTTGGATCACCTCGCTCACGCAACCAGAGTCATCCATTCCAACTCACTCTTTGATCTCGTTGCACTCCGGTGCCAGTGACGCAGACATGTCGGGTCTCAATCTTTTCGTCACTCGATCCAATTCAGCTTGCTCTTCAATATCAACGCCTTGCCGCTTCAGCCTTCAACCAAGTCGGTCCCTAGACAGCAATACAGTCAACCTGAAGTTCAAGTTAGCCTATCAGGCTCAAGGCATCAATCTCAACCAAAAACATCAAGCTCCACCAAGGCACCAAGCTGTTGTTTTCTGACTTTTTACATCAAACATACACACTTCTTGTCTTGCTGCTTCAGTAAAGCCTGATGAACACAACTAGTTAACTGCCAAATCAATCTTCAAGCCGGCCTTCAGCCTTCAAGGTATCTTCCAGGCAACCTTACTTTCAACCTGAAGCTCAAGTTAGCATCAAGCTCATCCAAGACATCAAGTTGTTTCTTTCCACGCACTCACGCTCGCTTCTTGTCGCTTTGCTTCAATCCAGCCTGATGAATCAACCAGTTAACCACCATGCCAATCTTCAAGTCGGTCTCCAATCTTCAGGGCATCTTCAAGGCACTCACTATCGACCTGAAGCTCAAAATCAGCACAAAACTCATTCGCGACATCAAGCTTATAAAAGTCATCGACAATACAACAAGCTGCTTCCTGACTTTATTATCACACCTACTCACACTTCTTCTTCTTCTTCCGCTTCGACCTCTCTCCAAGCTGAAACTTCTTCCTATCCTTCCAGACGTTCGAAGCGCAAAGTCACTCTCACCGACTCATAAACAGCTCTCGGTCGTCGGTACAAGCTGCAAACAAACCCTCCACGCAGCCAGTTCTTTTCTCTTTCAAGGTATCTCTCGGAGGATCAAGGATAAATTGTCTTCTTTTTGCTTTCTTGTTTTCTATCTTGTCTTTCATCATGTTTTGCTCTTCTTGATCTTTTTTATGTTTGACGGCAAAAAATTTCTCCGAATTCCGCCGAACCTTAAAATTTTGAACTTTTTGACTTTTTTTTTTATTTTCCTTCAAAAAACAAAAAAAAAAAAAAAAAAGCAGCTTTTGAAGTTGACTTTTGATGATTTTACTTGCAAAGAATGTTTTTGTTGATAAATTGAGGCTGTTGGGACGCTTCTTTAGTGCAATACAAAGCAATTTATCCTCCTCCATACCCTCTCAATTACGTCTAGCGAGTTTTATCCATGGAGGGTGCGGCTGATTTCACTCCTTTCCAGGAGCAAGTACAAGCAGCTCTGGTCAGCACCACCAAGACAACCAGGCAGATAATAGCAGAAGACCTTACTTTCCACCGCTCGTTTGATCCAAATACTACCAAAGCGCTCGATAAGCAAGGCGCCAGGCTTCTCAATCTAACCAATTCGTTACTCCGAATCGCATCGTCGAATAACTCGGATTCACCATTCAGCAGCAACCACAGGTCAAAGTCTAGTCGTCGCCCCGTTCTGCGCGATGAAGAGTCAATAGACGAGAACTGGAAGTCTGTCGTGGATGTTATTGACGAGTTGCTGGAGAAGGCGGACGCGTGCCTGGACGAGTTTACGGGTATCATTAAGAAGCTTAGTCCGTCGCAGCAGGAGAGACAGCAGAGGGGCGACCAGCGGCAACAACAGGAGAATTATGGGAAGACGGGCGGGTTTCCTCGCATGTATAGTCATGGATCGTCGAAGATAGCGAAGCCCCAGCTGGGGTTTGATGTGCGGGTGAATAACCTTGATGATGGGAGTGCGTTTAAGCCGTTGTTGAAGAGCAAACCTCACGCTTTGGTGCCTTTGGAGGAGAGCCTGGGAGGCAGTTTGTCTGATCCTACTAAGCCGTATGTTTCGAATGATTCTTTTTTACGAGTGAATATGTTACTGACTATATATAGCTACCACCATCCGTATGAGAAGGAGATTGGTGAATCGACGTATCCGGCATCAGTGTACGAAAAGCGAGAACCACAGATGTACCAGCCTGTCGAGAACACAAAGGCAACCTTTGTAGAGACGATGGAGGATGTACACGCGATGCTGGCGGAGCTGAAGAAAGCCAAAGAGATCGCAGTTGATCTGGAGCATCATGACGCCCACGTCTACCATGGTCTCGTATGTCTGATGCAGATAAGCACGCGGGAACAGGACTGGATAGTCGACACGCTCAAACCCTGGAGAGACCAGCTACAGGTGCTCAACGAGGTGTTTGCAGACCCGTCCATCGTCAAAGTACTGCATGGCTCAAGCATGGACGTCATCTGGTTGCAGCGGGACCTGGGCCTGTATCTGGTCGGACTGTTCGATACATTTCATGCGGCAAGCATGCTGCAGCTGCCGAAGAAGAGTCTCAAGTTCCTGCTGCAACAGTATGTGGGGTTTGATGCCGATAAGCAGTACCAGACGGCCGACTGGAGGATACGGCCTCTGCTACCGGGCATGTTGGACTATGCGAGGTCGGACACGCACTTCCTGCTGTACATCTTCGACCGGCTGAGGAACGAGCTGATTGAGGCGTCAGGAAGGGACGCAATCGAGTATGTACTTGAACGGTCCAAGGAGTGTGCCCTGCAGCGCTATGAGCGACCTACCTATGACTCTCTTCGTGGTCGAGGCAACGGTGGATGGCACGATATGCTGTCCAACAGCCCCGTCCTGCTGACACGCGAGCAGTTTGCCGTCTTCCGGGCACTGCACGAATGGCGAGACAAGACTGCCCGCACCGACGACGAGAGCACGCAGACGGTCCTGTCCAAACGGTCACTGTTTAGGATTGCGCAGGAGATGCCGGTGGACAAGTTTGCGGTCCTACAGCTGGCCTCACCCGTCTCTGCATCACTGAGGAGCCGGACAGAAGAAGTAGCTGCGCTGATCGCAAAGGCAAAGAAGAACAGCTCTACGGGGCCGGAGATGCATGAGATGATCCGACGATCTCCGACTGTTGCTACCACCACAGGCCAAGCAAGGGTTGTAGCCGCCAAAGGCGCGATGGACCGTGAGGCGCAAGACATTAATACTGATGATATCCCAGGGCCAAGTACAGCAGAGACAAGCGTGCGGGCCTCCGTGTCGCAGTTCTGGGGCCAAACCGACCGGACAAGCCAACCGTGCGACAACTATAATGGAGAATATTCTACCTCCGCGTCGACACAGGCCCTGCAGCTATCCCTGCCGCTGCCGACGATGCCTGTCCGGGTCATCGAGGGTGAAGTTCCCCGTCCCGACTCCGATGACGACATGGAAGACGTGGAAGAGGGGGAGGAGGAAGAAGAAGAAGAAGCAACGAGACCAGTGAAGAGCAACGAGATCTTCACGGTGAGACAATTTGGAGTGCCACAACGCAACCCAGCTGCTGGAGATGCTGATGAAACCGCCGCCCCTGTCCAGACGTTTGATAAGGATGCGTCCGAGATCCTGCTTGAAGACGGTGGCTTGGACCGGAAACAGAAGAAGAAGAAGGAGAAGAAGCAGAGGAAACGACAGCGAGAAGACGAAGATGAAGGGGAGAGCAAGCCGTTTGACTACGCGAGCGCCGAGTCACTGATACATCGACAGGAGAACAATAAGCACGACCAGAGCAGTAAGAAGGGAAAGCCAAAGGAGAGACGATTCAACCCTTACGACAAGCTGCTGGATGCGCCTTCGGGAGTCAAAAAGGTGCGCAAAGAAACTCCAGGTCGCTCCCACACCTTTCGCTAGCGGCTCTAGTATACATACTGCTACTACTGCTACTACTGCTACTACTATGCATGTAACGTATCTCTACAGAGGCGCTACTACTACCAATTGTACTATGGACATACGGGAGCTGAAGAAGCCTGATTTGCTGGCCTCCCATCATCCATCGTCGCCTACGACCCTTCCAGCAGTCACGTCCGCGAGTCTAACTGTAACTTAATACGAGAGTGGAGGCAGCAGATGGATCGGAGAATCCTGAAACAAGGGCTTGTCGCAGGTTTCCGTGTAATGTGTGTGTGCCTCCTCCGATGTAGGGACCAGTCTTCGGCCTTGGAGTCTTTTTAACTAAGCTTCACATCTTTAACTAAGTCTTAACTAAACCTTTAACTGGGTCTTAACTGGCTTAACTGGCCCAACCCCGCCAAGCCACCCCTAGCGCCGTCGACTTTTAACCCTGCTGGGCCCCTAACTTGTACCCCAGCCTGGTTTCCTCGGGCTTGCCTTAGGCCTGCCTGGGGCTTGCTTTAAGGCCTTGAACCGCCTCCTCTTTAGCCTGCTTAGGCGCTGCATGAGGTCATGCGACTGGGGACTTTTTTAGTCTCTTTGCTTTTGCTGTCACCTTTTTTTTTTTGTACCTGCTTGTGCCTGGCTTAGTGTCTTTTGCCATAACCTTTAACTACCTTCTTTAACTAACTTTTTACCTTCTCTTAACTAAGTCTTTAACCCCTTTAACTGAGTCTTAACTGAGTCTTTAACACCACGAACGAGTCTTTAACTAACTCTTACTTCCACGCTCTAACGGCCCCACCGCATGCTTGTAGTCGTTTTTTTTCCCTTTTCCTTCTTACGCTCTTCTTCTTCCCCTTTCGCCCTCTTTTTCTTCCCTTCTTCCTTTCTTCTTCCCCCGCGAATCTCTTCGTCCTCCGACCACCAACTTAATCGACCTGATCGACCATCGCCCATCGACATCAATCAGCTAGAAGAAGTCATATCCTCTGCTCGACCGTCGTCTGCGCCCCGTCTCTGCACCATTGGACACTCTGCAGGAACCATTGGACGTTTGGTTCGTTGGACCCTGACCCTCCCGTCGCCACCAGCCAGACAGTCAGAACAGACGGACAAGACCCTCTCGATGACCGCTTCGATGCTATCGTGACCCCGTAGGTATCACATCCTGCTCTTGATAGATACGTATGCTAACAGAAGAGTTCAGAGCAGTGAAAGAGTAGACTATGTCAGTCACAACCATGCTGCAGCCAGCGTCCCGCGCCTCTCGCGCATCAACCTCCTCCTCCTCCTCCTTCCAGCCCATGACCAGGCAGAACACCATGTCCTCTCACGATGCCCGCTCCATGCGCCAGTCGAAGCGCATGTCCGTCACCGCGCTCTACCTGTCCATGTCCTCAAAGGAGAAGGACCTCGAGATATCAGATGAACTCGCCAGAGGTATTTCCCCCATTTTACAGTGCAGGCAGACTATATATATTGGTAGACTAACGTTATAACAGCGCAAAAGAGCCTGCGGGAACTAAAGTCGAAGATATCTACTCAGTCAAAGAAGAACTTTGTCCTTGAAAAGGACGTCAGGTACCTGGACAGCAGAATAGCCCTGCTCATCCAGAATCGCATGGCCCTGGAGGAGGTAAGTGGAGGAGGAAAAAGCATAAAAAAGAAGAAAAAGAAGAAAAAGTTAACAGGAAGTAGCAAAACGAGGTAGCAAGTCAACTGGACGATGCGGCAGATATCCAAGAAGGGGCCTTTCCCAACGACGACAAGACGCAGAAATACGGCAATCTGCTCTTCCTCCTTCAGTCCGAGCCCCGTCACATCGCCCACCTGTGCCGTCTAGTCTCCATGGCCGAGATCGACTCGCTGCTCCAGACGGTCATGTTCACCATCTACGGAAACCAGTACGAGAGCCGCGAAGAGCACCTACTCCTCACCATGTTTCAGTCCGTGCTCACGTATCAGTTTGACAATACCCCCGAATACTCCTCTCTCCTACGGCAAAACACTCCCGTTTCGCGCATGATGACCACGTATACCCGTCGTGGACCGGGACAGGCATACTTGAAACATATCCTGGCAAGCCAGATCAACTCCCTCATAGAACTACACGACATCGACCTCGAGATTAACCCGCTCAAAGTCTACGAGGCCATGGTGAGACAGATCGAAGCAAGCACTGGATCCCTGCCCCCGTACCTCGAAAGAGCCGTCACCGCAGAAGTCGCTGCTGAGAACGAACAGGTCCAGGCCATCATCGCGCCCAGACTCAAGATGCTCTCCGATCTGGCCAACAGCTTCCTCAAGACTATCATCGACGGTCTCGAGGAGACTCCCTACGGCATCAGGTGGATATGCAAGCAGATTCGCAGCTTGTCGAAGCGAAAGTACCCAGACGCTCAGGACCATGTCATCTGTACCTTGATCGGCGGCTTCTTCTTCCTGCGCTTCATCAATCCGGCCATCGTCACCCCGCGATCGTACATGCTGATTGACGGTACTCCAGCGGAGAAACCGCGCCGCACCTTGACGCTGATCGCAAAGATGCTGCAGAACCTGGCCAACAAGCCTTCCTACGCCAAAGAACCCTACATGGCCAAGCTGCAGCCATTCATCGAGCAGAACAAAGATCGAGTGAACCGGTTCCTCCTCGACCTCTGTGAGGTGCAGGACTTTTACGAAAGCCTGGAAATGGATAACTACGTCGCCCTGTCCAAGCGCGATCTCGAACTGCAAATCACTCTTAACGAAATATACGCTACCCACGCCCTCATCGAAAAACACTGCAATTCCCTCTCGACAGACCAAAACTCCCACCTCAACGTCCTCTTGCAGGAACTCGGCCCTGCTCCTCCCCAGCTGCCTCGCAAGGAAAACAGGTCCATCAACCTGCCCCTGTTCAGCAAATGGGAAGCTCCCATCGACGACCTCACCTCCGCCCTAGACATCACCCAGGAAGAAATCTTCTTCATGGAAGCCAAATCCACCTTTGTACAGATAATGCGCTCGCTGCCCCACAACAGCTCCGTCACCCGCCGCCCTCTCCGCCTCGATCGCATTGCCGAAGCAGCTGCCACCCTTAAAAACGACGCCGTCATGGTTCGCAAGGGCATCCGCACAATGGAACTCCTCAGCCAGCTCCAGGAACTCGGCGTCATCGACCGGTCGGACGACTTCTCTCTCCTCCGAGACGAGGTCGAGCAGGAACTCGTCCACCTCGGCTCGCTGCGCGAAAAGGTTCTCGAGGAACAGCGTAAACTCGAAGAAGTCTACCGTACCATTCGCGACCACAACGCCTACCTCGTCAACCAGCTGGAGACGTACAAGTCGTATCTGCATAACGTCCGCAGCCAGAGCGAAGGGAAGCAGCGCAAGACGCAGAAGCACCAGGAACTAGGGCCGTACAAATTTACACACCAGCAGCTGGAGAAGGAGGGGGTCATTAGACGCAGTAATGTGCCCGAAAACAGGCGGGCTAATATCTACTTTATGTTCAAGAGTCCTCTCCCGGGTACTTTTGTCATCAGTCTACACTACAAAGGTATGTCTCTTTTTCTTCTTCTTCTAACGAGAGATTAACTAACCTGAGCAGGACGTGCCCGTGGCCTCCTTGAATTGGATCTAAAGCTTGACGACTTGCTAGAGATGCAGAAAGACAACCAGGAAGATCTAGACTTGGAATATGTCCAGTTTAACGTCTCAAGAGTCCTGGCACTGCTCAATAAACGGTTTGCCAGGAAGAAGGGATGGTAATATCTACATCCTACTAATTACTTCTCTTTTTTATATCTCTACCTATATCGTGGGTCCATTTTCTTTTCTTTTTCCTTGCTTCCCCCCTCCCAGCTATCGTTATCGTTTGGTTTTGGTTTGATCAACATGGAGAACTCGGAGGTGATACGCGCTTTTTTGCTTTCTTTTTGAGGATGTGTTGATATTCCTCCGTTTCCCTTCTTCTTCTCCTCTTACTTTTACTTCTTTGCTTCTACTTCTTATATCTTATATTCATCCTTCGACGATCATCCAGTGGATGATTGTCTTGATATTTTCTTTCCCCCTTTTTTACATCTACGTTATTACTTACCAGCTTCTTCCCCTGTGCTCTTGGTTTGCTCTTTACATACCCCGGTTTCTCGTCTGCTCTTCTTCCTGATAAGTCGATACGTTTCATTCGTCCCCTTTCACATCTACCGCTATGTATTCATCTTACGTTTATATTATGCTCATGTCTTCTTTATGTTACTTTTTACCTGTATCTCAATATCAAGTCTCAGGGAGGGAAAGGGAGAAGGGAAGAAAGGGGAAGAAAGAGGAAGCATGTTCTCTATCCCTTTCTTCCCTTGATATCTATCTATATATCTTACGCCTGTTATATCTATTTTCTACTTTTCTCTGCGCTGTTCTGATTTTCTTTACTTTTTCCCATACACCAGAAGACGGGAAAACGGAAAAAAGGAGGGAGAGGAAAAGGGCAGGTTTTAACTATTAATAAATAATCCCAAGCCATCATTCATGATATTCTTCCATGGTCTCAGCCGTCTTATATTAGTCTTAAACAACATCTCATATATTATAACTAATAGTTAGCTTGCTATGGCGCTTCATCCTGGTTTCGTCTCGCACCCCACCAGAAAAGGAAAAAAAAGACGCCAACACATCAACTAAGTAGACCAGCAAGTCGTATACGGTGTCTCTCTCTCTCTGTCTGTGTATATATATCAAGGCCTCTCGCTCTCCATGCAAGCGAGACCTTCTCAGACAAGTCAGACAGCTGAGCGCCGGCCAGGAAGAAGCTCCGACATATAAATACATAAGCGATATAACTACTCCAGAACAGCCACAAGGAGGCAAATCCGCCCCCTTTCCACCAACATATATATCATCATCTTCTCCATCAGCTATAACAGAAGCCTCCTCCTCGCCTCGCTACAAGAATAAGAGCTAGAACAAGAATATCGACTGTGAGAGAAGAGCAAGAGCACAAGATGGCAGCCCAACAGCCACAACCGAAAGATCTTCCCGTCGACTCGAAATACGACCACTACGACTTCCCCACGTCCGCTCCCACGCCGCAGGCAGGACATCCAGGGTACACCACGCCCGAGCAGGATGCCCAGGTCTTTCAGCTACGAAAGTTGTTGGAGGACGCCGGGTGTAAGGAGAGGCTAGATACGTTGACCCTGCTGCGGTTTCTGAGAGCGAGGAAGTTCAATGTCGAGGCATCGAAGGCGATGTGCGTTTTATACTTTTCAACTTTGGATGTGATAAAAAAAAAAGAAGACGATGAAGATGACGATGGCTGACGGTTGTCCTGCAGGTTTCTAGCGAGTGAGAAATGGAGAGCGGAGTTTAAGACGGATACCTTGGTTGCGGACTTTGATTACTCGGAGAAGGAGAAGATGTTTGAATTTTATCCTCAGTATTACCACAAGACGGACAAGGTAGGGCAGGCCACGACAGCCTCTGCAGGTGTAGAGCCGGTTGATGGATGATTGCTGACTGGGTCCTTCAGGATGGACGACCGGTATACATCGAGCAATTCGGCAAAATCGACCTTACAGCCATGTACAAGATCACTACCAGCGACCGAATGCTCAAACATCTAGTATGCGAGTACGAGAAGCTCGCAGACAACCGCCTGCCCGCCTGTGCCCGAAAATCCGGCCACCTGCTCGAAACCTGCTGCACGATAATGGATATGAAGGGTGTCGGTATCTCCAACGCCTCGTCGGTCATCGGATACGTCAGACAGGCCTCTGCCATTTCACAGAACTATTATCCTGAACGGCTGGGAAAGCTATACATCATCAATGCACCGTGGGGTTTCAGTACGGTATTCGGCATGGTTAAGGGATTCCTGGACCCAGTTACCGTGAAGAAGATCCACGTTTTTGGCAGCGGGTATGAGTCTGAGCTACTCTCGCAGGTTCCAGCAGAGAACTTGCCCGTGCAGTTTGGCGGGAAGTGTGCGTGTGAGGGTGGTTGCATGTTTAGTGATATGGGCCCATGGCATGAGCCTGAGTGGGCGTCTGGCTCCAAGGATGCTGCTGGTGCTAAACAGGAGCCGAGCACGGAAGACAAGGACAAGAAGGAGGAGGAGGAGGAAGAGAAGAAGGAAGACGAGGAGAAGAAAGCTGTTGCTGAAGATGCTGGTGCTTCTGCTGCGACCGCTACGACTGCCGCTGCTCCTGCGGCTACGGCATAGACAGGTTTTTGGGCTTCCTTTCTACTGGAGAAGGTAGACGGTAGAAGAACTTTTTTTTGATCGGGGACGGTCTTTCATTCGTATATACATTATACTACCTGATACTTCTTCTACATAGTGTTGGCGATGATTCGAATGAAAAAAAAAAGAGCCAAGCTTCCTGCAATAGATGCATCTTTTTTGGCCTTCATCCCATGCCCCTTAATGTTGCTCCGATACTGAAGTATACAACCCTGCCTTGCTAGGCTGCAAGCAATATCAAAACTTGTCTTAAATGTGCAACAAGGAAAGTGTCAAGAAATAAGGAGTTTAAAATAACCCCTTTCTTTATAACTAGTAATTACATCTTCTCCACTACTCCAGTAGCAAGCCGTGCTCTCTCTACCTTGCCCACCGTCCTGGCCAGGGGAGCACTGCCACTATAACTGCTTCCGTCCTCCTCTTCATCTTCATATCCAATCCCACTCCCTTCCCCTTGTAATCTAAACAACGTCTCTAGCGACCGAGCATAAACATCACTCATCTCTCCGTCCCGCCATCGCTCTTGTTCCTGGGATGTTGCTTCAGGAGGTTGAAGAAGCCATTCAGGATGCTTTCTAAGTAGGTTCTGTATTCGGTCCATATCTTTTCTCTGCTCGTCTTTCCGCCTTTGTTCCTGGTCCGTGTCATTATGTTTAACATTATTCTCGTCACCGTAGCCTTCGTAATCTAGCATATCCTCATCCTCGTCTTCGTCATCATTTAATAATGCATTGTTGAGTGCATCTTCGTATGCCTTTGCAGCCTTGAGCGGTGCATCCCGTCTCATCTGCGCGACTGTTGTCGTGAGTGATTCCAACTGCGCATAGAGAGATGTAAGTCTCGTTGCAAGATCGGTGTCAAACGGTTCGTATTCAATCGATTCGCGAGCTGTCAGTAGCGATTCAAGGTTAATCGCTTGTTCATCTTTGGCAGAGCTTTGCTTCGTTGATGTAGATGCCGTGGTGTCGATTCCATTTATGCTTATAGAGGGTATGGCGGAGGTGAATGTCTTGTTTATGAACTGGTAGACGGTAGGGTTAGCATTAGATCTCAGACATCCCGAAGAGTTATTAGCAACACACCCCGTCTACTAGACTGCGTACACGCTCTTTCATAGGGTCCGAGTCATCGTTGGCGGACGGAGGGAAATGGAGATCAATCTTTTCGCGGGCCACGGTGAGCGCGTTTGTGTAGAGATAGGAGAGGTCTGCAGTTGACTGGAGCTCGATCTTCCGGTGGTGAGGTTCCTGCATAGTCACTATCGCCCAATAAGTGCTTGTCCTACGCCCCTAGATGTCTCTTCACTGCAAATGCTGTATAAATATCACTGATTGCTTCTACGTCTTTTTTATCTGATTTCGCGATTGCAAGTGTTGATATCCCTTTTGGGTTTAGCGGGGAAGAGGTGATGTCATCATCTTAGTCATCAATGTTTTGCCCTTTTTTCATGTTTTAACTACTTTCCAAGGTTATAACAGTTGATGATATATAGAGAAAAGACAACCAGCGGGTTTCTTTTCTCCTTTTCTCCATCCATAGTAGAGACAGGAAAAAAGCGTCATTCTTCTCTCTCCTTATGGCGACGGAGACGGCACCGTCACGGCTTACCTCTGGAGCTGGACATTTGGCCCCTTGACTCGACTTATCCTCTGATCAAAGTCAACATGGACAACGATGGCGGCATTGTTCTGGTAGACAACACCTGTCCAGCACCAGAACCAGACGAAGCTGAGGTCGGACTGCGAGCAACACGGACTAGCACCAGCCATCGATCACTGGCCAAGAAATTAACCGGCCTCTCGGTTCGAGAAAACCTTGCACGGCGTAGATACGCAAAGTGGCAGCAAGGACGCTACAATGGCGTCAATGGTGTGAACGGCGTCAATGGGGATGATAGCAGGCCCAGCAGAGAAATAGAAAGCCCGAAGTCAAGGAACCCGTCAATTGCACCCTCGTCTTCGGCGGTTCGACGACCGGAATCGGACGTAGGTTCCGATACCGAATCATGGTTGCAGGAACAACCGACGACGGAAGAATCGCAACAACAATCAGAAAGTGAAATAGATATCTTATACGAAAACCAGCGAGGATGGTTCTTTTTTGGCAAACCGATATTCTCGAGGAACTCGCTGTTGAACCTGGACCCGCCGGCTTGGATGACGGCCAATTTCGAACAGAGTCCGGTAACAATTGCGAATGCACAGGTCCCCGATCCAAGTTGGGAATGGGATTGGAAAACATGGTATGTCGATATGTCGTATGATGTCGACGAGGAAGGTTGGCAGTATTCTTTCTCCTTTGCCTCCAAGTTCGCCTGGCATGGAACCCATCCCTGGTGCCATTCGTTCGTCCGACGGAGACGGTGGCTGAGGAGGAGAGTGAGAAGACCTAAACATAAGCCTGCAAAGGGTATCAACGGTTCTAGGCTGCTGGGAAGCCGTGAGCAGAGTATTGTCAGTGCGGGTGAAGCGGGAACCAACTACACCGGCCGTCTATCGAGAATGTCTATGGACGAGTGGGAGGAAAGAGTAGCTCCTGAAGATATCACAAATGTGGCGATTTTATTCAAAGCCATCAGGATTGCCACACTTGATCGTGAGAGGATAAATGCAGTGAGAGAATTTATACATCGGGGAGGAGACGGGCTTGTGCTGCTGGAAGATAAGGTGAGAATGCTCCTGTGAGACTATATATGGATGGCTTGGATGTTTGCTGACATGACTTTATTTAGATGCCCGAAATATTGTCGATGCTGCTCTTTCAATCTTCCCGTCGGCAGTTAGTGAAGTTGTTGAAACGGTCAATGGATGAGATACCGCAGGACTCTCCCGATGAATCCGAAAGGACCGTGCGGGAGAATCTTCACAAGGCGTACAGAGCTGGTGACCGGCTCATGAGGGAGTCGTTGACTTGGAACGGCGCATGATGGCGTGTCTTCATCTTCACTGAATTACCTACCAAATATTCTAATTAGAGATTACATTCATACTTCATCTTCTGTCTTCTATCGTATTTATATCTTCTTCCCCAACTTGTCCCTGCTTACTAAGCATACCCATGTAGTTTAGCTCAAAAGCCGCAAAAATATCGAAAAAAAGATCAAAAAAGGCTTTTTTTCAGGCGTTGAAGATCGAAGACCAGAAATCATTCGATGTCCTGACAACGTTGCGGGCAGCTCAATGCTCGTCGGCAGCTATCAATGTTCTCAGGCAGTCGATATTGCTTGTCGAGGAAAACAAGCATACCCGTTGCCGAGAATATCAGCACAGCTTTGAAGAATGAACCTCTTCTCTTCCTCTATCCACCGGCCTTCGCTGCGGCGGTCGATAACTCGATCGTGCTCACAAAACCACGGCCGGCCCCAGATGATAGAAAACAGACAAAAGAACGAATAAACCGTGAGCCAGAGGATGCGCAGTGCCGGCAATGGAGGACTTCAGGCCATCCCAGCTCGGAACTACCTCCAAGCATTAGCACCGAAAAACTCCCGCACGACACCGTACAACCTCAAGCTAGACCTGAAGCCATCTCTCTGAACACTGTTCAACCTCCGCCAATTGTCGAGTATGCCCGTGAGAGAATCAAAATCAAAACGAAGGACAGCCATTCCCTACCAAATCGATCTAAACATGCCCTACCGGGAGTGCTTTCTGAGCTCAATCATCCAGAAACCCAACTGAAAGTCCAATCGTTAAGCCATGACTGTAACACGGCAGCTCAATCAATAACTAGGGATGTATCAGTAAAGAAGAGAGGCCGTCTCGGTGGATGGATAAAAAAATCGGCCAAGGGAGTTCCATTACGTTATACCAAATCCATGGCCGATTTTGACAGGAGAAATACTTTCAGCAATCCCTACGCGGTGCAGACAAGTCCTCCCTTACGATATATCCGCCATGGTTACAATGACCCCATCAGTCACCGAGTATACCAGCACAGAACCCTCGAGGAACACAGATGGGACTTACAGCGTCAGGCTGGCATCTGCCTTCAACTTGTGGAAGGGTTCAAGAAGGTGGTTGGCAATAAACAAGAGCCTTCAATAGATGAATATCAAAAAACAATTACCTTAAGTGAAGCTGACGTGGTTGCCTTGGTGGGGGATGAGCGTGAAAACATGTGGATTATACCTTTACTGAGTGGTTGCCGTGCACACGTTCTCCCTCAAGCGCACGATTCATACGGCCCTCGCCGCTTGGTGTTAAGCGGCACACGGGCAGCCGTAGAAGCTGGAGAGAGCCATATCCAAGAGCTTATACGAAATCTTCCCAAGAACGACCTTCCTCCTTTCACTCCGCCTCCCAAAAATATTCCTCAGAAACCCGTGATACGATCGGTATGGGCGTCACTTCCGCTAGAGCCGCTTGAGCCTGGCAAAAATGAGATAAAGACGCCTGATAAGTTCACTGTTAAAAGCTTTGCGGATTATATTGAAGATTTGGTCCTTGCACCAGTTACACGCTTGGTCCATGGGCGACTCCACCATGCACTCGGGGTATCCCATAAGGATGCGATTGGAGACATGATCCGCCGCCTCTTACTCGACCCTGAAAACCGACAGTACTTCTCTTCTCGTTCAATATGCCTTGCCATATCCTACTTTGCGGGTAATCACGCTCGCTCATCACTCCATTCCCTGCTTCCAGTTTTCGAGGGCCAGATGACCTCACGGACAATAAATGCGCTTATGCGAGCAGCTGTCCTTCGCCGAGATTTTGTAGCCCTGAAATGGTGTATAAATGCCATGAAACGGCAGGGAATATGTCCTCGCAACTGGGCTTGGGTATCAGTTCTCTCAGCGATAACCCCCAATGCCCACCGATTTGACCTGCTGGTTCGAGCCAAAAACTCTGGGGTCTTTGACGACAGGCATGTGTTCCAAGTTGCTGTCTCAATATCCATCCAGCCGAAATTTGGAAAATGGCTCAAAGATGGCGGCACAGTATCTGATTTTATTAAGCACATGGATCAAACACTTGGCAGTGACTGGATGAATGTTCGAACTATCAATAGAATGATCCTAGAGGGTTCTTTATCCAGCCGGCCAACTGCGGTCTCGGAAATCCTGGAGTTTTGCGAACGAACGTCTTTCCGGCTTGACACCACGAGTCTAAATAATGCACTGTTTTACTTCCTTCATCAGTCAGACAAGATGAACAAATCGTTTGTGGCTTTGTACTTGAACGTTTCCGAAACATTTGGCATCAAGGGCGATGATCAAACGATGGATATACTTTGGCACCTTGCGTGGAGAGCAAGGGCGTATAATATCTGCCGAGTTCTCTGGCGCCACGGCTGCTTCAATGGCTGGACTACACAGAAAATGCAAGTTAGCATATATTCATCCCTCCGCCGAGAGGTACATGGCTCTGCACTTCCAGAGCGTGAGTACTGGCTTCAGAATATTGGCAAGGTAGTCGCTGGTGCCATTCCGTTCGAAGACTTAGGGACGGACGTCAGTGAAGCCTTTAACAAACTTGTACTCGGGGTCCGAGAATCGTCCTCTGAAGCATCGCCTGAATGGCGGAAGGAGTTGGCAAAGAAACTGGTGGACAGTGACCTTAGTGTTTCGGATAGAGGATATAGCTATAAAGAGCCCCTGAACAAAGTCCTCGAGAGAGCATATGCTTTGGATGAAGAATGGGGTTCTTGTCATGACAAGCCAGTCCACTGGCTAAGGAAGAACAGTGTGACAGTTGACGTCGTTAAACCCAGGGTTAGGGTCTCCAAGTCCCGAGAATCCCTTCTTGACTCCAGTGTTAAGTTAACAAATAAGCGCGAGCCTCTCGCTCTGAATGGCTAACTATCTTTACGGTTTCAAAAAAATATTATACCCGATTTTGCATATAGCGACCCTCATGCTGGGATGCTTCTGTTTTGTATAATAATGTATCATTACTTAGATATAAACCTATATCATTTCCTGGAGTTGGCCGATTTCTTCCATACACTAATGACCATGCTTGTACCTTTAGGCCTCGTCTATCACCGGAGTATTTAGCAACATCACACAGGGAGCTAAAGCGTGACTGAGAGTGGTCGATGGGACGAGTGTTCGCTAGTTGATGCATTCTAGTTGCAGTCACCTCGGCGCGTGGAGTTGTATATCCAAATGTTCACTGTCCGGGTGTGACGGATGTTATATTCCGGCAAGTGTATGTGTTTCTCGTCGTATCTCATAGAATTCGATTCGTTTGTGTGTATATAACACGGTAGTATGCTCATACATGCCATATGTCATATCAACCGGACTCAACAGACATGGTGGCCTGGATACTCGCCGTTTTCACGCAGCGGCAAGCCATCATGGTGCCCAAGACAAGGGTCCGAGGTCGGAATTATGCCCACATCTTCCTTCAGATATAAGACAAACCGAAAGGCAGAGTTTCCATTAAGATAATACCGATGCAGCTGCTTACTCCTGAGAAATCCCAGCCTCTCATAGAGCTTCATTGCCGGCTTATTCGTTATCTCCGTCTCCAGGACGATCTTAGAGACAAGTCAGCACTGTACATATTACGGATATACCATGGACAGCCACACGCATACCTCATCCGCGTCTCTCTCGATCATGGCGTCCATGGCCAGACGAACGAGCTTGGTCGCTATCCCTTTTCCTCTATGTTCCTCCTTCACCGCAAGCATTGCAATGTATCCCCGTAACGGCCCACCACGGTGAGGTTCCAGCTTTGAGACCACGACGCCGACCAAGTCGTCCTTCTCGTCCATTGCCATGAAGCAGAGATCTCCCCATTCGTAGAGAAAGTAGCGGTAGACGTAGATGCTGTACGGCTCGGAGAGGTCGTGGGATATCAGCTGGCGCATTGCAGCAACGTACTCGTTCTCTTTTGCGGCCTCATACTGAATATAGCGAAACTGCGACGGAGCGTCCGCCATCACAGCTCCGACAGTCTAGAGATATCCGCAAAGAGACAAACGGACGGAGGCAGAAGTCGTTGTTCTGTCGACGTTCTATCGAAGTTTTGCTTCCCTTGTTGTTCCTCGATCTTCTTACATCATCGCCAGGTGGAGCTTCTTCTCTTCCTCCGCCTCTTTTCTCTCTCCCTGATACAAGAGAATATTTAAAAGACTTCCTTGCCGTCTTCTTTTTTTCTTTCTTTCTGATATTGTCGAGCGCGTTGCCTTAATTCCATGTGATTGACACTAAAAGTTGGCTGCCATCTATTTCTTTTTATTTCTTTTTGTATTTTATTCTTAGGAGGCCGCATATCTTCTTACGATACTACCTACTATCGGCCTATTGTTTGGCCTTCGATACTCGCTTCCGGAGAGATATGAACAGTCGACTGGCATCTATCTAGTTTGCGCGCGCGGTATTATATCTATTATGGCGGAACTCCGACGTCGGTTTGGCGCAGACCTCGTATCTACATCGGACGAGAACAGCCCATCGGACTGGCAGTCGAGAGCCACAGCCTTTGGCAAAGTGACAGAAGAGACGAAAGAAGAAGATAATTGCCATAAAACCACCGAGAAGGAGGTCGTATACGTTCATGCTTCAGCGAAACCCGAGGATGCCGCACCACAGGTCAAGACAAGAAGTAAACGCAGGAATGGATTGATATTCGGACTTGGAGGGATCTTTGGGATCTTTGTGGCGTTGTTTTTCGCAAATCAAAATGAAGTCATCAGCTTGGATGCGCTGCTGGACCTGAATATCGATTCGTTGATCGATGTTATACCCGCAGGCATCGTCCGGGATGCAAAGGAGTTTTCAGTAAGGACATGTAGCTCCCTCCATACTTCCAGGCTTATAGTATACATGCTTACCCTAGAATAGCAAAGTGAACGCGATGCGGTTAGCTATGATTCGTTCTCGGTGGGCCTGCACCTGCGGTCACAGGGTATTCAGGCTTCACATCCTGTCATTATGATACCCGGAGTGATATCCACTGGTTTAGAGAGCTGGGGAACAGACGAGAAATCGAGACCGTACTTCCGAAAACGCCTCTGGGGCAGCTGGAGTATGATGCGTGCCCTCGTTCTTGACACGGCAGGCTGGAAGAATAATATCATGCTAGACAAAGAGACCGGGCTTGATCCGCCGGGTGTCAAACTCCGGGCTGCTCAGGGCTTCGATGCAACGGACTTCTTCATCACTGGCTACTGGATTTGGAATAAGATATTGGAAAACCTTGCGACAATAGGGTATGATCCGACAAATGCATACTCGGCGGCGTACGACTGGAGACTGTCATACCTCAACCTCGAGCATCGAGACCACTACTTTAGCCGGCTAAAGGACCATATAGAAACCGCAGTGAAAGTTGACGGGAAGAAAGTTGTCCTCGTCTCCCACAGCATGGGCTCGCAGGTAGCATTATTCTTCTTCAAATGGGCTGAACACAAGGGTTACGGCAACGGTGGCCCAGACTGGGTAGATCGTCATATTGCATCGTGGATAAACGTCAGCGGTTGCATGCTAGGTACCTCCAAGGGGCTTACGGCAGTATTATCCGGAGAGATGAGAGACACGGCCCAACTCAACGCGTTTGCCGTGTACGGGCTAGAAAAGTTCTTGTCCAAGGAAGAACGAGTCGAGATTTTCCGCGCCATGCCCGGTATCTCCAGCATGTTGCCCAAGGGCGGCAACGAGGTCTGGGGCAACCACACCTGGGCTCCAGACGATTTCCCCAATCAACCTGTCACAAACGGGAACCTGCTTAACTTCCGATCAAACACTACCCTCGAAGCTGCGGCACGGCATAACTTCACCGTCGAAGACGGGCTGTCGTACCTATACAACATCTCCGAACCCTGGTATCGCAACCAGCTTGATGAGAACTACTCGCATGGCATCGCACATACCGCTGCCGAAGTAGAAGCCAACGAGGACGACCCCCGCAAATGGCTGAATCCACTTGAAACCCGCCTTCCTCTGGCCCCGAACATGAAGATATATTCCTTCTACGGGGTCGGCAAGCCAACGGAAAGAAGCTACTTTTACCGTGAGGATTTAGACCCCTTGTCCAAACTGAACGTCACCATGGACACGTCTGTGATGGAAGGCGAGGGCGAAGGAGGCGTGGATCGCGGTGTAGTTATGAGCGAAGGCGATGGGACTGTCAACTTGCTTAGTTTGGGATTCATGGGGACTCGTGGATGGAAGATCAAGAGGTATAACCCGGCCAGGATACCGATTAAGGTGTACGAGATGCCTCATGAGCCTGAGCGGTTCTCGCCCCGGGGCGGTCCCAATACAGGTAAGGAAGATTATATACATGTTTGCTACTTGAATTCTCTATGTGAGGTGCTAATATATGTTGATAGCCGACCACGTCGATATCCTGGGCCGGTCGTCACTGAATGACTTGATTCTTCGCATAGCTGGCGGTAAAGGTGATTCGATCGAGGAGAACTATGTGTCTCGGATCAAGGAGATAGCTAGCCGGGTGAAGATATATGACGATGAGTAGCTTTTCTCATGATAAGTTGGTTAGATGGGAGTTAACAGGCAGGTTGGGTGGTTGGTACATATGTAATAGATGGACCCAGATCAAACAGTCTAAAAGAGCATTTAATGCAGCAGATATTGGTTACAGACGATAGTTTAGAAAAGAAGATATTTCATAAAATCAATGGATTAGGTATTATGCTAATACAATACACGCTACTCAGCAGATAAGTGAGTAGCCGTTGAGGGTATGGGTAGAATAATACATCAAGGCAAGCAGCAAGCAAGGGGCGGGAATAATAATAGCTGTAAAGCACAAGAAGGGATATCGTAATGATAGCGTCGCTCGCTTGATAACACCAGCAAGAAGGATTTAAACCAATCGAACAGATGTGAAGGTCCAAGAAGGTGTGTACGTGGGATGCTTTAATCCCCAGCCAACAGGCTTGCTTGCTTGCTCGGGTCATGGGTAGAAGAGAGTCTTCTCTGTCTTTGCTCTTTATCGGTTCGTCGTCTCTTTGCATCCGCAGTATCGCGGAGCCGTCCATCATCCCCTTGATAATAATCGGGGATGGCTCATCCATTAATCGACCTGCCTCTCCAAAAAAGAAAAAAAAAAAGAATATCCGTGCTTTATTCGTGCTTTAAAGCGAATGATTCTTCCGCCGGGATATATCCGCAGATCACTAAACGAAGGTAAGAAAAAGTGGTATCACACGCCAATCACTCCGTTAACACCAGACGCCCGTTGCCCTATCCATCCCAGTATCCCGGTAAGCAAGCACTTTTCCTCTCAAGAAAGAAATATATATAAACCACTCAGCCAGCCTATATAAAGAGGCACTGGAGAGTGGGGTTATGGTGTAGGGAGCGTCATATCCAAGCAGTTAAGAATGGCATATGTTAAACCGGTTCGATTCTTTCGAACGTTCCCCATCCCGTTCCAACCTTGTATGGCCACCCGATATTAAAACATTATCATATCGTTTGTGTGTTCATTTCTTGCTTTTGGTGTCTTTGAGTTATCACCTTGAAATACCCAGGCCCGTCTCAAGGTCTGAGGAACGTTTCGGTACAACCTCTGTATCCCCATCCCACAAAGATTGCTCGTCCACAGGGCTCAAGGAACCAGAAGATATCGACGAACTGGATCCGACAGTCCACTCGTCGCTATCCATCTGCAGTCCATCAGCAACATCATAGCCATACGATCCAGGCATCGTCATTTCGGCAGTTCCCACTTCAACATAGTCGTAGTCCCAGCGCGTGAACTTGTCGGCTTGGATGCGTGGAAGGAAGCGAGATTTGACGTAGTAGAACGTCACAGCAGCGAGGAGGCCGCCACCGATAAGGTCGACGGCATAGTGGTGGGAGAGATACATGGTGGACCACCACAGCCAGACGACGTAGGTGATGAAGACTGGTTTGAGTTTGGGGAAAGCATGGCTCATGAAGAGAGCTTCAAAAGTTGCATGGCCTGCATGCAGGGATGGAAAGGCGCCAAACGGAACAGGCGCCGCGGAGAAACCGGAGGTGTATAATCTATGCAAATAGAGCGTCGATACGTGCTAGGCACCGGGATCGCCTGGCATGCCATAGTGAGCTGGCGCGAGACCGTAGAGGTTTTCATACCACGGCGGAGAGCAAGGGAAGAGGAACTGTATGATGACACCGGCGATGTTCATGTATCCGAAGCTGCGAGCGAAGATTGGAGTGATCCCGGGGGGACCAAAGATGAAGAGGAAGATGGCGCAGACGACAGGAGCGCCGTAGTGCATGATGCCGTATGGCAGCCAGGCTAGAAGGTCCAGAGCTGTAGACTGGTGGGCAGAAAGGATATTTGACAAGTTTGCGCCGTAGATGATGTTTTCCAGAGCAGGAAGAACTCGAACCCAGATTGGCGGTCGCCACTCACTGGGGATGAATCTATAAAAGAGCTGTTGTTTAGCACGGCATCCCAAAGCTTCCTCTTGAGATAGCAACTCACTGGCAAGCGTAGAAGAAGACCAGCCAGCAGATTGGCGGCAAGAAAGGAAGAAAGAATTGGCAAGTTATCGGCATAAGGAGTGAGCTTATCAAGCCCAGTGCAACGATCGTCTTTGCCAACGGTCCGGGCGACTCGATAATGCACAGAGAGAAGATGCCCAGCACAATGAGAATGAGATATTGACCATCGTATATGGTCCATCTATGAGCCTGTAGAGCCTTGAGGGTGTCTAGAGGCGAGAACGAAGTCGACAGGCGGGTAATGGAGGAAGAAGGAGACGTTCGTGAGCGCAACTTGGACCGGATGCGGCGGCGAAGTCGTGAAGGGAGCGGCAGCAACAGCTGAAGAGATCGCCATGGTATAAGGAGAGGCGGTTTCGCGAGCGGATGGTCCTTCCAGGAGGCCATCTTTGATCGATCTCCTCCCGTTGTGTCTTCTTCAGTCTGCCCGTCAATTGGGTTTCTCCAGGCTCCCCCCAAACTGATGCTGGTCTCGTGTTAAGGCGTTGTGATGGGTGAAAGCAAAAATAACCAGCCAGCACCAGCGAGGTGAAGTCTAGAGTAGAGAAGGAGGAGGAAAGACGGCGAACCGGGAGAAAGATGAAGAGATATCAAGAGAGAGAGAGAGAGGACAGGAAGAAGGAGATTTGCCCTGCTCTTAATCAACTAAATCAAAAAAGCAAAACCTCAAGAAAGAAAGCAAAGCAAAGGCTGCTGACGTAAGGCGGATGGCTCGTTTTTATTTTTTTCGTGACAAGAAAAAGGTCCGTAACGAGGCTGTAACGGAGGCCAAGGCTTGCGTGGAGGTACCGTATGATGTTACAGTACACGGATGCTTCGGATGACGGATCGATGCAGAGGTACCTCGTTTCCCTAGCAAAAACAGTCAGCATGCAAGTACCTCGCCATAACCATCTCATCTCCCACCCGTATTGCTCGCTCAGCCTCTCCCCCTTACGATGTATCTGACCAGCTTTTCCCTTGTCCAGATTGAATTCCGCAGGCGAAACGTAATAATTAGGAGATAGGGGCAGGTTCGCATGACATTAACCGTGTCGCAGCCTAGGCCTTGGTATATAACTTCTATAACTTATATGGTATGGACCACAGAACTGTCAGTAACCTGCCAACTAAAATACCATAGTCTACATCGTATCCTCCTGCTAGTTCCGCTCAATCCCAGCAGAAGCTAGTGAAATATAAAAAAAAAAAAAAGGGAGGGTCAACAAGAAAAACTCTACCTGCTTGGCGAAGCGAACCCGACGGACGTTCGGGCGCCAGATCTTCCGTCTTCAAGAGGACTCTTTCTTCCGTCGCAAGGGTCCCCGAGGTATAAACTAGTTTGCAGGGGGCTCTCTTTGGTCCCCCTCCGCCCCGAAGCCCGCTCCCCGAGGCCGAGATGAGGTCACGGTGCGTCTGGTTGCGAAGAGCTGAGGGAGGCTGGCAACAGTACGTGGCTCCGTCGAGGCGCGGAAGACGAAGCTGTGACGGCGACTCACTCGCGTGATCCTGCGAGCCGACAGTTGCAGCGTCGATCGTCTTGCTGCATATCCTTGGAATGGGCGTCGTCACGCTAGAACTCTAGTCGACGCAAGATACAATAACTTTCGTGGAGAAGTTTCGATATATTAAAGAATCCTCCAAAAAAAAAAAAACGCCTCTTTTTGATACGTTGGAAGTTTTGCTCGCGTGAGAAGATATGCATAAAACGCTGCACAATGCATGCATAAGACCTAATGCAGATAAACGGATTATGTAACAGGTCACGGGCTTTAGATGAACCTCGGCTTAGCGTGTCGCTTGCTTATCTAAGCTCGACTTTTTAGCGCTGAAGGAAGATATCGGGAGAAGAAGACCGTTAAGATCAATTGAAAACACAGAGTTAAATGTAAAATAGATAAAAAAGGGACGACGGTAGAAATTAATACATATAACGTTATAATATGCTTCGTTAACCCAGTCTTAGGGTTTTATCTTGCGTCTTGCTCTAGCTTTTCTTTGTTGGTGCTTCCATAACTAGCTCTCACCTGGCCTCGACCGCCTTATCCGAAACCTCCAGCTCCTCGCTCGCCTTCCCACCTCCGCCAGCCTCGAGATCCTGCTTCTTGACCTCTCCTCCCTCCTCGATCTGTCCAGCGACCTTGGAGAGCTCGAACTTCCTTCCTCTCATCTCCGGCCCAAAGGCCGTTGTGACCATGATCCCGAGCGCAATTATCGCCGTGGCAACCCCCATAGTCGGCCCGTAGGCAGGCGCCGGCTTTCCGTTATCTCCACGTACGCTCATCGACTCTGCAATCGCATTCACGATCTGGGCGGACGGAGAGGAGATCATGTTGCCCAGCTGATACGTCAGGCCAGGGAAACTGGACCGATACGCGGGCGGGGACAGCTCGTTCAGGTGGATGGGAATAACACCCCAGGCGCCCTGGACGAAGAACTGCATCATAAACCCAGAGGCAGACAGCGAACGTTCGCCGTGCGGCAGGATCCAGGCTGGTATCATGAGGCCGGATATCAGTGCAGCGAGGACCATGGACCGACGACGGCCAAACCATTGAGAGATGTATCCGATGATAGTCCCGCCGACGCACGCACCGGCCTTCATCAGGATAGACGCTCGCGAGGCGGCAGAGTTGTCCAGTGCCTTTTGTGTCAGCATGAAAGTGGTATAGCTGTCTTGGGAAGTGTGGCTGTAAAAGTTGAACCATGCCATGAGGAAGATGCAGTATATCACGAGCTTCCAGTCCTTGGCCAGCATGGCTCTCGTCTCGTTCCAGAACTTGCCGGCGGAGGCGCCATCCCTTTTGCCTTCCTTACGTTCCTTGCGTGCTGCCAGAAACTGTTTGGACTCGGGCAGGAAGATGCGAATGATGCCAGACAGGAACGAAATGCCCGCGCCAATCCAAAAGACGATCTTCCACGAGTCTGTGGAGCCGCCGACACCCAGGTTGGCGCATGCGGCGATCACGTAGCCCATGGAGTAGCCCTGCTGCAGGATACCGGACATCAGCCCACGAGCGTTGACCGGACAGTTCTCGAGGGCCATGGCAATGGCGTTTCCATAGACACCGCCCATGAACAGGCCGAACAGACTTCTCACGGCCAGGAACTGGGAGAAAGTAGCGCAGTAGATGGTTGCGATCTGGAGGGCGCCCAACACGATCATGTTGGCCACCATGGGCCACTTGCGACCCCATCTGTCTCCCGCCAGGCCAAAGACCGCCGCTCCCACGGATCTCAGCAGGAGGGTGAGCGTGATGGCCGTGCTGATGGAAGTCTTGGTCCGATGGAAGTACTTTGACAGCTTGACGGTCTGGATTGAGAGAGCGTGGAAGTCGTATGCATCACAGATCCAGGCGAACAGGCCAACCAGGAAGAAGAGCCAGTCTCGCGCCGACAGCTGGGAAGCGAGCGCGATGGGGTTCTTGAGCGGCTCTGGGTCTCGATACTCGACGTGAGTGACGCCGGTGACCGGGTCAGTCTCTTCCACCCGTACTTTCCAGTTGAACAGGTCAGCAAAGCACTCCATGGGCGACTGTCGGACATGCTTGTTGCTGTTCTTGACGTTGGCGTCGTTGGCGCCGCCATCCTCGCTCCCAGAAGCTCCGGAGGGTTCAGACATCCTCACCACGTCCTCACTCCTCGATAGTAGCTGATGTAGCTGATGTAGTTGTAGTCGTGGCAAAAGCCCAAAGCTGCCAGAGTTAGAAGACTTTAAAGGACCAGACAGTGAGAGAGATCACTCTTTAATGGATGGTACAAGGGTGGGAGTCGATGATGGCAGCGAAGACTTTTTGTCTTTCCATGGATTAGGACACCCCCCTGTCCCAGTACCAGAGTTGCTCAGCTGGACTTTAAACAAAAGAAAAGAAGAGGAGGAGGAGAAGAAGAAGAAGAAGAAGAAGGGAGAAAAGGCGCGGTCCATCGGCTATCCCACCTTTTCTTCCTTGCCCCCGTTGTGGGGAGTCGCACTGCATGTAAGATACACACTCTCTCCCTTCACTACCACGTCGTCCACTCCACGTACACAACGCACCCCTTTGTACGCAGCTGGGGCGTCGCTGGCTTGGACTATCGATCCCATACATGCACTTCTTCCCGCTGACAGGCCCAGAATCTGCAGCTCTCTACAGAGGTACATGGCAAGTTGTATCTCCCTGTCCCCCTCTCTATACATAGTACTACCAAGGCCGAGGTCTAATGCTTGTCTTGCCTTGGCTATACGAGCTAGCCTTGGTAGAGACGAAGCAAGTAGAGAGACCCGTTAAGTAGATCTATTTAACATCCAACTAGCTAACTAGGAGCGGGACGCCGGCTGAGCGACGGTTACATGTGCTACCTCGAAGCATGTAACTTGCGTTTGTATATAACAGCACAAGAAGGTAGGTGGCTGTCCTACTTGAGATGAAGCCGTTGGCTGTATGCCATGTAGGATGCACGACCATCTCGCCGTTTGTGACATCTCCATCTTAGCTACTCCGACTTTTTTTTTTTTTTTGATGGTCAGGATGCTGTGGAGAAGTCCTGCTTAAGGCGACGGATGGTAGAGACGGCTAGTTTGGTTCATACCTTATATATCTCTGGGCAAACTTAAGAGTAACCATAACGCTTATTTAGCTCCAACAACCAACTTCGCATCACCCGAGAAGTAGATGAGATTGTCTATCTGGTGGTACATGATAATATGCATGGAGGAGCAAGAGGGCTCTCTCAATCAGCCTGCCTGAACCACCGATGCTCCAGGGCCTCTCCTGCAGTGATCCTCCTTACCGGGTCTAGGCTGGTCATCTTGCCCACTAGATCTCTCAGGTCTGGATCGATATAGTTCCAAGTCTGAAAGGGCTGTCTGCCTTCCCCTGGACCGAAGCTGCTCGCGAGGGCCACAAAGCGCTCATAGAACGGGTTTTCCTTTCCGATATGTTTCAGGAACCCGTTCAGACCGTCTTCATCCGCAAAATAGGATACATGTCGACGGAGGACGTGATGCCACGAGTCCTCTGCCTCCAGCTTATCCTTACCGACACGGAACACCATTTCGTCAGCCATAACGTATATCATCTGGGTTACAATCAGCAAAGGTCAAAGAAAAAAAGGCATGCAGTTCGAGGAGAAAAGGAATCAGACATACCACAATCCCAAAGGAGAAGATATCTGAACTGATATTCTGGCGTGCCCTGCACCAGCTCTCAGGGCTCCTCCAGATCGCGTTTCCACACATAGTACCCTTGATCCAATTTCCGACCGGCAAGAGGACAGTGTCTTCCAGGTCTGCAATCTGGACACTTTTGATGTCCATATGGCCAGGCGCATTCTCTTCGTAGTCGATCATGATATTGTCGGCTTTGACGTCTATCACGGCAGTTAGCATACGGACGGGGTCTATCCTTGGCGCTATTGAGGGTCTTACCGTTATGCGCAATGTTTTCTTTGTGCATATCGTGCAGACCCCGAAGAGCACAGCGCAGCACTTCGATCCTTGCCTTTTTGGATGGCAATCTCGGACTGAGGCGTAGTAGGTCTCCTTTCAGAAATGGGTATATGAACATTTCCAGAGACTTTACCGTGTCAGTCACCGCTCGCACGTTTGGACAAACAGAGAGCCGCTTCTGTAGATCCAACTGATACTCGAATTCACCGGGGATCATGTTCTTGACTATGTACTTCTTTTCTCCAGCGCTTTATCAGCGAAGGATGTTTTAGCACCAGAGACGCAAACGCCGAATATCAGACACCTTACCTTGCACGGTACACGCATAGCAGAGGCTTTCTTCGTTCAATCAGAGTTTCTTCGATCTTGTAGCTGCACCCAGAATCGCTCCTCAGGGACGTTCCTGGGATAAGAGGCTCCTTGGTAGGCTGATGGGCGGTAGACATCCTGTATCTCTGGGGAATCCGCTCAAAAGCTCGAGATACCGTGCCTGCTCGAAAGTATGACCGCATTAGGTAGATAGACGTACAAATTGAAGATATTGACATCTGTGGGTGCCTGTTGGTCTTTCGTCGTTTACACAGCAAAATGTCGTCCGTCCGACAAGAGGTACTTGGCAAGGCAGAGAATATCCAACTAGTTATTTGATCCAGATATTGGTTGGTTTCCGAGAAATTTGGGGGGTCTACAAAGTAAATAACTGTATAAATATATCAATTATATAACGCTCTAGCGCCTAGCAGCTTTTCTTGTTATTGTTAATAAATATCGTGGTACTTGTTTTATGGAAATATGAAGCGGACACTCAACTAGTTATTAACTAATAATTGGCCATTTATTGTAGTTACATATTGCCGTAACTGAAATGAACAATTCCACTTCAGAACGGGATGACCTGGCTGACCTCCGCATTCCATTCGACGGGTCTCGAGAGCATGCTATATGCATGGTTAGTTTTATATTTCCAACAAAGTGATACTGAGCACACCTACCGCTTTCCCTTCTCCGTTCCCCAACATCCACAGAATATGGAAGCGGGATAGCATATGATCTCGATGGACGGGTTAGTTAACTTCGATCCAGCCAAAGCTAACGGAGAGGGTGTGTATATACCGCTGAAATAATGCCAACCGCAAAGCCTACATCAAATCTCGAGTCAGCGATGATGATACTTACACCAGGAGAAGTGGGATAATATACCTAATGTTGGACCGACGACCTTACAACGACATGGATTTTGGTCGGTTCCACACTGGAAGCATACGAGTGGAAATGGGAAAAAGAACATTGTGATGATGTTAGATCTGGTATATCAAAGGGTGCTATCTGTACAGACTTGATCGGTATACACAAGAATTAAACCGACTACATCTGAGATGAGTCCTGCTCTGCTATATAATAGGGTCATGGAAACTTGTTCAAACAATGACGTTGTAGGCGAAGGCAAAGTTGAGCAAGTTGAACTTCAGAAGGCCCATTGGCTGTCTATCAGATGCTAACATTCTAGTTACTTTCATATTATATCAGCGAACCAAGTTTATATCTTTCTTCCAGTCTCATACTTCAGCTTCTTCCTTTCTGATCTGGTCTCTAACCTCCATCAATGCCTTTCCTAGCAGATTCAACCCCCACTTGGCCCTTTTGGCCGGTGCATTCTTTGCTCCAAAACCAACTCCCCAGATTCTATCGAGAGGGCTGGCTTCCACGAGCTCTCTATCGCCCGTCTCCAACAACTGAGCCTTTAGGTCAGGGTCCTGGGTGAACTTGTAATAATTCCCTTGCACCACGATTCTGAACCGTTCTTTCTTCCACACCTCCTCGTCAAAGTTGGGCACTTTGCGGCCTAGAGCCTTTATCGCCTTAGGACCAGGGACGGGGCCCGAGGGAGCGAGAATCCGTTCGGTAACTGGATCATCGGGGGCGAAGAGGACGCCCTTTTGATGCATCATGTAACTATATATCTGTGTTTAGATCACGGTATATATAAATAGATAAATTCAATAGAACGTCTATGCTGCTTGTATGCTCGGGGTATATCGGAGCTCCTTAGACAACACCATCCACCGTCTCTTGTGTGAGTAACAGACATGAACAGAAGAATAGGCTTACTGTTCGCAGTTCTCATATCTCAGCTCTTCACCTCCATCTTGTCCTGGTACGGTGAATGCAGAGCTCCACCACTGCCCGAGATACCCATGCTCTTGTTCGGGCTTCCAGAAAAAGATGGGTTCAGACGACATCTTCAGAAGCTATGTCAAGAGATGCGAAGATGAATAGTCTCAAGTCCTAGAGAGGAAAAAACTGGCATTTAAATATTTAAATAGGCAGCTTCTTCTATGAGTCAAGTGGCTTTTTTAGCCTAGAGGCTCAGCCTCGTCTGCCTATTTATATCGACCTATATCAGAGCGGCCAGGTCGTTCCAACTACTCAAATCACGAGCATGCCAATGGAAGGGTATCTTTATAGAAATTTATTTATTCGAGCTATACGGAGTAGACATTGATATGTAGCTATCTTGAAACTCGATCTCATATCCACTTTGATGATCCATGTTTCAGAGATCGTGACTCGACTCAGTATCCGTATATCCTGGACCAAGTCGAAATATCAGCCTGGGCTAAGGCTCATCTCTGTGGACCCCTGTGGACCCTGCCTATCGCCTATGCGCATCTCTGGAGTGGTCGATTAGCCTGAAGTGCTTGGTACTAAAGGGATCATATTAAACTTACGCCAGCCTGGCACCTGAAACATCCAACATTCTTGCATTCACCATCATTGCTGCATGGGAAAGAGGCACAGATAAGGGCCTACATTATGTCAGTATAATGACCTACATGCTGTGTACGTATGGAATTGGAGATTAACATACACCCTGAGATCCTTGGGTCAAATCCTCCTTGGGCTGGGGAGCTGCAAGAGCTGCGACAGAGGTCACTGCGAGGAACAACATCATAAGGCCCTTCATTGTGAGTATCTTGTACGTTATCTTCGATTTAAGATGTTTGGATGACTAGGGAGTATATTTGGATGATTGAATTGAAGATACTCTGAATTCATCTAGCAACGTCCAGCCCTTTATATATCCTATTGGAGTGCGAGCTGAAGGATTCCCTTCATCCTCCACAAGAGCAAACAAGAAGATAACCCCTCAGAAATGCATCATTGTGGAGAGCTCGAAGGATTCAAGAAATGGCCTGACGGAGTAAAGTGCCAATCAGTGTGGTGCCAATCGGTGTGGAGAGAGCTGAAGATCAAGGATGAGAATGCAGTTGAATACGCCCTTTACTTCCAACCATCAACTGCCATCCCCGCAATCCTTCATATATGCTGTGTCCATGAAGAGTAGTTGGAATATTCATGAGCTGCACCCTTGACCAATAGTAAGGTATTGTCGGCGTGTGTTAATCTGCTTTGCAACTCAACGGAAACACAAGCCAGCAGGTTGGATCATCCTTCGATACTGCATATTCGTGTGCAACGCTTAGGGATACAATACCAATATCACCTTGGGCTTTTATTACCTCTCATCACCGTTATTTACGGGCATGACCCCCAGACTGTGACATATAAAGCCTGGGAAAGGGCAGATATGATGGTCTTCTGACACGCTGGGCTACAGCTTAATATGATCCGCGGTTCCCGGTGCATCTAGAAGCCGATCAATGCATCTTATTAAATATGTTTGGCTTGGTTCAATCCTTGTGGGTTGAAATATATACATAAACGCTTCTGCGATCAGCGCCTAGGAAACTGTGAGTTCATGATCAGGTTTTCAGGTATAGCCGATATTATTAGGAAAGTATCGTATCTAATTCAAGTCCTGGGTATGGTCTAAATGAGTCGCCATACTATATTCTCAAAGTTCAAATCGCCGACAACATGTGAACGGTGTTTTTCGCAAGTACAGCGGAATGAAATCATAAATATTCACTGTTCGTTGTTTATACCTCAATATGAAAGCCATATCAGCTGTTCAGTATCCCAAAGAACCCACTTGTAACCCATTGTAACCCATTATCTTCCCGCTTTATCGGATTCCTTCCTGTCTAAATACTCCAATATTTACGCCTTCTTCTTCCTGGGCTTGGTTTGACCGGATGATTCCCAGATGTTGACGAGGACACTACATGACAATTGAAGTTAGTGATCTAGTTGTGATGAAAAAGAAGAAACAACAAGGGCGTAGTGTACCTTTGGGTTTTATCCTGATATTCTTCAGCATGCATCTCTTTGACACCGATTTTGGCGCCATCCCTGGAAAAGGCGACATTTTTCTTCTCCATCTTCTTTTTCGTATTGTCCTTCACATCCATGGCAATGCTGTATATCACTAGACCGATGACTCCAAAGGTGATAACCAACAGGACCACAAGGATCACTGGGAGGAGGCGACTCAGAGCACTCATTTCTTCTGAGTCTATCTTCGTTTCCCTTTCCGGGAAAAAGCGTGGGGAAAAAAATAGGACAAAGGGTTTTGGGTGTGATTCGAGCGTTGCCGGGGCACTTTCAGGCCGCTTGGGAGCGCGGAGTTCTACTAGTATTTGAAGAACAGGATAGATGGAGGAGTTCCAAAGGCGCTGCTCGTGGTAGATAAAATATGAAGAATGCGAAGGAGGAGCCACGAGGGGCCTGTGGCTTATTATCTTGATAAGGCGATGTGAAACTTCAGGGGAACTGCATTAACTAAGTTGTAAGCCAGCCGCAGCCTACGTTGCTGTGGCTGTGTCGGTGGTCCCTTGCACAAGTTCAGAGCTTGAGTCTATCCGATTCGTAAGGGAAGGGCAACTTCAGCTGAGGTCGACACGGCCAGACAGACCTTTGCAGGATGGATTTCTATAATGCCTATAGTAAGGAACTATTAGCCATGGGCCCATAGCCGTAATATATATCGGAAGAGAACGTACTTCGGGGTTTATTGCTAAATAGTTTGCGCATGACCCAGTCACGTTCCGATATTAGTCATACGCCATCTTAGTCATCGTACAACAATATTTAAATACGGCACTTCATCTCTTTGGCTGAACCTAAGCGCTGAACCGGTAGTGTTGTTTTCTCCTCATCCTGGTTATGGATTCTTATAGGACAGTGTCTTACCGCCCCATCGACAATATATCACATTACTGGCATTATAAGTTAACAAGTTGGATAAAATATCATGCACAGTTGGGAAAAAAACAGACATGCACACGGACGGGATTCACCCCAGAGAGCAACGGCTCTATATGTATGTCAAGCATTGATATCACATTAATACTCCACAGCCTTGTGGGTGGTGGACTATAAAAAGATGTTATACACTTGCGAAACTCAGGGGCCGGTGGGTATATTTGACATTATGCCTGCGGAGTATAGAAAACTGTTTGCAAACCAATATAGGCATTATAACAAATACTCTAGCGAGTATGAATGTAATGCATCTTCTAGGGATAGTGGTAAGTGTGATCCTGCTTGAGGTGCATACAGACGCCAAAGGGTGCTAATTATAGGAAAGGGGTATTATTCCATGGTCTTAGTATACCCTGCTTCCATGTGCTCTGTTGAGTCCTGCAGTCGTATTTTATTCCATTTCCAAAGGGATGTCAGTAATACGGAATCGTGAGGGAGTTGTCAAGAAAGTCCTAGTTCATGATATAGGTCTCTGGTCAAGAGCTAAGTACATGGCATATATATCATAGAAGAAAATAAGAGAATAGGGTAAAGCATTATAAATCCATGAACCTCATCTAGGTCCGATACATACATTGACGCCAGATCAAAAGAAACTCCGGTTGTCCTAGCTTATTGTTTAGGGATGTCAAATCCCATTTATGTAAAAAGAATTGAGATAAACATCACAGACGGGACTCCATGCTCAATAACAAGCCACCATCTGGAAAATTAAAGAGAGCAAAAGTGACATAAGAAATTAAACGATCCAGCGAGTGAAGTAAATTATGGTAGTAGTAGTCAATGTTGTCGTCAATCATGAGCGCATAGCCATATTAGAGTATAAGCCCAAGAGTATGCTGCAGCCAATTCGTGGGTTGTGGCAGGTGATGGCGAGAACATGTAGGATGCTGATCTACTCATCGGCTTTTCGTCGCTTTCCCTTGGGAGCTGGCTCCAGAGCTGTGCGCTTGTAAGTTATGGTTCGGGTGATGACATGGCGGACACTGATAGGTCGCGAACAAGAAGAGCATCGTGGTGTCTCCGTCTGTCGAGTGGTGGACTCAGTAATCCAGTCGGGGGGAGGTAATGGTGACCTAGCGGAACAACACCGTGGAGAATCAAAGCCAGGCGATGTTGACTTTGGAGATGGAGCAGATATGCGTAGTGGTTTTGCCGAAGTAGGGGTTTTTCGGACTCTGTCACCGCTGCGATAGTGGTGTAGAACAACTGGGGAGGAGGTAATAGACGCCACCGTTGGTGATTTGCGGCAGGTATTTGAGCAGTTGCAGAAATAGGGGCTGGTTGCGGTAGAATTATGGGCCATAGAGGCAGCTAGACGATCGAAGCTCTTGTCCCTTGCGCTAGATGGAGAGGCCACGATTGGCGTGACGGTCTTGAGGAAGTCCGTGTAAGCCATGGGTGGAGTGATAGGGGTTCTGAGGAAGTCTTCTTGCTTGATAGACTCTGTTTTTCCAGAGAAGAGTGGGCTATCGTGGAATTCTGAAGGAAGAGTGGGTGACTTGGACGTCTTCAGAGGCGCAAGAGTAGGTTTCGCGGATGGCGCCATGATTGAAGGGAAATCTCTCAACAGGAGTTATTGAGAGTGCGAAAGGTCGTTGAAAGGGCCTCTGAAGGAGAGAGGAAAAGAGGCAGAGGAAAGGAGGGGAGGAGAGGGGAGGAGAACGTTGTTTTGAAGGGAGAGGGAAGTTTAAGAATGGGATAATGCCACAATAAAGCGAAGAATAGTGCGGATAAATGGCCGGAAGAATATGATAGGGCGCTAAAAAGTGACCCTTCTGGTAATAAATATGTAGCCAATGCCTCTCGGTGAAAGGCACTTACAAATTTATGGGATGCAATGGTGCGCCGTAGAGGTAATGGGTGGAGGGAGGGCAGTTCCAGGGGGGTTCGATCTATAGGATCCAATAGCCTTCCAGAACAACTGAGCAATGCCACAGAACACGGAGTTATTTGCCACAGAGAGATAATGGCGCGTATGCAGGTGAATATAACCGGAGTAGCTTCACAGTGAGAAAGATTCTGGGAAGGGGGGGGAGGAAGAAGTTGTAAAGTCAGAGGGGAGAGGGCGATATCCCCTGGTCAATGTTTCTTCTGATTCTGCAAATCTCAAGCACGAAGTTGGGCGGCTAAAAGCGACGAATCAGAGGGCAGAGGGTGGGTTTCAGTCGTCGAAAGTGGGATAGCGGCGGTTCCAGTATTAGAAACAGCTAGTCCTAATACGGAAGGGCGGGTCACAGCGTCGTAAACCTTAATGCAAGCCCGAATTGGGGCCAAAGTTAGGGCTCAGGGCGCGCTGGGGCTTGTGATTGGCTGGTTTATCACAACAACAACCCTGAAGAAAGGGGCAGGGCAGATGCAAGTCGATGCAAGTCTTGCAAGAGTAACAAGAGGGTGGTATGCAGGTGCAAGCTCAGGATGCGTGATAAGTCGGTGTGATGGGCGAAGCGGGCCGGGATCAGTGCAGAGAAGTGGAGTGTGTTGGATGCCCTGTTGGATTACCGGGCCTACTTCAAAGTAATATATGCCTTGTCAGTGGGAGGTTCGCCATGCTTGATCGCACCATATAATCCATACCTGACTGGATATCCGACTATACTATGTGTATATACTTGACTGGATGCTATATAAGCTTTGGTCTAGTCACGTCTTGGGTCAAGTCGGTTGAAAGAGATAGGGTGTTGGTGGAGTCGATATGAGAACGGGCAGTGCTGATGTGTGAAAGAAGATGGAGAGTGAGTTGGTGAAGAGAACCAACATTTTCCGGTCTTCTGGCCCCTATTTATCTTTTGATCCGACCTGCGAACTGAACATACTTGCGCGCCCTTCCTGGATATTTTTTCAATGCCTATGTGTGCCTGTCCAGGCTGTTACGGACAAGCGCCCAGGAGTGAAGTGTTTCTGTTCCCGCTGAAGGTGCGCGATATCAAAATGCTAATGTCGACCGTTGCCTCCAGGGCTTTCATCCAATCATCCCCCACAACATCCCGGTAGAGAGCGCGTATGTTGCAGGTGCCATTTCAACATCGCTGCTGGTTGGTATTCGATACCCTGACGCCTTCGCGCGCAACAGCACCAGCAGTTCCACCCTGGCGGCAATCCAGCGTCACTACAGCAACAACAGCTCGTCATAGCCACCCCAACCCCTATGACAGCGGTAACTGCCTGGTTTTCTGGCATGGTTCAGTGAGATGCATGTCATTCTTCGGCGGGTATGTGCAGGAAACAGTTCCATCACGGCGACAAATCGCTACTCTCAGATTGGCCCGCTTGCCATCCCACTTGTATCAATTAGGAAATCTTCACAATATTTAAGCTCCCGCCATGCGGTATTGCCTGTTCGTTTCTATCAAACTGAGCTATTCTCGAAACCTTATGGTATGCATAGGACTCCTGTGTTTAATTACTTATGGATCTCTATGCTTCATCTCGCGATTCTTCAGCGCCTACGCTGGGCAGAATAGCAACATTTGGGGAGATATTTTTATTTAAAGTATCTCCTGGAGTGCTATGCCAAAGATAGCAAGGGACATTGATACCTCTCATTGGGTAGCATGCAATATGCAGAGGTAAAGTATTCCTTGTCCGACGGGACCGACACTCTTGCTGCTGGTTTACGAAACCAACAGAGTGCCTTTTTTTTGTTTATCGAGTTGTTGATTCGAGATCCCAGGGGGGAAAGGGGTTGCAGTTAAGCTGCTTCTTGACTCGATAGAGTTATACCATGTGCATGTATGTTTGTTATGGCCCCTCGAAGGATGGGATGGACCAGGTATTCCAGCTCAGTTCTGGATTCCAAATTCAGAGTGTTGTTCAAAGTAACGGCTACCACATTATTATTGTTACCAAGCCTCACCCAACTTGCTAATATAAAATGATATTTACTAAAATTTAGCGCTCAAATATATACCACATTTGGACAAAAGTGGATGTTGTGCCAATTTCCTGTTGGTTATACTTTTGGCTCTGCTGGGCTTCCTTGTCCGTGCTTTCAGCTCATGCCAGTCAGGGCCGTTTGTCAACTACTTGGCTTGAATCCGATTCCGGCCTCCACCGTTCGAGCGGCAAGATAACAATACCCTGGCTAGCACAAACATTCACTGGCCGCTTTTCATTTTTCATTTGGCCACGTCAGACGCTTTCTCGGACACACCGTACTATGTATGTCATGCGTCCAGGTATATACCCACTTCCAACGTCAACGCTGAATATGGGACGAATGCCTGCTTGGTATCTCCATATCTTATCACTTTATGCTCCTAGGTGACGGGGCATTGCATGTAATATATTCAGCCTTGTTTATTTTGGGGGGTATACTCCAGCACTATGATGAGCACTTTTAATATGCATCCTTTGATAAAGTGCTCATTGACTGGCATCTTGGGTTCTATTGCATGACAGAGGCAGAGGTGGCATTCTAACATGGCAGCGGTTTTTACATCGTGAAGGATCCGAGAGTCAAGGCAGGTAAGCATGTATATTTCCATAATCGTCTAGCGTATCTCTGCTGGCCCCCAAACTCAGCCAGCGGTTTCTCTTTTCGGCTAGAACTGAACAGGACAAAGCCATGCACACGTCTAGGGTTGAATGCATCTATTTGTCAAAACCAGTTTTCGAATGGGCGAATTCCCAAATTGGACGGACCCCACTCGCTAGAAGTGCATGTACAGTCAATTACAATCAATAACATTCAATAAAACTCGACCTTGCTGCGATCAGATAACTTAATATGCTGTGGTTTATGTTGTGGCTTTATACCTAAAGTTGGTTTGGGATGAATGCCGTGGGAACACTAACAGCAGCTTCACACTAGCTGCTTTGAGAAGACAGGGTGTCCCTTTTGGGCTGTATGTTGCTAAAACAACCCCGACTGTTGTATCAAATACTATCAAAAAATTTAGTGATTGGAGCGTGACGGGAAGGCATCACCGTTGGCAAGTCAGTAAATGCCGGACGTTCAAAATAATAAATTATATTCGGTACCTATTATGATATAATTTGATAATTTCCAGTGTATATTCGGAGTTCTAAGTCTACATGGCCTTCAATATATAACATGTATGCCGGAAACCTGTCATGTACATAGAAGGGAACCTAACAAGTATTTAAACGAATGAATGTATCCCGTCATCAGCATTCCACTCCCATCGCCCTTATTTAAAAGGACACAACGGGAGAGAAACTTCCTATCGAGGAACAATACTCTCCAGAACCTGAAGAATCCAGTTGAACTGGATTCTATGGCAACACATCACTTTGGGGTTTTAATTTATTAAATGATGGTCGTGGCTGGCTCTGTTAGCTTTTTTGATACTGGAGAAAAGAAGAAGAAAGAGAAAAATTTGTTCGTTGGAAAATTATTTTTATACCATGGGTCACGTGTAAGATATCTCGGATAAACTTTCATCCACTCTATCCTTTTGCCGAGGTCCAGGTTCTATTACTACTACTAATCCAAGAACACTTTGCTACTGAGAAAGGCAATGTTATTCTATCCATAATTCAATTCCCATGCAGTATACGGAGTACACGACGACAATATTGCCCTTGTAGAGCTACATAAAAATACCAGTTGCGGTAATTTCTTGGCGAGAAGATTCTAGCCCCTGGTTCATGGCCATGAAGTAACCAAAACTTCATCCCTAATCTCACAGTAGAGATGGCCGTTTGATAGAGGTCGACCATGGACACTCCAACCACATATACCCGAGTTAATCATCGGAAATCCCAAACGCAAGCCCTAGAAGTATACCCACAATCATTCCAGCCAACATGACCTGGAAAACCAGCTTCGTTCTGCGCCGCTGCGTCATGCCCTCCAGCCAACGGCGGTATTTTACCTCAGACCTCTGCCAGCGGCCCATTCGTGGTCGTTTGTCGTGGTAATAAAAATAGTTATCATCAAAATCCGGTATTGGCCTGATATTATTCTGTTTTGTCTCTTGGGAGACCATAGTCTCACTTCCGCTTGTTCCACTCTCGAGATCGTGAGATGAATACCTCCGGCTTCCCCATCCTCTAGGTCTATGTTCAGGATTCTCCTTCACCGAAGATATGGAAAGTTTGGCATACAAAGGCGGTTCTATGGTTCCAGGCTCCATAGTCATGGGGCTGTATTCGTCTTCCGACTTTCTGGGATATTGTTCGCTTGAGCTGAGCTGATGTCTGTCACGCCGCTTAGGACTTAAAGGGTGGGTAAGCTTGTGGATACTTGATTCAAATGCTGGTGGTGGTGTAGGGATATATGGCGTGTTGCTATTCATTGTTGGCATCACTACGCGATGTCCCATATTGTGTTATGTCTGGATTCGGCTTTCACGTCGTTGCAGCGACACAGCGGCAGGGTCTATATGCTTGAGGTTATGCTAATAGCATAAAACGCAGGTCGGATAGAGACAAAGGAACAAATGCTGTGATGTTCTTTAGCTACGCCAACTCTAGCCAGCTTTTATCCCAAAGATGCTATAATATCTTAAACTTAGGCAAGATCTCTCTACCTTCCACAGCTCCTTCTATGAAGATTGTCGCATCTATCGCTGCTTCTCTCCTTTACACTGATAGGTCTCCAGAATGCTCTTTGCTAAAATGACTACTCTATATCTTAATATAAGTGCCGCTCATATGCCCAAGTATAGCTTGATGGCTGGTGATTCTAAACAGAAGTACCACTGATCAATAAAGTGTCCTTGTAGCTCAGACAAGCCCTGAGCCAACACAAGTATACCCGGAGCATGCACAGCTGCGATGGCTGTAATATAGACACACCCTCATTGTCAAATTCAGAGCACATAGCTGACTCCATAAAAAACTGAAAAACTGTTACCAGTGCAGAGGGTTTCGGTTATAAGTCGGAAGCCATCCTCCAGCCACCGGTTGGAAATAACGGCTCATTATACAAATTGAAAAGTCTAAAGCGCAGGAGTTTGAGCTTTATTTTGATCAGAGTTAACTTACCAACAACCCAAAGTCTAGATGGTCGATATTTCTATCCCAAGGACTTTGGCTAATAAGCTATGGCGCACGTAATGCTTTTGGAAGTCACAAGCTTTTCGCTGCATGGAGAGTGGCTTCATACTACCATCACCACGTCAACAGCCTTTCCTCCCTTTATTCGTATAATAAGAGTTGAAAAGTGGGAAATTTCGTCCACAAGCCACCAGCTGCTGTAATCTGCTGGGTGTTCATCCAGCCAGTATCCCTCGGGTCTTTGTGAAGGTATGGCGGGGCAGATACCCCCATCCCGTCATTTGACCAGGCTAAACTCAGGGTCTAGAAAGGATAAAGTGAGGGTAGGAATCGAGAACATGGTATTCTCTGGTTGCAAGTCTATTGGTGCATGGAATAGGTTATCAAGAACTTATAGTATGTGGGAAAGGTAAAATTTATAGCAATTAACAACACCAGGGTGATGTATACAACCTAGCCGGGGTGTTCACGCTTTGGCTTGGATGGATGGAGAAGAATCCTAAGCTCCTTATTTCCTTCCTGTGAGAAATCTACCTTTAGCGTTTTCAAGGATACTGCCTCTGGTCCTTGTAGAGAAATCAGCAATCCATCACACTGCCAATTATTGGCCATATGCCATTTTTCCGGTGGCTTTATATCATTCCTGGAAGATGTTTCCAACGTGGACAGGATGATAACCACCACGGCGGTATTCCTCAATAGACTAACGATATCATATATCAACCCCAATCGGTCCATTTTATTTGGGACTGCGTGAGGAATTCCACTGATGATTTAAGTGGGACTCATTTAACTGTGTAGTTAATTCAAAGCTACCGCCTCCTCCATATATTAAAATGGCGGCTTTGAGTGCTCTTTACAGGCCTGATGCCGTGAAATTCATGCGGTGACAGAAATATTGTAGACATAGGCCTTGCAATTCAACCGCGCACTCTTATTTAAGGTGACTCTTCGTTGAAACCAAACTAGAGGTTTACAGATCGCTCATACAGGTCTCTTGGATGACCCTGTTACTATCTTAGTTTACATTTCAAAAGTGATTCCATGAAAACCTTTGCATTGGCCTTGTCTTTTTATTCGTGGTTACCTTGCCAGCCACATATATCGGAAGATTGTTGGAGATGACCGGTGAAGTCGAAGCCTTTTGGATTTCTGTTGAGCGTATTGCAAACAGCCAACAAAACTTGAAGTGCTTCAAAGAAAACAAGGATTCGAATGGGATTGCTAGGGTAACGGAAAACCGTGGAGATACACCTCACCAGTAAATGTATGCACCCTGTGATTGTTGCTGCAAAACCTGGCGAAACCATTAACATTCTTGGATATTCAGCCGTTTGATATTTCTGTTGTGGTACTTCATAATTAGAGTATGATACTCAACAATGTGCAGGATAACTTTACCTTTGCGCTCCATCCGTATAAAACTCTAGCAAGGAAGGATATAGGTTGGTAATGAAAATTACATAATTCCAGCTGCATGGCATGACGCTGGTGGGTGGTTCAGGAGTGCTGAGACCATTCATTCGCTTCCAAAACACAATGTTTACATGTATTGGGAGATCAAGCTTAGTTTGGGATTTAGCTGTGTTCCGTTAATCTCCTTAGTTCCCAGCTCGTAAAACCTCGTGCCAGAGATCTAGCCCAGAATAGACTACATAGTTTAGATTAATGGATAAATGGCCAGGCGGAGTTTCGGGGTATGGGAAAACAGTTAACTGGGCATTTGTTCTGATCAACTTGGCAGCATTCCCACTTGGACCACGTAAAGATATGAAGGATCTGGCACAAAGAAGCAGGTTAATCCTCAGTTAGTTAGCCCTCCTTTTAGCTGGTCGAATTTTGCAGACGTATTGCAACATGTCTCGTCACAAACCATGGAGGCGATCAATTCAAGGCATTTTGAGGGTGCAAAAATAAACTTTAAATATAAGAACCTTATTCAAAGCCTCACGGATATTTATTATTCCGTTAAACATCACGTGCGCGAACATGTGGCCCCGACGTCATCCTCTTTATTACTCTCTTCTTGTTTCGTATGCTTCACAGATCCTGCAAGTTGAAGATATAACATTGATTTGTATCAAATATTTACGATTAACCCGCAGCAGTTTTATGGTAATAGTTTTTCTCTCTCACTGCGGAGTAACTGATCTTTCACTCTGTGGCTATGCTCGAGCTGGTTAGGACTACTTAAGGGCTCCTCCTGTTCCATATCACCGGATGATGGATTTCTTCCATTCACTCTTCCTCCGTTGACACTTTGATAATATAAAACATGCCCTAATGCGAGGATGTTTCTTCTGACATCACAGGGCTGTCAGGGCTAAAGACGGCTTCTCCAGGCGCCGATCAGCCTCGGCGTTTCATTTGTTAAACTTGGGCTCTCCCAGCAGTGTCTCCTGACGAGCATCAAGAATCTATTCATTCACAGTATACATGTCCATTCGGAAGACTTGCTGGCAGTCAGAATTTCTCGATCCCACGCGTCACACTGAATAATGCGCTCGAATACCCCGCCTCGGGAAGGCATTTGGCCTTCTGTGGGGAGATGCTGGGATTACATTTATATGGCCAGGGTCGGATATGGAGAAAGGCGAGCTTTCCGCTGCTGTTTCATGCCAGGGGCCCCGACCTTACCAGCATCATGCGTGAACAGACAATGAGAATCTTCTAACATGCTTCCATCCATTTCAATTTATATTACTGATCTTCCAAAAGGATGTGTTTCCGGGTGCCGAACCGGCACCCAATTCGGGAGTACTATGCATATAATACCTTGCCACATCCAGCCCAAGCCGAGCTTGTTTTTGCTATATGCCGCCTAATACTACCTATAGCACTGCATTGGTGATCTGTCAAAACCTGAGTGTGGCATCCCATAACCGATGCTTACATACTTTTCATATATGTGAGATATCTACTCTGTATTTACCCTGAGTATATATATATATAACCTTACATAATTGACATGCTGTTTGTTATCCCAGTCATATCTTTAGCGAGCAACCCTTGCGTTTCTGTCCAGTGTTTCCCTACTGGTGGTTACTAGCGGACATTGATCTTCTGCATGGATAATAATTATGGGTACTTTCCCCCAGATAACCATGCATCAGCCCACGCCGAGGCCCTTCTGGGAGGACTCCAGCTAGACGTTAATCTTCTAGGGAAAGATACTTAAATGCGTATCTTCCACTCCTATCGCTGATCTCTTCCTTCTTTCCCTCCCTCTGAGCAGCCAGCAAAGCCACTCTATTCAAAACATAATCTTCTTGCATTATCAAGATGAAGATCTCTACCCTTGCCGTGGTCTCTGCCTTTGCAGTCACTGCCATCGCTGGACCAGTTCGCCCTGATGGTATTGGAAGTGACAAGTACCTTATTGAGCTCGGCCCAGGAGAGACCCAATGGGTTACCAAAGACCAGAAACACCATATGAGAGCAGTATGGCCTCTATATACATATTAATGACAGAGAATCAAATTATACTAACTCTCTTACTTAAGGCTGGGAAAACCTTTATTGATATCACCGATGAGTTCGGCAGTGGCTTTACTACGACCGAGGTGGTTCCTGCAAACTACCCAAAGTCTGCTCGTCATGCTTCCCTTATCAAGCCCCTGATCGCAAACCTCTCCAAGGAGAACCTTATGCGCGATCTGACTACGCTGACGAAGTTCAACAACCGCTACTATGAGTCGGACACTGGTGTTGAATCTGCCACATGGATCCTGCAGCAGGTCCAAAAAATCATCAAAGATTCTGGAGTCAAGGGCGCCAAGGTAGAGAAATTCACGAATCAATTCAAGCAATTCAACATCATTGCTACCATTCCTGGATCCTCCAAGTCCACCGTCATCGTTGGTGCTCACCAAGACAGCATCAACTCAAAGAGCCCCATGAAAGGACGTGCCCCCGGAGCCGACGATAACGGAAGTGGAACTGTTGTTATCCTTGAAGCTTTCCGCAATATCCTGAAGTCTAAGGCTATCCAGGCTGCCAATGCTACCAACACCTTGGAGTTCCACTGGTATGCTGGTGAGGAGGGTGGCTTGCTAGGCTCTAACAACATCTTTAAGAAGTACAAGGCCGATGGTAGACAGGTCAAGGCCATGCTCAACCAGGATCTTACTGGCTTTACTAATAACGGCAAGCCTGAGCAACTCGGCCTCATCGCCGATAACACTAACCAGCAGCTGAATGAGTTCTGCAAGATGATTGTTAAGCAGGTAAGCCGCTATTCCTAGCATGCTTTATCTTAGCAACTGCTAATATCAGTTCTCTTCAGTACGCTTCGATCCCAATCGTTGAGGCAAAGTGCGGCTACGCCTGTTCTGACCATGCTTCCGCCCACCGAAATGGCTTCCCAGCATCTTTCGTTGCTGAGACTTCCTACCGAAACACCAACCCATACCTCCACACCGATGGCGATGTCATTGCCAACTTGAACTTTAACCACATGTTGGAGCATGCTAAGGTCGTTCTTGGATTCATGGGCGAGCTCGCCATGGCCCCCAACTTGTAAATGGTCTTTCCTTTACATCGAGACTGGCACACTTCTTTCAACTGCTAGCCTTTCGAAAGTTGTGACTTCTTCTTGGGCTATCAACGCCATAAAGGCGACGTGTGCTTGTGTACATAGGTTATTAGAATACGCAGTTATGTATATATGTCCGCATCAAACGTTATATTTTTATGTAGATGCAGCCTACACTATCCCTCATACACCTATATATAACATGGATGATATATAAGTATTCCCACAGAAGATCAACTCTTTCCCCAATAAGGATGATTGGTATGCTGCACCCCTGGCGCTAATCGAGGCTTTCAAGTCCCTGCAAACTAATATATAAGACTTATGCAAGGCTGAAAAATGATGGCCATGGAATCTTAATAACTTGCTGATAATATAGATCGGAGGTGCCAAATAATGACCTTTGTCTTTGAGGAAGCTTTGGCAAGATAACTCCTTTATATCAAAGATTATTTTTTTCTACTGGTACTTTAGATACGTTCTCAAATGAAGACATTTAAATCAAGAGTATTTCATTTCATCATATTGTCATCATGTAAGTTCTTTTAACGAAAGTATTGAAACAGAGCTAGAACATGCTCAAAAGAAATGACCGACGTTGCGAGGTGGTTATACACCATGCCTCGTAGATAAACACAAAAACAGAAAATATACTGTGGGTATATTTAGAGACTAAACCATCAAATCTGGATGGAGCTCTAATTCAATTCTAGAAGGACAACTGTTCGGTAATAAGCATGAATACTTGTACCGTAAGAGCAGTAAAAAAATCGTAAACCAATTTAGTTGGTCGAATGTGCAAGTTTGGGACATCACTTTGGTCCACCTCCGAGACCTGTAATAGTGCGTATGGTTAGAGACTGTGCTAGGGAACAACGTTGGCCGGGGGACTCACCTGCAGCATATGCAAGATACCAGATGCGACTGGCACCACCATCAATCGAAGCGAGGTCCAAGTTGGGCTGAGCGAAGTATTCCCAGGAGGCATTGGGATCAATCAGAGCCAAGTTGGCATAAAGAACTCCTTTCCATCCTCCCTGAACATTCGCTGCGGGAACGATTGCATTTGGCGCGAACATTTCATTCCACTCTTCTTTGACGAATGCTGCGCTTCGAGTATACGCGGAATTTGGAAGGAGTGGGAGCATGTGAATGCTGATGCCATTAGTGTCAGTGGTTGAAATGTTATCCAAAACAAGCGTATATGATTAGACTTACCCCTGAATGAATTCGAGGTTTGCTCCGAAATAGGTGGTATGGTCAATCTTGTTCTCGAACAACTAGAGAAAAGAAATTGCGGTTAGTGGTACTAGCCGAGGCCCTGTGAAGAGATTGAATAACATACAATTCCGGTGACTTTGTTGCTAATGAAGTTCGATGGCTGGTTGGAGTTGTCCTTCTTCATCAAGAAGTAGTTATTCAAAGATCTTGCCAGAATTCCAAGCATCAAGTTTCCTCGGGCTTCCATGCTCTTGTCCCCAGTGGTCTTTCCCCACATCTTGATAGCATACGCATACATGGTATCTTCAGAAGTGGATTCCTGGTCTTTACCATCAGCAGATTCGAAGAGTCCCTTAGCCCATGAGTGGCCGTGGTACCAGTCAAATGCACGGGAGAAGGGGAACATATCGTCGTTTTCGACGGAGTTTCCAGAGTCTCGAACAAGGATGTTAACGTAAGCCTTGTTGGCATCAAGCCAAGCAGGGTCCATCTTTCCAATGATGGCTGCAGCTAGGATGAAGTAGCCGTAATGGAAGTGGTGGTCATTGTAAAGGGTATTTCCAAAATCTAGGCCGGTATCACCATTCTGATAAGTGCCGGAGGAAACAACCCCTTTCCAAACAGTATCATAGACAAGGGGGATCTGTTGCTTGTTATCAACAAAACGACCAAAGGCAGCTTTTAGTTTGCTGAGAGGTCCCGAAGCCGTAGCCTTGTCTCCAACAAGCTCACTAATGGTGTAAATGGCACCAGCAAACTTGTTAAGCCCCTTACCGCTGAAGTACATGCTGTTGAGGTTTGTCTGTGAGTCAATATCCTGAGCCAGCTCGTTTCCAGCAACGGCTTTGATGGAGTTCTTCGCACCCTCAGAAAGAGTGGCTTGTGAGCCAGCGCCCGGCTTCCATGGTGCAAAGTCCATGGAGAGGGGGAGGTTGCTCTCAACCATCGTCCACGAGTCTCCAACACAAGCAGTAGACATGCCTTTGGTGGTAGTGCTGAGCTGGATGTTCTTCATGGTATTCTTGGTTGCACCATCGAAGGACTCCGTGTGGTGTGGCAGAGCATACATTATCAAAGGTGCACCCTTTCCTGCCTTCTCGAAGGCAAACTGGTAGGTGCCTGTGCCATCAGTTGTAACTGAGCCGGAGACTTTCAAGTTGGTGGCATAGGAGCCTGCGGACTTGTCATAGGCGGCTTCACCGTCACTTCCGGAGGGGTTCTTAGCCACTTGAATAACACCTTTGAAACCGCTAGGTCCTTTGATGAGCTTATTGTTCTCAAGATTCATTTTTGGATCAGAGCCGTTGTCAGGAGTGACGTAAAGAAGCCAGTCCTTGCCGTCCTCCAAAGTGATCTTGTACTTAAAGATGCCAGCACCTGGGGATCCAGCTGGCTCCATCTTTCGGAAAAGGACACCAGACTGAATGGCAGGCTGCAAGTTGTTGTAGATACCAGTGACGAACCCCATACCTTGAACCAACGGGAATGTGATGCATTGGCTGGCTCCGGCTGTAGGGCGAAGGATAACCTGAGCAGAAAATGCTTTGGGATTCGACACAGACAGGGTGGTCGATTCCATAAGCTCAGAAGCGGAGATGATCAGAGATTTAATGCCAACAGGGTTAATGTAATACCTAATAGGGTTTCCGGGGATGGTGCTGCTAGGCTCTCCATTCGCTCTCTGGGATGGCTCCACGTGAGATACAGATATGCCAAAGCTGGACGTATTTTTATCTCCCTTTGCCCAAAGAAGGGAGTAAGGATGGGAGAATGTTGTAGATGTCTGGCTACCAAGGAAGAAATTTGCGTAAAATTTGTTGGTTGAAATTGGACCAGAGGAGTTCTCCTTGATGGGTGTTAGTATTGTGAGAGAATGTCGTTGGTAGTATATCTGTTACTTACAATGTGGTTAGTTTTCACTGGATGGTCGCCCCTTGAGTTGATGTTGTTGGGAATGGGATCCTTCGCAATTGGCTGGAAGACATCCTGACCGGCTAGTTGTTCGACACCCATTGTTGCTGAAGGAGCGCTGGTTGTCGAAACGGTGCAGCAAGTAGATGTTGCAGTTGGTCCGGGGTCAGGGATGCTGGTGGAGTTGTCGTATTGATATTGGTTTGGAGCCGGAGACCTTTTATTTAAGGAGCCAAATTCTTTTGCAATGGGTATATGAGGAATTCCGTTACAAGGCTTGTTGCGATACCAGCAGGTCGACTTTTCCGCATTAAATCCAGCCTCGGGAATGTCTAGATGAGGATATGAGGGGTGAACAGCACCTGGCCGAGCACGGAAGGTTATGTATGAAATTTCAGTAGGGAATGGGATAATAGTAGGGTGCCCCTGAGGATCAGGAGGCGAGTACAAGTTCTTGAGTTTCAAACGTATTAATATCAAGCGTTGAAGAGAGATTTAGGATATTCGGAATCTGACAGCTTACCTCGTTCAATCCTCGCTGGGTCTTATATACTATAGGCTGTGGCCGTGCAGGCGTCTCCTGATCATTGGTAAGGACTGAATCAGCTTTTGAAGGAAAAGGGGCGGCATATGCGCTCTGGGTCAACAGAGACACCAGCAATGCCACCCCTGACAGTGTAGTATGCGACTTCATTTTGTGTTGATATGCAAAACAAAAAAAGGAGGGTTGGAATGAAAAAAGGATTGAATAAATAAACAAATTGTAGAGGTGTGTTGACACCGGTAGGGGGGATTCGGGATGAAAGGAATCGACGCAGCTACAAGGAAAACAGGGCAGGGCGAAACAGAGCAGCTCGGCTTCTTGATATACCACTGCATCTTGACGAAGTCTTGCGAGCAAATCCCCTCTGGATTACCGTGAACAAGTCTGCTGCTGAGGTGTGTATGGAGTAATCCGTTCATCTGGTCCAAAGACGACGAGGCACAACCCCCCTAGATGACCTCCCCACAATGCAGACGCAGCCCGCGCGTGGGGATAGAATGGCACACGAGGCATCAGACATCGTGGAAAAAAGTGCTCCTGAAGGTTTCATTGGAACAGAGTAGGGGAAGAGAAAAAGGGTATCATAGAATGCAGTGTCAGGCGGAGGAATAAGAACATGAAAGGGGGGCCGGCCGGAACGGTGTGAAGTCCAGAGGAATGACATGGCAACAGTCAGAAGTACATGGCACAGGTGTATAAAATAAAGTAGTCATAGGAGTGGAGCAGCAGAAAGGCATAAGCCGAGTGCAGGCGGCTCATATGAGCGCGATATATGCAAAGCATGGGGCCTAAGGAACTTACCTGCACTTTTACCTCTTGTAGTCCGGGAAAAAAACGTGGCAAGGAAGAGATCTAGCGTGACCCTCTAGGAATGCGAATATAGAGAGAGGAAGAGAAAGAAGAGGAGCGTGAGGAATATGTCCTTATGGCACTCCTATATATCACCCACGGCTGACCTTCTTCGCCTTTTTCCAAGGATGATGCGACGGGATCAACGGGAAACCGGGAAGCCGCAAGGGGGATGATGGCCTAGTGTTTTTTCCTCCCAGGAAAAAAAAAAAAACAGCGGGAGCTAAAGTAAGTTGGGTGCGAATCCTTGTGATACCGAAGACTGGAGGTAACAGCATGGAACTTGATAGCCTTCGTTGCGGCGGCTGAATCTACTGGTGGTGATGAAAAAAACCGTCGTTCATTATGCTAAGTTGGTGTTTTTTTTTTCCGAGATAATAAAATGGAGATATTTCTCCCCACACCTCCTCGGTGAAAAAGGCATCGCGGTGGATTCGGTGGGCGAAAAGCAACAGGCTTGATCGTTTTCCGTGCTCTGGGAAGCACATAGTAATGGGGATGTTGTCGTGACATCTGTTAGCAGTTATGTCTGCGGCTGGAGAAGAATCAATAACCACCACAGCTTCAAGTCGATAAATCTGGGAAATTAACAAAAAAGAAAGAACACAAACCACTCGATCGGCATGGCCACAAGGTGTTCGATCTCCTGATGGTGGCAACCACTCCATGTCTTTTTCCCGTTCTATGTAGCTGCGAAGCCACGATATTCGTCCAAACGTCCATCAGCTGATAGAGTCACCGAGTTGCTGCCAACGCTACGGCTTGCTCGAGGACGGGTTACACAGTCAAGACCTGTTGGATGCAAGGGAGGAATCGTGAGTGCCCCAGGAGACATAGTTGACATCGACTATGACGTTCGCTGGCAGCCAGGCGTTGTCTATGGCCTGTTGGATGGGAAGAAGATCCGTTGTCAGGTACTACTTTTGGCGTACTGTGAGCCGGGGCAGTCTCTGGTGGGTGTTACAGAAGACTGCTGTGCATCTTCATCTGCTTCTGCTTCTGCTTCTTCTCTCCTTTTGCTATTAGGTGAAAACCCCCACGGAAGGTCTAAACGTTAGGATATTGCTTGCATATCGCATGTAAGTAAGTGGCGGTTGAAAAGAAAAAAAAGGGCGAGCTTGTCGATTATTCATTTCTATGGCTCGTCACACGCTGAAGCCGAACAAGGGAGTGGGATGAGCTGGATCTCCAAGTCTCTCCCAAGGGCCTGGCTGAGTAAAAGTATACGATAGACAAGTGATATTTACAATGTAGGTCGCTGGATTGGCTTGATAACCCCCTGTTTAATCATCACGCGAGGCTTGGTTGCGGTTTGGAAGGTTGACTTGGTCGTCCATTCGGGGCCAATAGGCAGCCGCAACGACCGTTCGTACTGCTGCTTGGACTCGAAGGGATGCGGAAGCTGGGAAGCAAGATACTTGTTGTTCTGGTAGGTAAAAAGAAACGAGTCAGAACTTGCTTTGTTTTTTTGGTTCTTTTATATTTGGGCTGGGTTTGGGGGAAGTTGTTGTATCCTTACCTTCTTCACTTGTTTCTCATTAATGATGACCCGGTCAAGTTTCGCGTCCTTTCGTTTCTCTGCACTGATTCCTTCGATGGTGGTGAACGTTCGTTTGACCTGCTTCTTCTCTGACCGGCTGAGTCCAGCGCCAGCCCAGCTGCCCCATCCCGGTAGTGTGTCTTCAACCACTCTGTCGCCCTCCTCTTCGACAGTTTGCTTTTTCTCCTTGTTAAACGTCTCTAGGACTTCGTCGCCGGCGAACGCTCTCTTGATTAACTCTTCGTTTTTAAGCAGAACGGGCATGTTGGGTTCATCCTCGTCGCCAGATCGTTCGTCATCGCTCACATGCTGGGTGGCAACTTTCACTGGACCGCCTCGACGTTTCTTCTTGGAGCTTGGCTGATCCCTTTCCAGAGGAATGACTGACCCGGAATTCTCGATTAAGCTGACGTCTGCAGCGGCAACTCCTTTCTTTGACCGCGATTTCTTGGAGGTTTCCGTTAGCCAAGGATTCTCATTCCCTTCCGTAGACGGCGTCTTGGTAGGGTCTAGAGTATGGCGTTTATTCTTTAAGGGCTCCACTCTAGACTTCTTCTCCTTCGACTCAGAGGAAACACGGATTTCAATGTCGGAGTCTGAACCGGAAGCATCTTCCTCATTCCTCGATTTTGCTTCTTGTGACATGTTCACGGAAGGCTTATTAGATGATTTTGTGCTCTGTGTACCGAACTTTCGACGGCCAACGTCCTCCTGCAAATCCTCTTCCGAACCAGACTCTTCTTCGCCGTTGAGTTGGCGTTTAATCTGCCGTAGCTCACGGTCATTCTCTTCTTTCCGTGCAGCTTCAGCGTTCTGCATGAACTTCATAGAAAGTAACCCGGAATACGGTCCTGATTCCTGAGAACCGTCCTTCCCATCACCACCGAGCTTGTCTACTTTTTTTCTCAGCCTGAACCCTTCCATATCTGAACCGCTGTCGTCTTCATCTTCGGAGCTTGATGATAGGTACTCATCGCCATCAACGACGCGTTTCCCTTGGATTCGCTTCTGCAACTCTTCTTCTCTCCTTGCCAAATCTGCCATTTCCGTCCTGGCGTCTTCGTCCCACGCTGTTCGGCCAGTCTGCTTCATGCTCTTGGCCCATTTGCTGTCCTTGTGTTTTGAGCTCATCCTTGCTTCCGCACGTATTCTATCGTTACGCTCTCGATTTTCCTCTTCCATGTCTATCCCTGCAGCTGCAAGTGCTTCATGCTCCATCTTCTCTAGTTTTTCTCGCTCTTTTCGGTGAACGCGGCGATATGCCTTACTTTTGATCTTCTTGATTCGCTTTGCCCGAATTTCTTCGCGGAAGAGCAGGTCTCTTTGCTTACGGAGTTCTGCACGGCGGGCCTGGATTTCTTCAATAGAAATTTTCTTTGCCTGGAGCTCCTCGAATTCCTGTATTTTATCTTCCGCGGTTCCGTCTTTCGAGTCCGCCAAACCACTCTCTACCAGTATATTTTGTATGGCAGTTTCTAGGTTGGTTCTAGGCTTGGAGTCTACAACCTTGGAGGGCTGCAGAGCATCCGGCTCTGCGAGAGGGAAGGACAGGTGCTCCGCTCGTCTGTTAGCTTTCACGGTCTCTATCCACCTAGCTAGGGTTTCCTTGCTCTTTTCGTAAGCGGCTGCTCGATCAAGCCTGTCTTGCTGCCGTTTCGGAAGGGGAACGTCTAGTTTCCCAGGAATACCAGCGTTGCCTTTCGTAGACGAATCATCTTCAATATGTTTCAGTGCACCTTTCATGCGGGAGTCTGATATGCTGGGCATCAAATCTGCTACCGTAAGTTTTCGACTCGGGGCTAGCCCAAATTCTGTAGGATCTCCTCCAGGAAGGGTCGTCTTTGGCCTTGAAGATGTAGCAGAGGCAGAATCCTGCCCCAGAGAGGTAACAAATCTTTGGAGCTTGGTGAGGCCTTGTTTCGTTTCTCCCTCATTATCGGATATAGACAGCTCAGAGGTATCGGACTCCCCGTCATCCTCACTTTCCTCCTCATTGCTTGATCCGGCAGACGAGAGGTCATCGTCGTCGCCAGACATAGAATTAGCCTTGCCTTCTTTCTCTTTGGAAGTTTTCTTAGACGCTTCGGTCTCGGGTTCTGTCTCCATGTCCCAGGCTGTTGCGAGATCGACCGCATCCTCGCCAAGGTCATCTTCTTCGTCTTCTCCCTCTTCATCAGATATGCTGTCAAACTCTTCATTGAGCAGATCATCTTCCTCTCCTTCAGATTGGTCAACCTTGGTTTTGCGCTTTTGAGCCTGGACAGCTTTTTTGCCTTTCTTCTGCATCGTCGAACTGCCACGGAACGTAAAACCTTCGAATCTTTCCTCGTCACTCTCCCCCATAGCTTCATCACTGTCGATATCACTATCATTGTCACTATCGACGGTTCCTATCCTCCACTCATTGCCGTCGCTGTCGCTACCTCCATCTTCCGATTCGTCTTGATCCTGACCTCTTCGCGGCCGCTTTGACCGACCGGTATCTTCATCATCGTCACCATCATCTATCACGCGCTTTCGTGTAGGCTGGCTAAACTCATCGTCGCCAAGTCGGTGTCTTCGGATTTTTGTCTTTGTGGGATATTGCTTCTCTGCTGTGGCTAGGGCATTCAAATTATTTTTCGGCCTTCTTTTCGCAGCAGGTTTGGGCCGCTTTTCCTGAGGCTTAAGGATATTCGATTTTCGGCCAGACATTGTTGCAACAGCGATTAACAACTGAAGAATCCCAAGCTGTCGCTACAACAAACCGTTCAACTTATCTTTTCTAGCAATATTTTTTTAAAGTGGGTCTGCGGCACTTTTTTTAGGCGTCAAAAAGCCGCGCGCTTATTGGGCTTTCAGTTGGAAAAAGGGAAAAAGCTTTCCTTCACCTATCATACAACGACAATTCGACAGTCAACAACCAGCGAGAGCAGAGAAGAAGAGAGTCTCGTTTCTTGAAACGCATGCGATCTACTATTCTTGATTAGCCATGTTCAGACCTACGCAGTGCATGCAGGCTCGCCTGCGATTGACTACAAAGCAAGTCGGCCCAGGTTATTACAAGGGAAACCGAACAGGTTCAATGGGTCACTTCGGTCGTAAGAAGGGAGTGTACATAATCGACTGGGAAAAGGTCCGTACTTATGTAGTACCAGAGGGGCTCGCAGAATTCAAGGTCAGCAAATTTCTCCCATGAGTGTACAATTATGGAAACTCACCAAAATTAGCTCACTCCTTTTGTAACGAAACGAATGGAACCGACGAGGACGTTATACACAAAAACAATTGATCACGGCGACAAGGAGGCGACATACCCTCGAGGATACACTGGCAAAGATTTCTTGAAGGAGTGGAGCGAAGAGAACGAGGCCGAGGTCGACGAGCTGAGGTTGCGCCAGGAAGAAATCGACGCTAATCAACAGCCAACCGAGACACAGACTACTAAGAACGAGAAAGAATAATTCTATTGCATCTCATTGACCGGATCCCTTTGTTCTACTCGCCGTATACTTCACCTTGGCCTTCGAACGTAAACGATTCGGCCCTGATGAACAGGATGGATTAGGGGCACCAGAACTTGGGCACTGTACATTACATGTATCTTTCGGCGACGCCCTCTCGGCTGAAAAGATGGTGGAGCACTATAACTGGAGTTTATGGAATATTTTGAGGCGTTTTGCTGGCTTGTATGATTTGACACAATTTATGCCGCTACATATACACTTAGAGGTTTTGATTATGACAAAACATAACTATAACCATATTTTTCATGCCTAATCCTAAGACGAAAAACTGTTCCTCCAGATCTTCAGATAGAAGCCTCTAGATATGCGAACGCAGCTCATAATGTGAATAACCAAAACGTCGCTGTGGCAATCCATGTGCAGTAAAAAAACGTTCCCAGCTCCGGAACATCAACTAGACCGAAGCATCAAAAACGGCGGTACTTCAGAATATATACATCACCATCACACATCACGGAGGAAGCAAGCTAGAGGGAGGAAGAGAGATACAAAAGTTGCAATGACTTGATCGACAGGCGCACTATTCCTATATTCGTGGCCAACTCTCAGAGGTTTCGCTCGCCGTGCCGTTAGGGCTGTTCATTGGGGCAGCTTCATCACCACTGAGTTCCCACCAACACGATGCTATCTACCTTGTCTGAAGTTAACATAGACATATACTGCCTACAAAGCACTTTCCATCATGTTTCCGTCCTTCACAGGCAATACTCGTCGGCCTCGACAGGTCAACCTCTCAACCCGCTCTACAAACCCCTTTTCTGGCCCTCCTCCGAAGCGTCAACACCCCTCCGGCCAAGGCCCTCAGGCAACACTCGCCAATGCACAGCAGGAGAGAGCACAACGGCAGCTAGAAAGGGAACGCCTAAACTCGAGCCGGACGATCCAGAGGGCATGGCGAGGGTATAGGAGCAGAAAGGCAACATGGAGTATATGGCGCAACAACTGGGACGAGCATGAGAAGGCTCGAGGACTAGGATACCACACAGCTACGGAACTGCAAGGCAGTGCATATTCGAGCAGCTTGGAGTGTGCAAAGCAGCTACAGCTTCTTCTACAGTTTATCCAGACTACAAGCCAAGAAGATGCTGCGAGGCTTGTGTACTTTTCTAAATGCCTTCAACGAACGGTGGAGAGTACGTCGCTGTCAACAGAGGGAGAATGGACGGCCATGCTCTCGCGTTTGGTGGCGACAACGCTGGATATTCTCAAAGCTTCATGTCATTCCAGCTCGATATCCTACTCAATAGATGACCTACTACAGCTTCTGGTCTTCCTTACGAGGCTGATACCGAAACAGATGGCGCGTCAAGCGCGTAAGTACTATGATGTCATGGCAAAGCTCACCACACGCTTATCGCTAGCTTCAAGCCAAAGGAATATGGACCTCAGTAGAGATGGCCTTGTGGAGGCTATCCTCAGCCTTTTACAGCCAATAACTTCGGAAACGCTCATTGTATATGAGTGGTTTGCCCGGACGTACCTTACAATTCCTTCTCTCCAAAACCACCTTGGAACCATCAGTGACCTAGCGGCACGGGTGAATTACAAGCTACTAGCGTCCGTCATAAGCACCAACCTTCTGTCATCTCAGTCCTTTCTCCATGCAGAGCAGGTTGAACCTCGAACCTGGCTACTGGCATATTTCATCTACTTTCACAGGCATGCTCTAGGGGAGCAAGCTTTAAACCAGACACCTGAGGTACTATTTGTTAAAGTAGTCTCTCAGCTTCTAGGCTCTGCGGCAACACATGTCTCGCAGAGGCTCGATTTAGATGACTTCGGAGATGGTCAACCTTCTCAGGAGCTAAAGCCTTTACCGCCCTTTGTAAGGAGTGAGATTTTGACATTGGTTAACCAAAATAGCATTACCCACCTCTTGTCTCTAGCTGGGAAAGGACAGGTAGCAGAGAATGATGTACGACAGACCAGAGAAGACGACGCGAAAAGTCTTGCCACATACGCCTTGACTCTGCTAAGGATATTTCCTAAACGAGGAGACGAGATACGTATGTGGCTTTACCTTGGCTCAGCATCGACATATGAGGATACAGGATCGACGACATCCAAGTTACCCGCCATTAAATATTTTTGGCAAGCATCGAGGACAACAAACGTTTATCACAACGTATCACACAACCCTAACGATATCATCGACATGCTTCTTCCTCCTACCAGTGGAGAGAATAAACAGGCTCAGCAAGAACGGGGCGACCAAGAACAACAGTGGACGGTCATACTCATCTTCCTGGAACTCTATACCTTCCTTTTGAAAGTCTTAGATGACGATGAGTTCTTTTCTGGGAATAGTGACAACAAATACACGTCCTGGACAAAGGAGAGTGCCCTTGCTCTGGAAGACGTTAAAGAGTTGACCGTATTTTTGACAAACCTTGCATTCACCCTTTACTGGAATTCGTCCACTTTAGCTGCAGCAGAAGCCACCGAAAGGACATTCGAAATGCGAGATTACTTTAGTGTATCTGGACCGCGCGAGCCGAATCAACCAGCCCCTCGAAAACCACGAAGTAAAAATTTGGGAGGTGCCACTGGAATTCCCCTTCACTATTTCAAGGGTCTAGTGACGGGATTGTTGCGGATGATACACGAACGAGAGTAAGCCTGTTCCACACATATTCTTGCAAAGATGTATCGTTAACTTACCGAATACACAGCTCGAGGCGCAGATTTTTGCCCGATGGCCATTGGCTCATGACCAACCGGTTTGACATGGCTGGGTTTATTCCTACCGTGGTGGCAGAGGAAGAAAACAGGCACCAGCTCCAAGATGACGATGAGGAGAGTGAGCCAGAGGACGAGGCTATGGAGGATGCCCTTCACTCGTCACTGGGATTGGTGGGGACTAGCAGAGAGCAAAACATCCGCCGGATGGAAATACTAAGAAGGCGACAGCAACAGGCCTCCAGGCGAAAAGAATTAGAAGCTGTGGCACCGCGCCTGGAGATCCTTCGAAACATGCCCTTTTCCATACCATTTACGACGAGGGTCCAAATCTTCCGAGAGTTTATATACAGGGATCAAGTACGCAGGAGAAAAGGAAACGTGGATCCGGATGCGTGGAGGCTGTCTCTTATCCACGGAGCTACAGATGGAATTGCCATGGCACGAGAGATCATGAGCAAACACCATGCGGACATACGACGAGAGAATCTTTTTGAGGATGCGTTTGAGCAATTTTACCCGCTTGGGGAAGCGTTTAAGGAACCCATCCAGATCACATTTATCGACAAGTTTGACACCGTTGAAGCTGGAATTGACGGCGGCGGCGTCACCAAGGAGTTTCTGACAAGCATTATAAACGATGCATTTAACCCCTCCGGAACACTAAGCATGTTTGCGGAGAATGATGAGCACTTGCTTTATCCCAATCCCGCGTCAGTCGAGCAGCAAAAGTCCCAGCTTCGTGAAGCCGGGATCGCTGAGCGGAGTCCAGAATGGAACGAGCACATACGAGAACTGCTGAAACGATATGAGTTCCTGGGGCGTATTATCGGAAAGTGCCTTTACGAAGGCATACTGGTGGACGTTAGCTTTGCTGGCTTCTTCCTGCTAAAGTGGGCTCTGACTGGGGGTACCGGTTCTGCTTCAAGGGAATCAGCTTACCGGGCAAATCTAAACGACGTTCAGGATTTGGACAAGAGTTTGTACCAAGGACTGGTGAGTGGTTCCTCTCTCTTTTTTTTTTTTTTTTTGGCTCATGTTACTGCGGCTAACATTGCAGGTATAGCTACAACTCAAGAACTATCCCGGAAACGTGGAAGATTTCGCACTAAATTTCACCGTGACCGACACGGTATCACTGCCGGACGAGAGAGGCAAGGAGAAGACACAGACGATAACGCGGGAGCTAAAGCCAGGCGGTTCCAACATCCCTGTCACGAACCAGAACAGGCTGGTGTACATCTCGTACATTGCCCGCCATCGACTCCAGCTGCAGCCCTACCTCCAAACGCAGGCCTTCCTCCAGGGCCTAGGCCAAATTATCCAGCCGTCCTGGCTGTCCATGTTCAACCAAGGCGAGTTGCAACGTCTTGTCGGGGGAGACGCGGTCGAGATCGACGTAAACGACCTCCGACGCAACACCGTTTACAGCGGCGTCTATGTCCTGGGAGACGACCAGCAGGACCACCCCACTATAAAGCTGTTCTGGGAAGTCCTCGAGGCGATGCCTAATACAGATAGGCAGAAGGTACTAAAATTCGTCACCTCGACGCCGCGTGCTCCCCTGCTGGGATTCAGTCACTTGAACCCGCGGTTCAGCATCCGAGACTCCAGCTCCGACGAGGAACGACTGCCCAGTGCCAGCACCTGTGCCAACCTCTTGAAGCTTCCTCTGTACACGAACGCACATACCCTCCGGGAGAAGCTGATGTATGCGGTGAATTCAGGGGCTGGGTTTGACCTCAGCTGACGGGCCCTCTCTGCCATGCAGAACCGCATTCTGTGGGTGTTTATATGTTGTATTAGCATGATTCCGTCTTCATCTGTAGACCTAATAGCATTGAGCAAGATCTCGCCCATCCATCTTGATACCTCCATAGCCAACACCGCCTCCAACAGCCACTAGTCAAGCCATCGTCCATAACATCATCGATCTCCCCTTCTCATCCCGTCTTTTCTCCTTCTCACCATCGACTTGCTTAGTCATCAGCTTAGTCATCGTAAACCTACAAATAAAAAAAGAGCTTTTTTTTTCACTTTTTTTTCACACCAAAAAAAAAAAAAACCGTCTTTAACTTTTCTTTTTTTTCTTTTCCTTCACTTTCTTCTTCTTCTTTCTTCGCACCACCAAATTATCCAAAAAATAAAAAAAAAAAAATAAAGACACACTTCTTGTGCTTCCTTCAGGCTGTTGATTGATATCTTTCGACCTTTCTGAAACACCTTCGAGTGTTCTCTTTCTTTTGCCCCATTCCCCTTTCAGAAAACTACTCGTAAAGCCTGAAAAAGATCAAGCATCGTCACCATCTTCGAGGTTCGCCTGGTGAGTTTTTCCCTTGGAAGGCTTTTTCCCCCTTCTTCTACCCTTGGAACACACGAGGAATCATCGGATATCACGTCCTTTGGGCTCCTGCTGCCGTCCTGCCATTGATCTGCTGGCCGTTCGAGAGAGAGGCGTTTGGTCGTTGTCGTTGCTGCTGGCTCATAAAAAGCTGCTGCACACCGCACACTTTTAACCCCCAAGTTTACCTTAATTTTTTCTCTCTCCCACTGCTTGTCAATTCACTCCTCAGCGTCTTCTCACGTCTCGCCCTTCCGTTTCGCTCTTGCAAAGCACCTGGCCTGCTGCTGGAATTTGTACCCTGTCTGGCTCGAATTATAAACCTCGCGGTGCCCCTCCTTTATGAAGTTCCGTGGTTATCATTTTGAAGCTGTCCTGCTGTCCTGTGCTGACCTTTGAGAACGATAAACAACCAGATTTACAAGCGACCAGTATCCCAAAAAAAAAAAATCCAAAAAAAAAAAACACGG